GAGGCGACTGCGGTTGTGACTGCGGCTGGGCCTGTCGCTGTTGATTCATGGTGAACATAGACGGACTAGCCATAGACGGGCTGGCCGATGGATGGCCATCCCTCTGTTGCATGCCTGCATGAGGTAGTCTGTTCATGCCCTGCTGTGGCGAAGCAACACTCATAGGATGTCCATGAGCAAGACCAGCTGTGCCCGGCTGCGGCCGAAGGTGGGCCATTGGATTAAACCCACGCTGGAGGTTCTGTAGCCCCATGGGGTCTGGACCACGAGACATCAGATCTGGGGAGCTCTGCGCCGCAAACTGGCCCGGAAATTGGCCAAAACTGGTGCTGGTTGGGTACCCACCTAAAGATCCCGATGTCGGGGTCATTTTGCGCATATCAGGAGATTGCGACGCAGCGAAGTTCTGCTGAGGTTGGCCCCGAAAAACTGGCTTGTTGCCCGGAAATGGACTGCCATGCTGTGGCAGCGGTGGCCCCGCACCTAGCAAAGGTGACTGGGCATGCTGACGCTGAGGCTGTGGACCCAACGGATGCTGAGGTTGGACACCTTGATGTTGCTGCTGTTGAGGCTGCTGCGGCTGTTGTGGGTGGAATGGGTGACCGCCGTAGTTCATCATTTTGAATCGATTTTAGAGATGCGCTGGCCTTGGCCGTAAGCGGCAGAGAATGAAGTGATCCAAAAGGGATCACGAAACATGCAAGGGTGAGAACGGTCAAAATGATCGCGAGCTAACTTAAAAAAGGGAAATGTAGAATACAGAAGGGCAATTTCAACCAAGACTGTCACCGATGTCGCGCCAGCGCCGCTGATAATTCTATGCGGAGAATCGCCACCTAAGTCGCGCCGAGCCCGCGTGTTTGTTGTTCCTTGAAAGCCTGAGGCTACAAGGCAACAAGGCAATAAGCAACCGCGCACTGATTCCCAATTAGGCCTAGCGGCTACGGAGACCGAAGCGAGTCGGTAAGCGCAGTTCGGGAAAATGAGTCGACGGTCGCTCAAAGGGATTCAGGGGAGGGACCAGCTTGAGGGGATCCAGAGAGGCAGCGAAGGTGATCCAAATCTATTTGCTATCAGCCTTAACGGGATTTCAGGGCCCAGCAAAAGTAGATTGGAGATGAAGTGGATGACGCTGGGCTGGAATCCTCGATGGCGAGGGAAAAAAACATTAAAAAAATAAAATAAAAAATAAAATAAAGAAATTGAAAAAAAAAAACGGAATTTTCAGATTCTCCTCTCCACATCACGTGATGCCCCACCAATCACCCTTCTACTCCTGTATGTTGTATAACTGCAATCTACGTTTTAGATATCACAGTCTATATTCATTTTATCATCTGAAGTTGTCCAGTTTGGACATTTGAACTTCTGAGCCTGCATTTCTCTCCTCAATCCCCTTACCACTTGGTCATCTGCTTATCTTCCGCAATCCTTGTAAAGTATAGAAGTATAGAATCACACCACTCACAAGTGCTGCAGTACTGCACAAAGTACGTGCTACCTGAAAAATTATAGAGACACCATGCTGCTTTTCCAACATGCTTGTCCTCTGCTACCCGAAGATCTGCCAAACAGGGCGAAAAAATAGAAAAAAAAAAAAAAAAGGTTGAAACCAACCCCTTACAAAGTGCCACTACAGACGATCCACAATCGACCACAAATAGGGAGCGGATCTGCAAAATATTAGCCGAGAACTATGTTGTATATTGCACCTAGATAGCTCCTGATTATCTTCGTTATCTTTACGAGAATACTCAATAATTTTCATTGAAGCTCTTTTCTATTTTTGCTTTTCTGACAAGAGTAGTTGTTGCATATGTAAACTCCGCCTTTCGCCTTCAACGATGTAGGTGGCGAAGTTATATGTCGGATACTATATCATAAACACTATAGAGGACCTTTCTATGTATAATGCGAGATATAAACAATGAATCACTAACATATGTTGTAAACTCTATATTGGAAATAACTAGCGCAGGCAACGACCTTACATATATAAAACCAATATTTAAGGCAATTCCTGCGTGGATTACAACCCTGCCTGTTCTGCCATAAGATAATCGTCCCAGACTTTCTTGATGTCATTCTGATAAATGAAATCCTTATCTCCGTAAAGGAAAGAGTCGATCTTGGCTTGCAAAAAGACATCAAAATCCTTCTCCTGTGCTTGAAGTTGTTGCGTTTTGTCACGTATTTCGTCTAGATGCTGATACCTGCGAAGGGTTGGAAAAGCGTGGTCAGAGCACAAGCTATTTTGCGCATAATCTCAAGTCCAAACTTACATCTTAGCATAGTACGGAGCCCGGATTTTTTCAAAGATTTCGAGAGCATCGCGTGCAGGACGAGAAGCAAACCGAGTAAACTCGAGCGCCCGTGCGAGGATCCAACCATCTTCCATGGCAAACGTTGCCCCAGAACCAAACGCGCCTGGAGGGCTGTTAGTGCATGACAATAAGTCAAATCATAACACATGGACTTACCGGAAAGAGGGTGGCTGGCATCTCCGATAAGGGCAACTTTATCCCAGTGGGTGATCTTGTCCAGACGTGGCCCAGCGAATGTCGCAAACTCCCTCCATTCTCCTTCCGTGACCGCGCTTACTGCGTCTCTTATTCTTTGGTCGAATTTCTGTTTTACATGTTAATAATTAATCTTCTTTTTCGTTTCTACAAGGTATGTCGTACCTCAACACGCGATCCCACTTTCACATTGGTGGCAGGGATGCCCCAAAAGACTGCCTTGCCCGAGACCTCAGGCTCACGATAGGAGCGAACGGTGATTTCAAAACGCGGATCTTTGGTCTCTTCTTCATCATCCACATCGGAGAGATATACATGGCCGGCTTCGCCCCACCACCATGACGTTGTAGTCGTGATGTCCGGGATATGAGCCAGACGAGACTTCGGAACAAGAACACGGAATGCACTGTTGCCCGTAAAGTGAAGTTGATGATCAGGTAATAGGACCCTACGGACAACCTATCTCACGAAGTTGGGTCAGTCACAAGTGCTAGTTCCAGCATAGGAGGGTTTGACGAACAGAGTGTAGCCCGTCCGCACCAACGACAATGTCTGCGATCGCTTCCGTTTGATCCTGGAAAACCAAACGAACTCCTTGACCTGAAAGATTCTCCAAAGATACCACCTTCTTGTCAAATTGGATCAAGCCATCCGGCACCCGAGATAAGAGAGCTGACTGCAGTCGGGTTCTGCGAGCACGGATTGCTCCGCGAGAATCTGCGGCCGAATTTTCGGGATGCTGAGTGACGTTCAAAACCTTCCCTGTGTAGGCATTTCTTTCAAGAATTCAAGGTCAACATATGCGCTAGCTAATACTGTGGCTAGGAAAGCACTGCTTACCTTTGGTGTGTATTGGATTTAGAACCTCCCTTAACCCCATGACTGGCTCCAAGTAAATCCAGAACTCTCCACGCATTCGTGCTGAGACTGATACCCGCGCCAGCCTCTCGGGGCTCTGTGTTTTTCTCATACAGAGTCACCTTTAGGAATGGCAGTTCCGAGAGAGCAATCGCCGTTCCTAATCCTCCGGGTCCACCACCAACGATAGCAACAGAAGTCAATGCCTGTCCGACCATATTTGTGAAATAGTTTTGCGTTTGGATGTGTCAGTCCTCAAAGTTTGTCTTGCTTATATATCCGAAATATTACATCTTGTGGTCGGGAGTGGCCGGTAGATAACTACATCGCACGCCATACTAAGCTTTGAATGTGCCATGCCGCACTAGTCTCCCATCCACCAATCCCACAACGAGTCAAACAATCAGTCAATTCGGATAATAAAACCCCGCCTGTGAACTGTCATGCAATACTTCGTTTTGGCACGTGCTGGCCCGTTGGTGGTCGATCGGACAGTACCCTATCATATGAGAGTGACAAGGGTCAACAAAGAGAGGCTCCTCTGTAGATAGACCTATTTGTGAGTCAAGGGATATTTTTGGGGAAGAGGAAGCCGTTTAGAGCCCAATCCACCCCGCTTGCTAGTCATCTTAATATCTACACTAAGCAGCGATAATTCAAGTGTGGCGTAGGCCGAAGTACGCGGCCGCTTTGGGAGCAACGGAGAGGACTTCTGTCATCCAATATAGCATCTTCAATACTCTTATAGATACATACGAACTTTTGTACACCTGTAGATACCGATCGGAGCCTTGAATCATGGTACACCTAGGCCCGATGAGTGCGACATTTCTGAATCTCTTCAAAGTTGAAGCCCCATGCTAGGTTTGGTGTCAGTATGACTTTTCATGGACGCATGGCGAGGGGATAGCTGCATCATATACATGGTTGTGATTAGCACAACCATGAGCAAGACTTCACGAGTGGGTCGATCAAGAGGAGCAGAACTAGTGAAACTGAAATTGGCAAGGAGCCGGAAATATTTGCCTCTGACCTGCCTTTCTACTGAAGTCTGTCCCTGCTGATATTGCTTGACCTTCCATGCTGATATAATATGGAGTCGACGAATATTTCAGTTCTCTCAGTGTGCGAGAAATCCTTCCAGAGGGTTACTAGCGCCATGAATTCTGGGACCAGAACCCGCGTCAGCGAGCCAGATCCCCAGAAAAACTTTGTTGTTTACATTCATCGATAGGAGAAGTAAGGTGTGATAACAGGAAGACAAGTCGGAAAGGTATGGTTGTTTGGGGAAGCGTATGGGGGAATTCTACAACCCACGAGATTATCTTCGAGTGGACGAAATAATATCACCAACGTAACGTTCTTTATAACCTTGCTTTTAGCCTCTTGTTGATTTCATCAATATACCTTCTATCGTGCTTACTTATAGTTCGGTCACCCCAAGGTCTGCTAACTGATTCCGGGCCCGATACCAAAGAAGAACATGTCATTTTCATAAATACGTAAACAACAGTCTAGAGTGGGTGTCGATATCAACACACTAAACCACTGAAAAGGTAGCTGGAACAAAAAAGCGAGATACAAAGGCAGAAGACAAAGAAAAAGAAGTACCTGCTTCATCCTTCAACAAGAAGCATGAACCGCAGGTTTAGCCCCAGGAAGAAATCCATGAGCTTTAAAGAAACGCCTGTCACGAATGGATATAAACGCCAAAAGCCCGGAAAGTCCACTTGAGAAGAATAAGGTTAGTAAAAAGCGCCACAATGTCGCTTCGATTGATACGAACTTACCACAGAAAGAATACCAATGTAGCTGTGATGCCACCCAATGCCCGACTGCTCCCACTAGTTGACCCTGTAGTACCCATGATTGTGATAATAAACAGAGCGAACCAAAACACAGTATCAATAATATTCAATATCATGTACGCCTTTGTGCTTGCCCATCGTTTGAGTCGATCCATGTGAGTCGTCATTATTTGATAAGCCATGAAAACGGCTGATTTGAGGCACTTTGGTCATGGGTTAGTGGGTTTTATACACAATATCAGAATATGAGCGGGAAAATTACTTACCACGGCAATGCCCCAAACATTAGTTCTTGTCTTCGGAGTGCCACTGTTGGTAATCCGTGCAATGATGAGAATGAAGACAATAAAGACCCAGGCCCCAATTATGATGTGGAGTCGGGACTTAATCACCGGGCTTCTTTCGATTGATAGGTTCATTGTTGTGATGTATGATTTTTCTTTGGCATCAGGGGTTTTAATACGAGCGCTGTTATGGGAATGGTCGATCCCCGGGATCTTGGATAAAATTTTAATTAGTCCTTGGTATGGGGAAATCAACTTCTTTAAATATTGGAGAACGCTTATTAGGTCTCGTAATCGCTTAGAATGCATATCCAAGGCAGTAGAATTTAAGATAATTTAAGAATAATTGCTGGGACCCTGACGAGGCTAGTCTTGGCTCTACTTCGCATTCGTATTCTTACCTGTATGAGGAAATGATCACCCAGCCAAATGTTCTGGACAAGACTTCTTTTCTTTCTAATTCATATTGCCTCCCAGAGATTGCCGAAAGAAAGTGGTCGCTCAAAAATCTATCTCGGACACGCTGTACCAGAATACTGAATTTGAAGAGATTTTTAAGTCCATGCTCGGCGTCGAAGGTGGCCATTTTCTGCAGTCGATTTACCGTCAATTAGCCTTGTGTTGTACGATAACACTGCGATGTGTTTTCGATGGTTTTTCGCCGCAGTGTTATAACTGTAAAATTAATAATTAGCTATAAAATTACCGTGAGTAATAGTACGCAGTAGACATACTAGGCTTATCATTTAACCACAATATACATAGAGCCCCAGAGTACTTCCTTCCGAATCCAAACGCGTAATTTGTGAAATGAGAGATATCAATGTCGCTTGGTCAGGCCCTTGCTATACGATCGTTTGAGGATGGCGGGAATGACTTGAGAGGGAGCTCTGAGCAAACAATGTGCTAATATACAAGTTGGCCTCCGTAAGTAATTTCGTCGTTATATGGCTGTTAAACATTTGATTGGGAGTATTTGCAACCCTTCCACATTGTGTATTTTATTTCCTAAAGTATTACTTTGTTAGAGACCAAAGTAATGGACGACCATGCGAGTAGTGGAAGCACAGCAGCTCAAATGTAATACAGCAACTAATCCGAACACTTCGTGTCATTGTCAACCTGACTATTAGATCAAGGAAAGTCGACGGGTGCGTGCACAAGTGTCATAAATAGCTAGTTATGTTACAGGAAGGCAACCGTACAATCAATATCAACCACGTCGCACCCGCTAGGTTAATGTCTTAGGGGATCAGGTATAAGAGTGCGTGATGTGGAAGCATGATCTATCCACAAGACACAATCCCCCCTTTGCGTCAATATTACCTACCGGTCTTCAAACCCTTACTTAATCTGCTTGTTATTATGCCTGAATCCACAGCCAACCCTACTGGCTCCAATGAGCCTAACAAGGTCCCATTCGGCAAATGGGACTCTTTCTCTTGGGAGAAATTCCCTGAATGGGAAGGCACCAAAGCTATCATGTTCCGCTCACAGGACGGCAAGCGTGTGGCTGGTGCTTTCCGTGAATCTGCAACTGCCACAATGACATATCCCTGTGACGAATTCAGTTATGTGACGGCGGGGTCGATCAAGGCCCATGTTCATGGCGGCGAAACATTCACCCTCAAGACCGGAGACTGCGTCTACTTTACTAAGGGCCAGACAGTGGAATTTGAGTGCAGCGAGGATTATGCAAATGTCTCTGTTTTCTTCGGCACTGAACCTGTTACTATAGTTTAACCGGAGTGTTAGGCCAATCAGTAGTTGAACGGAGAGATGGTGTTGATGAAATGCAGGATGCATTACTGGCAAATTGAATTGGAGATAATAATAAGGATTTCCACTCCTTTTACTGTTCCCTCTAAAGTCCGTGCCGGCCTAATAACTTCCGTGTTTCTATCATCTGCATTTCAATTTCTTCTGGGCAACGTCATGCGGATATCTATTTACGATAGAGTATTCACTTCGCATACGCATGAGGTGCGGGCGCTCACGACAGCTCAAACGTTTCACGACTGGTTTACAGTTCTGTCGCGGGCCGGTGTGCAGTCCGCGCTCTGTTCTAGTCGGACCCTTTCAGTATGGCCTACCCGATGACAGCGCTATTACATTCACCCAAGGTGATCACCGTAGCGATACTATCATTTCGTTCTGCAAACCATATCGTGTCCTGGCTATCGTTGATTGGGAAAAGTCTGGTTAGCTGCCTGAATACTGAGAGGCCCGAAAAATGGAGTGGGTTGTCAGTGAGACAACCCATGACAAAGAGTGGCCAAATGCTTGCCATTGATTTTAGATCAGTACAATAGTACTGTGGAAGCATGGTGGTGGCATATGGCGTCTCTGGGTGTTAAATCAGGAGTGACCCATATGAACCGAGTTGGAGACCGATGAAATTTTAGGAAGCTCTTGGATACAGGTATTGCTGAAAACTAGCTCTCCACGACTCTCGACGCAATGGCTGTAGCCTATTTACTCATCAAACCAAGGATCGTCCAAAACTTGTTTTGCTGACGCTCTTGCTGACGGCTCAAACATCAATAAGCTTCCAATGATTTGCCCCAGCCTCGCTATCTCTTCTCTGGTGAGATCCGGAGTCTGCGGGCTATCGAAGTACAATTCTTCCAGCCATTCCTGCAAATTGGGCGCGGTGCTGTCAGGGGGTTCATCACCATCTCCTTTCATCGTCTCCCATATCGCATGCCATCTTTCAGGCAGATCATCGCATGCCATCTCTTGCATCTGGCCAACCAGGATTGTGGGCGTTATCAAGAAATTGTCGAAAGGTGGCTGGCCAACGAAAAGTTCAAAGAGCTGTCGTACCTATCAGCTTACTATTGTATGGCGTTCAACGTCGAATAATTTCACCTACCATGCACCCCATGCTCCATAGGTCAACTCGATAATCAATGCGATCTTGAAATATAACTTCAGGTGCCCGAACAGGCAGAGGGGTATGTAGTGTTTGAGGGATCGTGTTGTGTACAAATGATTCCCCGAAGTCGATAATTTTGATCGACAGGGCTAAACTCCAAGAATGCGTCCGATATGAGCTAGGCCTAACGATATACTCGGGAATGCCAGGCTCAAGGTCTTTCCCGTCGGTCCTTCGGACATAGCCAATATCTGGTTTCCCTAGCATCTCAGTAAACTGCCCTTCAGTTACATTGTCTATACAAGGTATAGTGAAGGCCAAATTGCGCGTATGCAGATCTATATTATATGAGAATGTTTCAAAATGTTCTAGGGAGAGAGAGTGACCTACCTCCATGGGCAATATTCAGTTGGTGCAACCCATCAAGACCGAGAAGACTTTGCTTCGCAATGATTTTGGCGAGCTTCCCAGGGAGTCTCCCATAAGGAAAGTGTGTATCGATTGTGTCCGGAATGTTAGGACCCAAAAGCTCATATACCAGACAATTATGAGATCCATTTGGGCCATTCAAATCAAAGTTATCAAGCATGTGTACCGTATGCTTCAGAGGGGGGTGATGAGATGCCAACTTCTTTAGGGTTTGGAACTCTCGCGTCTCCCCATCATAGTCCATTTCTGCAATAGAAATTTTGACAGCAACGTAAGCACCTTCCCTACAAACATGCAATTTTTTCAGTTAGCTAGAGCTTCCATATTTCACCCAAATTTGTACAACCTTTGATCTCTCGCCGCCCAAACTGTCGAGTAACCTCCCCATCCTAGTTTATGGAGCACCTTATACCTTCCAGATTTCAGGTATTCTCCTAAAGTGACTGGATGGTAGCCACCTTGTTGGTAGCGATGAACTGGCTCCGCGTCCACGGGGGAAATATAAAGGGGCTGGTCCATCTGACTTCTGTTTGGATATGTAGATATGGACTTAGAGATAATCAAAAGGCTCGAGAATCTCCCGAGGGGCACAGTACATCTCGGTATTATCCTGGAAATTACCATGTAGGTGCTGTGTCAAATGCATATTATCACAGTCTAGATTGTGACGCGCGAGCCCAGGACTAGATGAGAGAAACGACATCCAATCACATGATCTGTATAACCGGCCAATCTAGACGCTAAACCTTTCCGATACCTGTATACATAGGTCCATGGGTCTGAAAGTCCACTTGACTAATCAAATATAAATTTAACAGCTTGGCCAATCCTTGGAAGGATCATAACAACAATCGGGAAGTTCCATTGTTGCTGCGGCGGTACGTGTATCAGGCCCTGAGCTCCACTATGGACTACATTAATTCTCGTTGGCGGTAAATTATTGGTCAGACGCAGACGACTAAAAATAAATGAAAGAGCTTCTCAACTATAAACCCTGTTGATGTCCCGGAATCAGTGTTGGTATCAATGTTACACCTCTGCAAAGCCCATAAATGGGGACCCAACGAAGGCCCAACCGGCAGTTGGATATGGGCTATAATGAGCTATCGATCGGGGCCCATAATAGCCCATCGTAGCCCACATGGGGGGCATTACTTGGCGCTTACAAACCAACGTCTTATAATCGCTGTATTCTAGCCTTCTACTGAGTGTATAGAGTTACAGTAGCTATATAAGTATAAATTTCAATTTTAAACGAGGTCTAAGTAGTAGAAATAGATATTGCGAAAAAAAAAAAAAAAAAAAAAAAAAAAGGTTAATATTCATGTAACAGTACAACCACTTTCTGACTGAACCTCTTATTTTTAAACTTATCTAAATAAGGTGTTTTCTCGCGTATTCGAACGTGACATATAATAAAGGTAACTAATTATTAATTGTGCATTAATTGAAATAACAAAATCTTACCCCGATATAAGGGCTAGAAACGGGATCTAAATGTAAGGTAATTAATTAACTTTACACTGGACACCGATGTCCTATATACTCCTACCGAGGCTAAGACTGCTTGGATTTTCCCCGGTTTTATTGTGGGGGAAAATATACTTTTTGTAACACGCTAGGTAAGATTGGATTCCAGGTACAACTTTTGCGCAATGCATAAACGCCAGAAATTGCCTAGGTTGACTGGCATGTTGATACCCTCAACAAGCCCGCTGCGAGGATTAGACTCTGTATGGCAAGAACTATGACATATCCATGGACTTAACTAGACCACAATAAAAGCTAACGGAATTCTTTCCTCCGCTATAACGGGACCATAGGTGTTGTCTCACACTCTGGCTAAACGGAAAGTACGAGCTAGCTGAACAGGTGCAATAGAGCAAGATTAGCCAACGAGATAAGTAGTCCAGCTTATTTTTCCTGTCGAAACACCGCCGTTGTGGCGTCAGCCGGCAAAGAAATTTTGAATCACAATCTCTACCCCGGGCTGGTTGAGCGTGATTTAGCCTAATTCCCCCACACTACCTCGGAAAGCTGTCTATAGCCAACGAACCGGCAAATGTTTAGCTTCACCCTGGAGATTGCATTCCCGGGCCTTTGCAAAGTCCGGTTAGCTTTCTTTTGTCAAGAGGGGTATATGGCTGTCTTCCACAGTTTCTCCGGTTTAAAATGAGCTTTCTTTCCGCGTCGTCTGCTGCAGTATCCGCCTCATTCACATTCTGAGTTACAAATTGGTCACAATGCGCTCTTTCGTTGCAATCACAGCTTTACTCGCTGGTCTTAGCCAGGCTGCACCCAAACATCAAGACAGTAACAATTACAATCTCAATGCCCTTGCCCAAGCTCGGGGTAAACAATGGTTCGGAACAGCTGCCGATATCCCCAAGACGGATGAGACGAACGATGATGCGTACCTGAAGATTCTGAGAAGTCAGTTCGGCGAAATTACTCCGGCTAATGCGCTCAAGGTACGTGGAATGCCATATCTAAATCCTACCCTTAAGTAATTCGCGACTAACAATTAATTATTGTCGTCCCACCAGTTCATGTATACAGAGCAAGAGCAAAACAAGTTCAACTTCACCGATGGCAATTACTTCATGGACCTAGCTGAGCGCTTCGACTCCAAAGTCCGCTGCCACAATCTCGTCTGGATGAGCCAGGTGTCAGATTTCGTCACCTCCAAGACCTGGACCGCCAAGGAGCTCACTGCAGTTATGAAAAACCATATCTTCAAAACGGTCCAGCATTTTGGCAAGCGCTGCGCCTCATGGGATGTCGTCAATGAGGCCATCAACGACGATGGCACTTTTTCATCGAGTGTCTGGTACGATACCATTGGCGAGGAATACTTCTACCTCGCCTTCCAGTATGCGCAACAGGCTCTGTCTCAAATCGGTGCCAATGATGTCCAGCTCTACTACAATGACTACGGCATTGAGAACCCCGGTACCAAAGCCGATGCTGTTCTAAGACTTGTTAAGAATCTGCGCAAGCGCGGAATCCGTATTGACGGTATCGGTCTTGAGTCCCACTTCATTGTCGGCCAGACGCCTTCCCTTGCCGATCAGCTCGCTACTAAGAAGGCCTATATCAAGGCTGATTTGGATGTTGTTGTGACGGAACTTGATATTCGTGTTGCGGAGGAGCCGTACTATGCTGCTGATGTGCAGAAACAACAAGCTGCTGACTACTATCTCACTGTTCAAAGCTGCCTTCAGGCTGGACGTCGTTGTCTTGGTATCGTTGTTTGGGACTTTTCTGATAAATATTCTTGGGTGCCTGAGACCTTTGATGGTCAGGGAGGTGCAACGATTTTCAATGATACCCTCGAGGCTAAACCGGCGTATTACGCGGTGGTTGAGGCGCTTCAGGGAAAAAAGTGCACCGTCTGCTAGATCACTGTGTTTAGGGTCATGAGATATCGAACTTTGTAGAAGATATCATATGTAGAAGTCTTTGATAACTTTGCTACTACCGATTAATACATCAACTACGCACTGTGCTCAGTATTTTTTTGTTAATGCCAATGGAATCGAAAAGTTTTTCTTGACTGAGCGGATAATTTGGGTAATCTCATAACTATTAAGCGCCATTTATCCAATTCTAGGTTCACTCTTCTGCCTGTGCCTGTGCCTTCGCAATCGCTCCCGGAGCAGCTGGCATCAGTGCACCTGCAGGTGGCTCGTTCTTCCCTTTGAACTCATCGCACATTTGCTCGAACGTTACCCACTCCACTCCCTCATGGCTATTAATATATTCAATGAGTCTGCATATATTCTGTTAGTCTCACATTCTTTAACGGCCTTTAACTCTGTAAATTCGGAACATACCTCTCGTGCATAAGCAAAACATGAGGTCGACCAGAGACATCGGGATGGATTGTCATGGGGAAGACAAATTCATCATACTCTCGATAGAAGTAGTCGAAGTGATCCTATATTAATGAATTCTGTTAGTCCAAACCCCTGTAATCCAAAACGGAGTAAATAATAACCTTCCAGATATCCTCAACATCCCGCGGATTAACCCATCCATGGCTATTCGCCGAATTCTTGATAAACATCATCGGCGGCAAATCATCAATATACCAACTACCAGGAATCTCCACTAGACCGGTAGTATTACCCTTAACAAGGGGCTTCATCCACGTCTCCGCCTTCTGCTTGTAGTCAATCTTTGTCCACGTATCCCCAGTCCGAAGCCAGTACATCTGACAATCCTCATGGGACATGGAATGATCATATTCAATGCCATAAGCAAGCAACAGCTCAACCATCTCCGCACTTGCCTCCCACCACGGTGCGACAATTCCGCGCGGTGGCTTTCCGCAGAAATCCGTCAACATCTTATATGTCTTGTCGAGGATGTCGCGTTGTTGCTCCGTGGATAGGTCGCAGGGATTCTCGTGCGAGTAGCCGTGTAACCCAATCTCGTGTCCCGCGTCACGGACCGTTGCGCATTCTTCGGGGAAGGTGTCAAGGGTGTGGCCTGGGATGAACCATGTTGCTTTAATGTTGTATTTTTCGAATAGTTTTAGTACGCGGGGTGTGCCGACATGTCCGGCCCAGAGACCTTTTTGAGGATTTTGTTAGTGTGACAGCTATGATTTTGGAGGCACATTAGCTTACCTCGACTGATGTCGCTCACGCTGTCCTCGCCTCCGTATGAGCCTAGCCAGCCAGCTACTGCGTCAATGTCAACCCCGTAGCCAACAAGAACGCGCTTTTTGCCCATTATTACGGTAATTGGGTATTGCTGGTGATGGGGAGGTTGATGTTAAGTCCAGAAAAGAAGAGAATATAATGGAATTGGTTAGAGTAAAGCGGCAGTGGTATTGTTGACTTAAATATATAGTCCCCTCCAGAGCTACCCCCAACAATGCATCGCGACAGACAAAGGTGGGGTGATCCCTGGATACTTTGGATTGGGGTTCTAAAATTGGAGATATGGACGTTTGTCTACTGGATGGCTATTTATCTGGATCCCACTCATGATTGACTCCAACAGCCACATTTGAGGCCATTTTCTCTAGCTTACAATGTTATCGCTCTTCGAATGCGAGGTTCATGCTCTCCGACATTGCTAAATGGAAATAGAGCACACCGAATACAATGGATACAGCTGGAATGAGAGGAAGCTTCTATGATTACTACTTTAAGAGGCAATCGTAAATAAAAGAAGAGACGAGAGAGACGTATTTCTACCTAATAGTCCTGTCTGGTACTGTGGCCCCAAGCACAAGCTCTCGCCTGAGGCCACAACGTATTTTCCCGCATAATTTCAACATCGATGAACAATGATTTTGAGATATATTTGACTAGCCCACCAAATGATCTCAGATTTTACATCTATCATCAAATCATTGTTCCGAAATTGGCGCTGGGTTCGATCCTTCAAAGTTTTCCTTTCATGAAACCCCAAGTTTCATCTACTAGATGCGAAGGTCCTCCATATATTTGCTGCTGCAGTATAGCCGTGTTGACCTATTGACTGAGTGTTAGTGGCACGAACAAAAATCACCACAGCAAGAGGGACATACGTGCTGAGGGCCAAGATCCCCCACTGTTTTCGCACCAAGGAGGCGCATGCATGTTTTCATCTCATCCGAGAGAACTAATAAGATTCTCAGGTTAGCGACAAACAAATTCATATTTTTGAGGAGAACGAACTTTGCAATGTCCTCTCGACCCCCTCCACCCCACCGGCAGCGAGACCCCAAAGAGCCGGTCTTCCTATTCCAACAGCCTTGGCCCCAAGGCAAAGTGCTTTGACGGCATCTGTACCGCGACGAATCCCGCCATCCACCCACACTTCAACCTTATCATACACATCCGGGCAGTATTTTTGAAGTTCAAGCAGAGTATGCACAGCAGGGGGCGCTGTATCAAGTGATCTCCCACCATGGTTCGATAACACAACCCCCTTCACCAAAGGTGCATACTGAGCCGCTAGAATGGCGTCCTCGTGTGTCTGAATCCCCTTCAGTACAATGGGCTTGGTGGTATGCTGCGATAACCACCGAAGAGTATCTACCCATGTGAGCGACGGATCCGTCCCAGCAAAGAGCTGGTTGCTGACACTTGCCGCTGTGTTGGCTTGGATATTGATCCGTTCATCGTCTTCCCGCTTACCCGATACCGGTGCGTCGAGTGTCAATACAATGAATTTGACGCGATCCAATCGATTAACACGGGCCAACATACTTTCGCTCAGTTGTCTGTTCAGCTGAACATAAAGCTGCCATCCGAATATCTGTGTTGAGGGTGCGTTCGCGACGATCTCCTCCGGAGACAGCGAAGAGTTGTTTGCGATGATTTGAAGACACCCGAAAGAGCGACAACCTTCGGCAATCCCGTTTTCTCCTGCAGGGTGTCCTAGACGCGCCATTGCAGTTGGGCTGACGAAGATCGGTAAGCCGACTTTGTGGCCTAGGAGCTCGGTTTCCAGTTCGCAGGTGCGGCAGTCAACAAATACCCGTGGTCGGAACAGAATTGAGCGATAAACTTGCGTGTTGAAATACTTTGATATCTTGTCGTCGGCAGCGGAAAAGTAGTACCCCCATGCCTTTTTGCTGATGACTTTTGTGGCTGCAACTTCCATCTCGTCTAGGTTCAGCAGCGTGCTTAATGGCGCTTGGGTGATCTCTTTGGGCGTAGAATCGGCAATTGGCTGTTCTTGTGGCTCGACCGTGCCAAGATATGAGCCCTCAATTTCTTCCAAGGTCTCAGAAGGATGGATCATGTCGAACTCCTCGGTGGCATCCCGTCCTCCCCAACGGATGATTGCTTGTGTTCCGCCAGGATGACTGTCCAGGATGCCTGTAACCTCGTGGACGTTAGTTAAGTTGAATTTGTCGAACAAAGCTCCGAAGGCTCTTACATCGTACACCTTTCCATAAAGTATAACCCAACAACTATCTTTAGTGTTGTGTTCAGAAACTGGGAAGGTTAGTTCAATGGTCCCTACTCCCAATGTCCCTGATCTGATAATAAAGACTAACCTTCAGAAAAAGTCAACATCGTGGGTCAATTGATTAGTTTGTGTCAACCCAATCGATGGTTTTCTATCTAAATAGGTGTGATGGAAATTCCTATAGAATAACCTTACCTAGCCCTTCACTCTCGTGACATTGACATCGTATGCCCCCACCCTCACAAGAGCCCTTTGAGATCTATGCTTTGATATGTTCCAATATAATTGCATTGTGAGTTAATAGAAGAAAGCTATGGTGTTAGGTATACTCTAGGTAAGGATCGGAGCTCTTATCTTGCAATTGAGTTATGAGCACCCCCATCTTTGACCAGCCTGCATACTGTGGTGTGGATACCTGTAATACTTCTAAAAATGGTTTAATTATTTAATGGATTTATTTTGGTTATTTTCTTGCTTTGGAATATTCTAATTGGGCGATTAACTTTACGGGGCGCTTGGGATCTATGAGCGTGGAGGATTTAATATTGTGTGGTATGACTACAGGGATAATGGGACAATGTATTGATACATTCTAACCTCAACTGACTAAATAAAATTGCAGTATAACCATCTCCAAATTCCAATCTATGATGATACACACAAAACCGCAAAGGATCTCCACGGCCTCCATTACAGCGCATCATGACCATGTGTCTCGAAGGGCAATCCTAGACACATCACGCCGACAACAATCCACAATGCCGCACTAGCATAGATTGGCGCAGTAGTGAATCCAGTCTGTGATGAGATAATACTAGCAACAAGTCCCCCAAATCGAAGAAGGGCAGCCGCTGTTCCAGAACCTGTGCCACGATGAGGAGCTGGGAATGATTCCGGAGTAAAGGCGTACATGATAGCATATTCTATAATACTTGTTAGCTATGAAATTAAACACCAGACCGAATGATATCCCACCGAAGTTCGCCAAAAGGCTGGTAATGCAAGAAAATGCCAAGTCAGCCGATGGAGTATTGACTCCGACATATGCGAAGAGGAACACGCCCGTGACAACGGCTGAAATCCCCATCATCCATCTTCTGCCCATGCGTGTGTTCACCGATACTGCGGCGGATAACGGTCCGACTATTCCGACAGCTGATGTGATACAGTAGTTCCGATAGGTTAGGGAGAGAGAAGATGTTTCCGTGAATTTGGTTGCCAGGTAGGAAGGCAAGAAGGCGAAGAAAAGCGGATATGCAATTCCTAAATACGAATGTTAGTAGGGATATTACAAGAATAATTATTACCGTCCCACTTACCGACTGTCAACCAGATGGCCCAGATGATCAGTGTTTGTCTTCCGAGCTTTCTGGTTGCGAATAGCGCACGGTAGTGCTCCCCTTTGAAGGCTTGCATGTTCTCTTTCACGATTTCCTTCGTTGTCATTCGCTTCGACTCTCCTTCTTCACTGGGAATGTTTCCAAACCGGGCATCGATTGCTTGGAGCATCTGAAGTGTCAAGAGTTCTGGTTTGCCATTTTGCTTGGCAACGTGATTGATGGCGTTGACAGCATCCTGGTCTCTTCCCTGGGAGAGGAGATATCGGGGGGTTTCGGGTAATTTGAAAACGAAAATGCGAACAAAGGTAAATGTGAGGGCTAAACTACCTAGAGTGATGAGTGTGTATCTCCTACGGGTTGGCCGTTAGCGAGGAAATGTATCGTGGATCTTATGACACTTACCATCCCATGTTCTCACTTCGAGAACAGGTTTCAGGGGTGGCGTCGGTTGGACAACTGAAGTGGGCCAAGAATACCCAAGAAATCAAGGACACAATAAGTTGGCTCAGATTCCACCATGCCGAGAGAGCCGTGAGAAGATATTGATGACTGCGAGTATTTGAATTAGCGACCGTCCAGAGTGATATGGCCAACCCGATGGCTTTCACCTTCCTGGGACAAATTCTAGGAATATCATGGAGTCAACAGGAACATTTCCACCAGCGGCAGTTCCAATCACAGCCCAAAGTGCACTGAATGCGATGAAATTCATCGATCCAGCAGCGGCGCAGAGGAAGATCCCAGCAATGAGTAGCGTATAATTGAAGGCAGGTTTACGTCCGATGAGATCGCTCGACAGACCCCAGAACGAAGCACCCAGAATCAATCCTATATAATATGCAACCGAACTGTAGCTGACTTGCACAATGCCGAAGAACTCTTGCTTAATAGGGGGTTGGACACTTCCAATGCCTTGAGACGCAAACTATCGAGATAGATGTTAGGAAACGGGGGTGCCAGGAGAAAAGGAGTGATATTACATACATTATCGACTATCCATCCGAAGCCGGTAACCACGAAGAGTTTCCATTGAAACCTGGTAGTGTTGTGTCAATATCTCAATGCCTCAAAATAGTGCCCAAGCTTTCAGAGGTATCAATACCAGCCCATGCCAATTTCTTCCATACATTTTCCAACCAACTCGGACTTCAAACGGTATGCCTTAGTGGTTGAGGATCCGTAGAAATCTTCAACCTCATAATCATCAATCGTCGTCAATTTAGCAACTTCATAGTCAGGAGTGCTACTCTCCACTGGCTGACTCGGCTTCTTGTCGGGTTGAATTTCGTCCATCTTGCAATTGATAATTTGCTAAAGAGTTCCTTGCTCTCGTTGCAGGCAGATCAGTGTCATATTTGGTTCTTTTTAGAGCTACGATGTGCTTGCTAATCCGATGATCTTGCCTGATAGTCCGTATAGTTCAGATTGATACGGATGAGTCCGGTTGCCAAGAGTGGAGAGAAAACAATGTGCCATCCCACTCTTGGGATTCGGGGATGTCTTGGATCGGATATCATAACAGCTTAGAACGTACTTTGTGGCGTTACTGCACTTGGCAGTCTTCGACCGATTAAGCCAACGAATAAGGCATCATTATTCAGTTATTTCGTGCTACGTGGTGTGGACTATGCAAATACTGAATTGACCTTATTCTGTATTCATTCTGTACTTCCATTTTCTTCAGCACGGGGCATCAAATACGTAGAAGGATCTCAATGAATTTCAATATGAGTAACACTAAGCACCGACCGCAGCGACAGCCGGAATAACGTCAGCCTTCTTTGCATCCAAATCCTTCTTGAATGCCTCAGCGCGGCCGTAGCTCTCCTTGTAAGACGCCGTAACCATATCCTGCACAGTAATAGGACCGTATTTGGCAGGTTCACCCTCTGCACGACAGTTAGGCAAGCACTCGCAGATGTAATCCGGGTTTCCACTGAAGAAGAACGGAATCGAGTATCTCTCTCGGCCGGATTTGTTGATCACACGATGGGTGTTAGATTTATATTTGTCGTTCGCCATGCGCATGAAGAGGTTACCCAAATTCACCACATAGGCTCCGGGAACGGGTTTGACCTATCGATCTCTGTCAGAGTCAAGATTAAGAACGTATTTTGTTTGTAACTCACATCCAACCATTGTCCCGATGGAGCATCTAGTACTTGCAGCCCATCGACCTCGTCCTGCAGAAGGAGAGTGATGCATCCAAAGTCAGTATGTGCTCCAATTCCCCGGTTCAATTTCTCATCGGTATCCTGCGGCTGCGCCGGATAGTGTAGGTATCGCATTGTTGCGACAGCTCCGTCTGTGAGAGAATCAAAGAAGGTTGATTCAACACCCAATGTTTGAGCCAGGACTCCCAAAACATCCTTTGCAAGATCGAATGTAGCGTGGTAGTATTCCATAGTTGTTTCCTGGAATTCCTCCTTGTTGGGAACTGTAGGTGGCCATTGGTTGGGGCCACTGTTCAACTTCTTCTCCAAATAGTAAGGGTGGTCTTCGGGTATTTCCTCGCCAATGTACAAGCCCTCTTTCAGCTCGGGGCCGGTGCCCACTTCTAACATTTGCGATCGGAGGAGTTCGTAGCCTCTGTTGAATGTATTGAGGTCTATCCGGTTAGCAGAATTCGCGAGGATTAGGTAAGGATCTTACTCTTGTCAACTTTCAATTTCTCTTCCAGCGGGAGATCGAAGAAGCGCCTAGAGCAATCCATGACGCGGCGCTGCAAGTCCAGCGGGACGCGGTGGCCGGTGATCTGGAAAAAGCCGTTGTAATGGCAACATTTGCGAATCTCTTCGATCAACTTGGTTTTCGCATCGCTATCCTTTCCATAGAATGGAGAGAAATCCAAGATGGGCGGACCTGCGGGCAGAGACATTTTGGTGAACAAATTGATGAGCTGTGCTTGTGTTTGCTTGTATAGATCGCGTTGCCTTCAATATATTTCCTCGGAATTCAAAAAGAGTCACCCCAAGTCGTTTGACCCTCGCAGAGAAGTCCGACACCTCAACTCCAACTAATCCGGCTAATCCAGCTCGAGCTGGAGCTCTAGCATTTGCCATGAAGAATGGGGGTAGGGGCTTGGATGCACCAAGAATGGGGTCAACGGTTGATTAAGCTGCGATAAGGGCCCGTGGGCGTGCGGGGAAGATATGGGGATAACAAAGAACAAAAGTACAATTTATATCCTATCTGGGGCATATGGAGATATGGGATTGGTCATATTTGGACATGGCTTGTTGTACTGTTGTACTACGTCTGTGAACGTGAACATCAAGGGGTTGGAATGCTATATGAGGAGATGTTGCTCAGTATAAGAACCCGGTCAATTGACCTCCGCGCTATCTATTTGGAAATGAGCAGTTCAACAATCTATTATAATGTCTGAATTAAAGTCCGCCACAATGGCAAAGATTCTCGACGCTGAAGTAAACGTCGGCCAAAGCACTACGTATATAGACCCCGAGGCCGAGAGGTCCTATGTTAGGAAGATTGATTTCATTGTGCTTCCAACGCTATGCTTGGTGAGTTCTCAAACATGATAGACCAGGATATATAAAATATTTGTTAACTTCGAGGCTTGTTCTATCGCGCAGATGTACTTTTTTGACTGCATGGATCGGGTAAGTGCTTAGACAAAGGCATTATTTTTTTCGAATCGTGCTTACCATCATCCCAGAGCAATTTGGCAAATGCAAAGACAGATGGCCTTGAAAAGGACTTGAATCTGAAGGGAAATGACTATTCTCTATTGATCCTCCTGTTCTATATCCCCTTTGGGTTGTTCGATCTGCCATGGAATCTTTTGATAAAGAGATTTTCAGGAAGAATTATGCTGTCTATTAGTGAGATTCTTCAGCCCTTTCACGATACTCATGAGATTAGCTGACATATATGAAAGTGTCTATTGTGTGGGGAGTTCTAGCACTCTGTCAATGCGCCGCTAAAGATTTTGGTTCTCTGCTTGCAATTCGCATCATCTTGGGTGTTTTCGAAGCTGGTTTCTTTGCCGGAGCTACCTTCTACCTCACGTTGTTTTATACGCGTGGAGAAATGGGATTCCGCCTGGCTATTATGCAGTCATTTGCAGTTCTGGCGTCTGCCTTTAGTGGGCTTATCTCCTTTGGGGCATTCCAGATAAATGACCCGGCAGTCAAAGGATGGCAGTGGCTGTTTATTATTGAGGGTTCGATGACACTACTCACCGGAGCTGTAGCATTCTTTCTGCTTCCAGATGGGGCACAGAAAGCGTGGTTTTTGAGTGACAGAGAGAGGGCAGCAGCGACGGTACGTCTGCTTCGGGATACTTCGTCGGAGGTGGATACCCCATTTAATCTCAAGTCTGCCTTTGAATCGTGGAGCGACTGGAAATTCCCAGTGTGGTGTCTGATTACGTTCACATACCCTGTTGCCTATGCAACTGCAATGAATTTCTTCCCTTTGGTGAGCATCGAACCCCATATTGTCGAGGGTTGACTGACAATAGCAGATTGTTCAACGATTGGGGTACTCTGTCATTAAGACTAATCTCTGGACGGTGGCACCTAATCTCGTCGGAGCAGTATTCCTGCTATGCGTGGCGAAGTCATCCGACTATTTCCGCGAAAGAACGCTCCATATTGTCTTTTCTTTGGTAGTATCATTGGTCGGCATGATCATATTAATTGCGATTGACGTTCAGAGCAACAAGGGGGTAGCGTACTTTGCTTGTTTCCTAATGGCAGCAGGGTCATATATTCCATCGTGTCTCGTTCACGCATGGCACAACAATAACAACGTACACGAGAACTCGCGAGCTGCCAATACGGGCTTTTTTGTGGGACTGGGCAATTTCGCTGGAGTATTGAGCGCTGGGACATTCCGAACTCAATATGCACCAAAGTTAGAAACTCCGCTCTCCTGTGAAGAGCAATCACTAACTGAATAGATATCTACCAACTCTCATCGCAACTTGTTGTTGCAATGCCGTCTGCATCGTGCTTGTTCTCGGATTGGGATGCTGGATGCGTATGGAGAATCATCACCGAGACAGCAAACAGGGACTAAGACTGAGAGAGAATGAGACTGATACTAGTCATTTCAAGGAGGGCGAAAAGAGTGCAGAGTGGAGATACTTCCCTTAACATCTTCGTATCGTCTATAACATTGCAAACTATCCCTAGCTGAGAGAAATCCATGTTTTGACATAATTTTGTCATCCATTTATCCAGGCGTAGTTTGTCTATCTTGGGTTATATATATCGCAGTTCTTTGTGTGGTTTATACCTTTTAACGCGTGCGTATGTTGTACATATTATAGTGAGATGCCCGACATCTTTACACCCTTAACTTGTATTGTTATTCTCATTTCTGGCTGTACCTTTATAGCTAATTGTTACTTTTCTATTTCCAACCCCGTAAAAAAAAAAAGAAAAGAAAAGAAAGAAAAAAAAACCAGCAGATAAATCGGATTACGAAGTCTTGCATCATCAAGAACAGAGGCTGCAGGCGTGATCAATTACCGTTGTCTGATCTAGATTAATAGTTGATGCCATGAGCTCCATACTATAGCATCTTACGATGTCCCCTGGGATATTTGGAGAACACCCCCAACCTCCGCGGTGTCCCAGCCCTAGTGTCACATCCAAGGGCTCTAAGTGGCCGACACATCCATTGGCGCTAAATACTCTCGATAAGGCCTTTGCATATCTCATTAAAATCATACCAATCAGCCATTAGCGTGATGTAGTCCCCGCATTCTTATCAGTAGACATCGGGGTTTACTCCGAGGAAATTATTGGCAAAAAGCATTGAAGTAGGCAGCCAAACCTCGTTACGCACATTAGCACCTTAACCATGAAAAATCAGGAAAAACACCCCTGTCAGCACCCAGGTTGCACTAAAAGCTTCACGCGCGCAGAGCACCTGCGTCGCCATGCGCTCAACCACGAGCAGGCTCGAAATGGGTATACCTGCGAGCGTTGTTCTGTTCACTTTCAACGCTCAGATTTGCTAGGTAAGAAGAGCTCGGTTCGATGGTTAGTATGGGGCTGATATGTGTTCAGCACGACATATGGAGCGACACGAGAAACGAGATCTTGAAGCTGGAGGCCCTGGGCAGGGAACGTTGAAGACGAGAAAAAGAACGCGGAGAGCTGAGGATGGTTCTATTATTGTTCGTCCTTCGCAGCGACAGTTGAGAACTGCGGCTGCAACTCGATCCCCTATTTCAGCGAATAGTTCCAGTCAGGAACCAGAATTGCGAGAGGAGTACCTCCACGATGGTGTCCCCCTGTCACCACCCGGCTCAGGCACTGACCCAACTTCAATTTCTATGGATGATACAGATCCTTTCCTGGCTTCTTTAGTGCCAGCTGGGCCCTTTGAGCAATATGTTGAGCCGATGCCTGGACAGTTCGATGCAGCGGATGGGTCTTTTGGTGTCGAGCTGGACGGGATAGGGGATTATTTTGGAATGGACACTGGTATGCATGACTCCAAGTGATCGCTCATAATCTGTATACTAATTGCAGCAGCAACCGACTTCAACCTCCCATTTGCAGCAACTTCTAACTACAATTGGCTGTTCGATGTTTCCTCGCTCGATGATGCTTTCCATCAATTCAACCTCCCGCTTGGATTCGACACAGCGCCCATTTTGGGACAATTCGATTCGAATCCTGCAGAGGCGATGGAAAAATATGATGGTCCATCGGCCTTGCTCATAGCGTCAATCATGGACAGAAGCGAAGCATTTGGAGAAACCAACTCCCCCGCAGTACCCAGTCTCCCAGACCTGGACTGGATGTCTGGTGCGGCGACACTAGATCCCAACCCTCGAACAAATCTACCGATAATATCCAAAGAAGTGCGAAAGGAGATTCTAGCAATAGTGGCACACGCACATCCGACAAGTATCGATGGACACCCCATGGTCCTTGACTCGCCACTTCTGACACTCCCTGCGCTTCAGTCATACTGCGATATGTTCTTCGATCGGTTCAACACGACCTACCCACTGATCCACCAGCATACATTTGATCCAAGCAATGCACAACCAGTTTTCCTCGCATCGATCCTCTTTATGGGTGCGACATACGGCTCGCGTGAGGCCCATCAATTGGCCGTGGAGGTCCATGATGTCCTGCGAAGCCAGCTACTCTGCCACCCGGATTTCTCGCCACAAGCTGACCTGTGGGTTCTGCAGACCATGCTTTTGATAGACTGTTTTGGTAAGATGCGGGCTGGACCAAAGCAGCGCGAGCGCGCACAGCTGTTCCACTGCGTACTTATTAAAATGATCAGGCGTAGCAACTGCTGTGGTATACGCGACTTGTCGAATTTGAATCAGTCCGGGGATTTGGATCAACTCTGGCGACAGGCTATGGAGGAAGAACAGCGTAAGAGGGTGGCCATACATTGCTTTATGTGGGATACGCAGCACGCAGTGCTATTCTCCCAGTCGCTGTGTATGTCTGCCTTCGAGATCAGATCTTCATTACCGTGTGGTCCTGCAGTGTGGGATGCATCTTCTGCCCGAGAGTGGTCGCAACATGCCTTCTGCGAAGAGAATCGCCCCTTCCTTACTGTTCTGAAAGGATACATCACACCGGCGGCTGTTACGAGACCTCGAGATCTGAATGTCTTTGCCCGAATAGTCGTGCTACACGGATTAATGTCTGTATCTGCGGATCTGAGACGTCGCGATCAAACAACCCTGCGGTCAGAGACCCCAGAGCGTGTCGGAGCTTGGACACCGCGCATGGGTCGGTCCTATGATCTGTGGAAAGTCGACTTCGATGCCGATTGTCTTGCCATTAAACTCGCTCAAACTGCTAGTCCTCGGCAATTCACAGGGCTCAAAATCTCTGGTTATGCCCTTTATCATGCAGCGTACTTGGCGTTGAATGTCGAGGTTCTTGATTTGCAGATCGTTGCTGGTGCGTGCCAGATCCTGGGTCGTATAGTAACTGAGGCTGACCAGGCACGGTCGCTGCGGAATATTACGAGATGGCTTCAGGAGGAATCCGGACCATCCTGTACGACTGCGCGACAAGCCGCATCTTTACTCCAAGACGCCGTTTTGAGTCTTCATGACTGGGACCAGGCTGATTCCTTCCACTTCCCCTGGTGTTTGTATCTCTGCACGTTGGCCTGTTGGGTTTTCCATCGTGGGCCCAATCTCGCCTCTGATGAGAACAGGGTCAACACCGATCTTTCCTCATTGATCGTAATGCTAACCAATTGTCCCAGTTTACCGGAGCTAGCGGTGTTATCTGGAAAATACTGCCCCCGCCCTCTCGCAGCGGCTATGGCTAAACAACTAGCCACAGTACGATGGGCCGTTGTTCACGATGCTATGAAAGTTTTGATGAGATTGTCATGATATAGTTGTTCTATTTGATAGTCAATATGTAGTTTATCCAATCCGACATGTTGATCTGAACAAATGGGCACTATCTATGTCCATATCTATTTGGTATAGAAAGGATAATCGGTATAACCCTTCTCCGCAGGATCAGCACCATAGAATGTCGTGCGATCATAAGGAGTTAAAGGCAAACCATCCTTCAACCGACGTGGCAGATCAGGGTTTGAGATGAAATAACGACCAAACACGACAGCATCTGCTCCACCAGTCGCAACCTTAGAACCCGCATTTTCAGCGTTGAAGCTTCCAGCTGCCAGGAGAGAGATCCCTGACTTCTTCAGTGTCGGCCGGAACACGTCCAGTGACGGCTTATCCGAGGCCAGGGAGTCAATCTTCGCCGCTTCATCCAGGACCTCGTCGAAGCGAGGCTCGACCATATGCACGTATGCGGGTCGCGATTCCTCTGGCAACCCGGCAATCAGCGAACACAGCGTGAGCCAGTTGGCGTTGGGATTGGAATCCCGTGTATCCTGGAAATAATTGTAGGGCGACAGCCGGATGCCGACGCGGTCGGCTCCAATTTCGGCACTGACGGCTTGGAGGACTTCGAGGATGATGCGAGATCGCTTTTCGATGCTGCCACCGTATTCGTCGGTGCGGGTATTAACATTGTCGTGGAGGAATTGGTCAAGGAGATATCCATTGGCACCTGCTTTGTTAGTTATAGCACATGAATAAGACCGGAAGGGCTTTTACCGTGAACCTCGATGCCATCGAATCCGGCCTCGCGAGCTCGCTTCGCTGCACCAACGTATTCCTTTATTGTATCTTGGATTTCCTCGATAGTCATGGCACGGGGTGGTGAAGCAGCGTACTCAGACCCATCAAGTGCGTTTCCGCTAATTGGGATCTCACTGGCCCCAAGAACTTCCTTTCCTTCAATGAAGGAGGAAACAGTGGCGCGACCAACGTGCCACAATTGACAGTATATATAACCACCCTTAGCATGCACTGCATCGGTCACTTTCTTCCAGCCAGCGGTCTGCGAGGAAGTAAAGATACCAGGCACACCTGGGTATCCAGCAGCCTGACAATCGTTAGTTCCACAAACCAATCAAAACTAGTCAAACGGATGAAAATTCCACATACATGTCTGCTAATTGGAGTAGCTTCGGTCAACATAAACCCTCCCTCCGATGCTCGCTGCGAGTAGTATTCGACGTTAAGCTCATTGGGAACATAAACACCCTCAGACTCCTTGCCCGCTCTCATGCGTGTCAAGGGTGCCAAAACGACGCGGTGATTAAGAGTGAGAGCGCCCAGATGGACAGACTCGAACAAAGGATCGGTGATTGCGATTGAGCCCATTTTGCAAGGATATATTGATTTTGTGATTCGCTTAATTTGGCTTTGGATAGGACGATATATATAGTTCGAAGGGGTAATGGAATGCCATTTTTGGCGTTTACATTTTTTACTTTTCCACTGAAGGTGGGATCGTTGAGTTTCTCGAATAGTGGGATGAGGGTTGAGGGTGTGGTGATCGACAATCAAGGAAGCAGATTAACCCCCACTATGAGATGAGCTCCCCCATCCTCGAACATATGTCTCCACTTCCATTTTGGGATGCAGATCCTGTTGATTGTGAGAAATCTGGGGTTTATGCGATGGGATTGCTAATTTCTTTCTGTGAACTTGTCATTTTTGTAGTATCGATATCAACTATGGATATACAAGTAAATACCAGGCATTCAAAAGACGTTGTTCGAAATGTATATCTGCATGCTAAACAGTATATATATTAAGTACTACTACAGAAATATACGAATAGGAACAATGCGCTTGTTTGAACCATATTCTTTGAAGAAAAAAATCTCCAAAAAAACAGAAAAAAAAGTGGGATTTAAAAGAAAATATCATTAGCATCATCTTACAGATTGGATCCAAAGAAATAAAAACGTAGTTATTCAATCTGTAACTAATTTCATTTGTCTTATAATTTCTAAATACACATTCAACGAAGTACTTCCATCAGATATTACACCATGAAAGAGAAATAATCCTGCAACCATTGCCCGATGACACCTACTTGTTCGGCATCCCAAGTATCAATAGCTCCAATATATCCATCGGGCCTCACAACAGCAATTCCAATCTTCTCCTTGTTCAAATTGCCAAACCACTTCTCCGTAGAACTTGGTTCTCCAACATTGTCAACATACAAAGTCCACCGACTAGTCTGCAGTATCTCCGGTAGATCGGCAATCTCAAACTCGGACTGAGCAGCCTGCGTGACCAGTGCAAATGTAAAAGCATTGGAGACAGCCGTGTAACGCTGAGCTTGAATGAATCCATCTGAGGGGGAATTTCCCCTGGGATGCTTCGCATATGACTTATCTGCTGTCATGTTGACACCAGCAAGAATAGACTGCAATTGTTGACAGATATTATCAAGTGATGCCTGCGAGCGGGAAACATCCGGTACGAAAATATAAATTTTGAATTGACCCAAAAGAGGAATATCCAACTGAATATCGACCGGGTTGGCATCTATATAGCGGGTAACTTTAGCTGGGACTTGGAGCATTCCAGGTTGGAGACGAGATGTGGTGGCTGGAGCTTGTGTCAAGATTCCTGGAGCATATTCGGCTCCGAGACCGGATATGAATCGAATGTTCTCGTCGAAGTTCTTGGCTAGTTCTGCGTCGCCTGCCGCGAAGGCTTTGCAGTGCTCCACGTCGAAATTGATAAGGTCGTATGCTATCTTTTGTCTTTCTTCTTCGTAGGTCTGCAGTAAGGATGGTTTCGCCAGTCCTCGGGCTAGGAGGTTGAGCTTCCATGCGAGGTTGAAGCTATCGTGCATACTTGTGTTAGCACCTTGGGCTGCAAGAGCTGAGTGACAGTGGCCGGCCTGTATATCAGTTAATCTAGGGGCAAGGCTAATTCCAAATATAGTGCAACTTACATCGCCTGCAATAAATATCTGTGCTTCTGAGTCCATGAAGCGTTTCGCAACCCGTTGGCCCACAACATATGTTCCGAACCACTCGACTGTCTTCCACTCTAGTTTGAATGGATGCATTGCCTCTCTGGCACGGCTCATGACATATTCAGTGGTGGCTTTTGATTTTTCCACTCGCTCTCCATCGGTGGAACTCAACTCAACGTATAATCGAGTCATACCTTTTTCACGTGGAATCCACAAAATCGATCCAGCAGAATGAGACCGTAACGCGACTTTGCTCCATAGATCAGGGAAGTCGGTATCAATCACGCCTACATTATCAGCCAAAATCTCTCCCCAGATACGGGAAACACATACCATCCAGCACTCCCCATGCCGCGTTTGTTAATTCTCCCTCAAGCTCAGCATCCGGAATGAACGATCTGACTTTAGATCTAGCTCCATCGCACCCAACCAAGTAATCCGCTCTGATTTTGCAAGGAGTGTTTGTAGTAACATCCTCATATAAAATATCCAATTGTCTTGTTCCATGCACACGCGCACAAGATACGAACTTGCTATTGCGAGTGACGAACACCCCCCGCGCCTCCATATCATCGATCATGACCTCCTCGACCATCCCTTGGTGGGCTAGCAAGATGTATGGATCGGAGGCACCGACATGCTCGGGGTAGTGGGTTTTGCGACCAGTGCGTTTAAGGGACTCGTCGGCGGTTGATTCCTAGTATTTTTTTAGCCAGATCCAACGCCAGCAATTGATTTGAAACATACCCAGAAGGAAATATCGTAAACCCGAGCTCCATTCTTCATTAACGGGTCCGCCAGCCCAAGTTGTCTGAATGTCTCGATGGTCTTGGGTTGCATTCCATCCGCCTTGCCTGTGGATGTCTTGTCGGGACGATCATCCAGAATCACCACGGCGATTCCAAAGCGAACAAGATTACATCTTCGAAGCTGTTAATATCTCGTCAATTGCAGAAGACAAAGCTTGACATACGCTAACATCAACCCCGAGGGTCCCGCGCCCACCACCACAACAGTAGTGGTAGCATCGACAGGGCCAATTCTGTATCCTTCGTGGTCTGCGCTTGGTGACATTACTGAAATTGAATTTGTTGTTTGACTTGATAAAACTCTTGATTCTTTTCTATCATCTCTATTTATTGAATTGTTCAAATCGATGCGGGGGAAAACCCCCACTCTTCACAGGTGTTTATCACCATCGTGTCACCCCACCGTCCACAACAATGTCCGACCCGGTCATGTACGAACTCGCGTCACTTGCGAGGAATACACACGCTCCCATGATATCTTCTGGTTCAGCAATACGACCGTTCATGGCTTCGGACTTCCAGCCGTCGAGGAGATGGGGGAACTGGTCATTAGCGCATATCGGAGTACTTTGCTTGGGTGGGAGCTTACTGAAGCTGTCATCTCTGTCTTCACGAATCCCGGGGAGATGGAATTGACTCGAATACCCTGTCACGCTGAGTTAATAGCGTTCCTTAGAAGTCGGTTTGCGATGCGATGAACTCACATATTCGGCCACTTCTTTTGCGATCGCAGGACACATCGATCTGACCGCGCCTTTCGTGCCACAATAGGCGGAACACAGCTGGCTGCGCACAGCGATATGGCTTGCCATACTGGCCACTAAAATAATGCTGCCATGTTTTGTCTTGTTCGCAATCATCTGCTTAGCTGCGAGCTGGGCAGTGAAGTAAAGACCGAGTACGTTGATAGATAGTAGATCCTGATGATCCTTGTAGGTAAATTCGAGGAATGGGAGGTGGCGGTTAATGCCGGCGCATGGAACGCAGATATCAAGAGCATTATCAAAATCTTTTTGAAAGCTGGCGAAGCCTTCTTCCAATGATTCCTGAGATGAGACGTCGACCCTGCTGTTGTTAGTGACTGAACCCCCAAATGAATAATATTGAATACACCCACTTGTAATACGCACTTCGGACACCGCAGTCCTTCTCAATTGCATGGAATCCTTCCTCGGGTGGAACAACATCAAACACAGCTACATCAGCGCCAGCCTCGGCGAGCCCCCGCGCAAAGGCCAGCCCACAACCCCGAGCACCACCAGTTACTAGTGCCGTGCGCCCTTTCAAAGAAAACTTACTCGGTTAAGTCAGATCCTCAAGGACAGGTGGGAGCACTCACTCTCAACATATCGTAGTATAGCTGAATACCCGTTTTTCTGTGTAGTGAAGCCCTTTCCCCTCAGACATTCCGGCCTTTTAAGCTATCAGATAGCGGCATACCTAGACTAAGCTAACCCCCATCTTTGTCCATAGTTGGAATCGAGTCGAGTAAAGATGGAGGAACCATGTTCGATGTGCCTATCTATCATAAGTAGTCCTGTACCACATAATATTGGACAGTATTCAACAATCGAAACATCCCTCATCTTGGTTCCGTTACACACCCGTCACAATGGCCCCTCAAATCCGCATCAAAGAGCAAGACGTCCGCTTTTCGTCATGCCAACTAAAAGTGGTCATTGTCGGCGCAGGTCTTGCAGGACTTGGGTCCGCAATCAGTTGCGCGCTCGCTGGGCATGAAGTCCAGGTTCTCGAATCAACACGGGAAATCAAAGAGGTCGGCGCCGGCATCCAGGTTCTACCCAACAGCTCGCGTGTACTCCAGCATTGGGGTCTTGAAAAGGCTCTGACGCCACACATGACCGTTCCTCGAGTTTGCAACTTCCTTGGATGGAAGGGCAATCATATTTCGTCCTTGGACTTCCACGCATCGGAGAGGAACTACCCGGGAACTTGGTATCGCGACTTCCACCGCGCGGATTTGCAACAATGTCTGGTTAGGAGAGCCCTCGAGTTGGGGGTTAATATTACCTGCAATGCTCGTGTGGCAGATGTGACCGTGAGCGAAGATGGGACCACAGCTACTGCCAACGCGGTGGATGGGAGGCAATGGATTGGAGACCTTGTCATTGGGGCGGATGGAGTGTTTGGGAAATTAACGGAAGGATTGCTGGGTCGAGTCGACCCTCCGGTGAAGACTGGAGATCTCGCATACCGCTTGCTGTTGTCAACGGAGGAGATGCGGAAGGACCCTGATCTTGCAGAATTGGTGACAGATCCCCAGGTCAACTACTGGTTAGGTCCAGATGCTCACGCAGGTATGCCTTTCTCTTCATCCCATGGGTTCATTGCTAATCCTGTAGTGAACTATGTGCTTCGAGGCGGAGAGTTGTTCAACATGGTACTACTCGTTCCCGACGATATCCCAGAGGAATCTTTGGCATCGACTATTGAAGGAAATGTGGAAGAGATGTGTGCTTTTTTCAAAGACTGGGATCCTCGGTACATTGTATACTTCCCTTCAACCGCGAGTACATACTGACTACCACAGCATCCCCAAACTTTTGAAGCTTTGTGAGTCTGTTCAGAAATGGCGACTTTGTATCCGATTCGGAGACTTTGATTGGACTCACCCCTCCGGGGCATTTGTGATGCTAGGCGATGCAGTCCACGCTACACTGCCGTATTTGGCCTCTGGGTATGATTCTCTTCGGTGTTCAATTTCCCGTTCGCTAAGAGTTGTAGTGCTGGAATGTCCTTCGAGGATGGAGCAGTTCTAGGCGAATGTCTCTCCCGACTCCCAAACAGCCCCGGCATCTCCAAGACCTCAGCCGAGTTCCTGACTGCCAAGCAACAAGCCCTTGCTATCTTCCAGGAGTGTCGCAAACAGCGAACGAAGATGATTGTGGAGAGGGGAAATATCCAACAATACCTCTATCACCTCCATGACGGCGCGGAACAGCAAGAAAGAGATCGCAAGATGCAGATGATTCCCACGCCCGAGGGAGAAGCATTGGCTTGGCGAGACCCCGGCCTAGCACCTAAATTGCTGGGATATGATCACATCGCAGACGTACGTATCCCTTTCTCTGGCTCTGGAATTCACTGACTGTACTCAGGTTGATCGACGGTGGGGTAAATCAATAGGAACTAGCGTTATTGAGTCGAGACTATAGATATTTGCAATTACCCATTCTAATCACTGGAACCAGAATCGGCGACATCAACTTATAATTCCCAAAGTCCCCTTCATTTCTCACTTAAACACATAAAATTAGTCCTTGACCATCATGAGCAACCCTTGGTTGAGATTTACTGTATTTGGGGTCGTTTTGATCCGGGGTCAGCGTTCGGTGTGCTGACCCCGACTCCTCCATGCCAGAGAAGGGGCAAATAACCACAGCCGATATATACTATGTTTCTATATTAGTTTTTCAGATAAGTTCTCATATCACCGAATATCGGAGGTGGCATAAGGGTAGTGGAGTGCGAGGGTGTCCTTTTGAAACAATGCGCAGGCGGCCGTGGACAGTCCCAACGGAGGTACACAGGTTTCCTCGTAGGAGAGGGTATCCGGGATTGGCAATGCCATGTTCGCACACACCACCGTATAATTCTGAAATTAACCCTCGGAATTCTTGTTGACGGTGGGATCCATCGAGAGTGCGTCGCGCAGGGCGCGGTCACCGGGCTTGAAGAGTGTAACTCCCGAGCGAAATTCGACAACCTCGCCGGTAAGGTCGTTGCCGAGAACAAATGGGTATTTGATCCATGCGAACATCGTGTCTCCGACAAGCTATTTGGACCATTTTACCGGCTTCATAGCAGACGCACCATTCTTGATGACGAGTTCGTTGGTTGCAGGAGAATTGTAGGGGGCGGTTTTAACCTCGAGTGGTCGTACAGATTTGGCTATTAACCAGGCTGTTCGATTGGATGGCACAGTTTACGTGTCCGGAGTCTGGTGGAGCCACAGGTCGGTGCCGAATCCCGATCCAAACCACTGCCATCAGCTCGACTAGGAACGTCATAGTTGATCTACGCTTTTGTTCCTCGCGCACCATAAGTTGATATGACTCTTGGTCTTGATTCAGTATGTGAGTATAGCATAACACAGGTGTGACATGTATGGTCTGCCCTATGTCCACTCAAACCATATTATCCCATGAGGATAATATATATGCCTTAAGCGCTATGTACGGTCCTTTCCATGCTACACGGCGTGGTTCGGATATTTTGTTACCAGCATGGCCCGGTAGACGGGACTCTGGTAGACTCATACTGCCTGCAACTTCGACTTTCCGGCCTTTCTGCTAGACTCAAGGGCAGCAGACAAGCCAAACTGGGAAGCGATTCCATTGACACGATGAGTTGAGTTCAAATTCTTGACAACCAGAATTTGGAAACAAGTGGCGCTCCCTTGGCGAGAAGCGATGACTGACCAGGCTAGGAAGAGCTCCCAAATCTATTGAAGATTAGATAAAGATTGGATTCACATGTAGGAAGAATCTTACTCTGAACCATCTTTGGCCATATTTGGCCTTGATTGTATCGGTATTGCCGATCCAGTTACGGTACCATCTCCAAAGTGTTCCGGAATAGTGGACCCCGACGGTGTCAACACTATTTATATTCATGTTTAGTCCCGCCCAACAGTTTGAATGCGCGTGTAGGACTCACCCTTTTATTTCAAATCCAGCTCGCTCCAGGGACCTCACGTAATTCCAAAGAGGCGTAGAAGCGTCTGCGCCACGGAAGATGTATTTGTTCAAATACAACCCCCAGACGAAATCCTCATACTGCCATGCCTGCCGGAGACCAGACAGCTGCACATACATGGCACCGTCATCTTGCAGCATATCATAGCATTGGCGGAAGAAGCCGGTCAATTTCCGGATACCAACATGCTCACCCATCTCCAGCTGCGTGATCTTATCATACTTCATATGGGGAATGTCGCGGTAGTCCATGCAGAGGATACGGCTTTGGGCCTCCGGGATACCAGCCTTTCGGAGAGCGTCATTTCCCCAAGCGGTCTGGTGTCGTGCAATAGTGAGACCGGTCACATTTGCTCCGTAGTTGAGACTCGCGAACCTCGCCAATGTTCCCCATCCACAGCCGATATCCAGCATTGTTTCGCCTTTCTTGAGTGCGAGCTTCTCGCAAACAATCGCCATCTTGTTATCCTGCATTTCTTCCAGTGTTTCCTCTCGCTCTGTGTCGGATATGATACCGGAAGTATAGATCATGCGAGGACCGAGGAACCAGGCGTAGTGATCGTTGCCGCGGTCGTAGTTTGGACGGATCTGCTCTTCATCCTGGGACTTAGTATGAAACAACACATCCCTTGCGAAGGTCAGGAAAATGAATTTGAACAGGTCCCAGGTAAATCCGAAGTGTGCCCAATCGTGTCGATATTCCATAATGTCCAAACAATCTCCGTTAAAATCCACTGCGCCATTCAGGTACAATTCACAAAAGGTTTGCATAGGGACGCGTTTTCGTCCATGCCATTTCGCACGATCAGCCTCGTTTTTGAATGTCACATAGTGCTCTATGGGTCGACCCGGCAGTTTCACCTTGTCATTGATGCGAGGACTAGAGGTAGATTTCCAAGCCCAGAAACCAATGAGGACCGGCAAACCAGTAATGAGACCGAGGAATAGTGCCGTTTTCACGCCTCTGCCCAGTATGTAGGCTAGGAGAGCTGGAACCCCCGCGAGGGCGCTGATCAATACGCGATTAGAAAAGCTCTCATTGCCAGCACCTTCCGCCGGTAAAGGAGGATTGTGGATGGCAGGTGACTACGGACGTTAGCGATTGATTGGGCAAGGTTAGGATTATTGATAGACTGACATTTGTCAGTGGAATTCCACAGCTTTCACCTGTTCCGAAAGCCGAGGGCTTGGGTACCGGTGTCTGTATGAACTCAATGTCACTGTCAAGGGTGACATTGTTTGTTTCTTTATGAGCCATGCTAGGCACTTTGATACATCTGCTTTGCTGCAATTGATGAGAAACAATTGAAGTCAGTTGGAAAAGCTCAGAAACAATCCCCAAGGGGCTTGTTTCGTCATAGGAACCCGCCCCCTGTATAGAAACCTTGAACCCTGTCGCTTCCCGCGGGTTCCGAAGGCACCGGTCAAAATGGTGAAGACGATGGAGAATGCATATCCCGTACTGAAACAAGGGTGGTCCCCTTCGGGTCCCGCGGACTCCGATGATATATATAGCAACGCCAACCTCCTTAATTTGTACATTTGATTCCAACTCTTCTTGCAGGACCCATGGATTCAATACACGAAATTAACACACATGACTTTGAAAATAAGAACAACGGGCACACTGTTTTTCCTTCACTTTCACTGGCTGCTTGGGGTATGTCTACCGCTGGCCTCAATTTCTCTATGTGATGTAATTATTGTAATATTTTATATATTATTGAGCTGTAAACTTCTTTATCAACGACAACGACGAAACACTGACCTTGAATCAAAGGTCACACCACTAGCAGTTTTGGTACTATTAGCCCACCCGTGGACGTCTGTAGAAAAATTTCTACGACCTTATTATAGCTTAATGTTAATTGAAAAAGCACTTGTCACAGAGATCCGAAACTGAGTTTGTAGGTATTGTGTATAAGTTTACAGCTGAGCATCCTGAACATGTATCTAGACAGCTGAAAAGACCGGTGGAAGATGTTAAGGTGCCGACACAATCATGCTGTCACAAGCCTGGTGGAGATTGACTCCAGCGGACGCAGCATCATAAGTCATGATCATGACTTTCAAGTCCCTGGATCATTGAACTTGTTAATAAGCATTTTGATCCAGAGTAGATAAGCTGGCATGTAGAGTTTGAACACCAACAAGGAGGTTCGTCAAGCTCCATGAACCAAGCGGTGACAAAAGGACAATTCAACAATGAGAGGTTTTTGATGGCACCACTTGGTGCTATCCTAATGTTCTAGGATTTTCCAACTTGATTATTTGTAGAACTACATGGGGGAAAGGAGAAGTCAAAAAAATCACCTTCAGAAGTTGCTCGGATTTCTTCAACTTGGGGTGAGGAATGTCTTTACAGACACGGTAAAAGTGCTCTGATCGAGCCCCAGCTTTGCTCCATTCATCAGTTTGACCGGTCTTGGTATCGGAGCTTGCTTTCTCACAGTAATCATCAAATCCTGCCAACAAGGCTGAACACGTTGCCATTTCAAGATGGCGTAAATGACGTGTGCGGGCACCGCATCGTTGCCGATTGATTTTTTTTGCTCGCAGTTGTAATAGAGATTGTGACTTCTTTCCCTTCCCCTTCACCCTTGCTCGCATTCTGACCAGGACTGTATTCCTTCACGTAATCACTGCAAGGCACATATGTCATTAACAGGGCAAGGTCACAGGTTATGATAATCAATTTACATGGCAGAATGTAATGCCATGTTAAGGTGTATGTCTGCCTAAGGCGCCCACCCCATCAAGTCATTTAGGGGCGAGTATGACCAGTTCGGGTTTATAAATGAATTTCTCGATGCAAAAATATCACTGTGGACGGCATTCACAACCGAAACAGAATTCAGGGCACACCGAAAAGCCATTATATATCAGCCGAGTGTCGATTAGTGATGGATTGTTGGAGTAGGCTCCTCCGGTTTCTACTGCAATCCGAAATCTTCGAGAAACACGACTACGTCATCTACACAAAATAAGGTGCCAACGAAACTAATAGCAATAGCAAGTAAAGGATTAGTTCTGATACGGTAACGTATATCATGACATACATAATCTAGAACATGACGTAATATGCTATTGACTTGAAATAACTGCAGTTTTGACTCAAGCATCATATGTGCGTAATCTGCCCCGGCGTTTCGTTCATTGCAATTTCACAATCCCAAACTAATATCTTCTCCTTAACATCCCTAAGGTGTCTCTAACTACCATTAGAAGTATGGTAACAGAGCTTCACCCCGTTCTGGGGTTTCCAATGTCAACGCAAACTGTCTCCGTTTCCTTGATTGATTGGCACAACGTCTCCCTGCATCGCTCGAATTTCAAGTTCTCGCCATGAGCAATATAATATGCTAATGTTCTCCAGTGGTGCTCGCCTCGATCTTCCAGCAGAACAGTTCTTATCTCCAAATATAGATGGCCATGAGCGCCTTCGAATCCCTTCTTATTCCTTTCTAATAACCCACCCATCAAAAGGTCGGGTACTGTTTGATCTGTCTCTGCGGAAGGACTTTCAGAATCTCGCCCCAGTCATGACGAATCGTATAAACAATCCAAGTGTGGGGTGGAGAATGGAAGTGCCTCAGGACGTGCCCGACATACTGGTCGCGAATGGAATTGAACTACACGAAATCAAATCGATATTTTGGTCTCATCAACACTTTGATCATATTGGGGATCCATCCAAATTTCCCAGCAACACGGAGTTGGTTGTCGGGCCGGGATTCACGGAGGCATATACCTACCCCAGGGTATCCGGATAATCCGGAGTCACCGGTGAAATCGGCTGATTTGAAGGGGCGTCGTGTAAATGAACTTGATTTTGACAATTCTAAAGAGTCCATCTCCATTGGACGCTTCAAAGCTTTTGACTGGTTTGAAGACGGGAGCTTCTATTTATTGGATGTTCCGGGTCATTCCGCCGGTCTTATCTGTGGCTTTGCTCGTGTAAAGCCTGACTCTTTCATCTTAATGGGTGGGGTGAGTAGTGATTGATGTCTTTATTACAATAGCGGTGCTGACAGATATCAGGATTGTGCCCATCACCCCGGGGAATTTCGCCCGTCCAACATTGCCCCCGTTCCTAAAGATCTTATCCCATTGCATGTAGCAGTACATGCGAAACAGGCGTCCGTGTGCCCCGGGAGCATCACTGAAAAAATCAATAAAAAGAGCGATATCGAACGGTCACCAATCTACAAGGCCGCTGCAATGTTTACTCACGACATTGACAAATGCCAGTGGAGTATACAAGGCATTCAAGAACTCGATGCCTGTCAAAATGTGCTTGAGATCATAGCTCATGACGGTGGGATTTTGCCTGTACTCCAACAGGCAAATGGGAAAGAATCGTCCTTCCTTTTTCCAAAGGGGGAATTGACCGAATGGCAACATAACGAATTTAAGGAGGCTGTTAAGTGGGTTTTCTTGTCCGATCTAGCAATCCTTTTTTGACCACGACATGAAACCTCCGCATTCCTTTGGTGCTTTGCAACATCACCCGAGCGTGGATTACACATGAATTATCTTCCATGCACTGCATAGAATTAAATCGGAAAAGGCCTTCATACTATATTTTTTTCAATTGTTCTTTGTACTGTACTATTCAAATTCTCACCCGAGGGCATTTTTGTCAGGCATCAACAGATGGATCGCTTTACGAACAGATTCAGGTAATCCGCAGCAGAAAACATATAAATTGGTTCGCGGGCTGCAACTCGAACACGTCCCCGCCTTAGTAATTTTTTTTTTTTTTTTTTTTTCATTATTATTATTCCGCGCCTGATTCATGATTTGGCTAGGCCACTATACGCCTGCGTAGGGGATGATTCAGTGCATGGATTTATGGATTATGTTTTGGAAAAGAATGCTTGTCAGGAATGCCCAGCCTAAAAGTCGATGCAGATCTTTCCAATGTGCTGTCCACCTGTCATGAAGTCAAGAGCCTTAATAACCTCATCACGGCCGAATTTGAATACCTTCTCAACCGGAATCTGCAAGTTTTGCTTGCCGATGAAGCGAACAGCATTTTCTAGCATCTCCTTCGAGCCGACCATGATTCCACGCACAACGGCTCCCTTGCCCAAGGCAAGAAGGGCGACGTCGGGCATCTCGTCTTGGGATGCAAGAGACAAGAATCCGATACAGGAGATAATTCCACCGTACGCGATTGCTTCCAGTGATTGTTTTATTGTACCGGAGCCACCGTTCTCGAGAATGAAATCGACACCTTGGCCACCGGTGATCTTCTGGGCCTCAGCTGCCCAGTCGGGGGTCTTTTTGTAGTTGATAATGTGATCAACACCGTACTTCTGCTTCACATAGGCTAGCTTCTCATCAGAAGAGGATGTGATGATTGTGGTCGCACCAGCCGCTTTAGCCAACACTAGGCCAGTGATAGATACTCCTCCCGTGCCTATCAATTGAATATCAGCGCCGTTGTCTAAAGGGATAGATTAAGAAGTGTCGTATAGACATAGCATAGCATACCCTGGAAAAGAACAGTCTGGCCGGGCTTCAATGCCAAGTTTCCATACAGAGCATTCCAAGCAGTCACACCAGTACAGATAACACTAGCCCACTGGGCGTAGCTAAGAGTGGACGACTCAGGCACCTTCACCACACCCTGGGCCGGAATCGTGATGTACTCCCTTAGCACTCCATCTGTTGGGCCGCCTAGGCCGGTTTGCCAGGTCTTTATAGGTCCATACAGAGTGGCCGGATCGAAGGCAGCGACAACTTTGTCACCTTTCGCAAATTCGGTCACTCCTTCGCCAACTTCGACGATATCACCCGCAGCATCGGATCCCGGAACCACATTGTCCTTGACGGGAAATGGGTACTGGCTAGTGGCGATAGCAACGTCTCTGTAGTTAAGAGCAACGCTGCGGACTTTAATGAGGACTTCATGTTTTCCAACAGTGGGACGAGGCTCAACGAATGTTTGGATGTTTTTCCAAGAATCGCGAGTCGTGTGGCGAAGAACAGTGTGAGAAGACATTGTGATATGAAGCAAGGAGTTGAAAAGTCCCAGTCAATTGTGATGATTGAGTTTGAATTGTAGCAGAGATATTTGCAGCAGGGTGAAACGTTCTATTTAACATTCATTTCTCTACGTAGCTAAAGGTTGCTGTGTACTCAGTTTCTACCCCACTCGAACCACATCGCATTTTCTACCCCAAAGCTTATAGATCTGCTTACATATCGATTGTTATTGCCCAGGTGGATCGAGTGGCGGGAAATTACCTAATTATGGAAACAGTGGGGCGAAATGCATTTAGATTCCCTCTAATGCCGGATGGGGTAGATATCGGGCATACATGGAGTAATTACCCCAGTGTCTTCCGAGGAATGCGAACCCATCTTACGCCACATTCCCCTTCCACAATTGATAGTATCATTGGACTAATAGGATTCGTTATTCGATCGGAGATCGGGGCTACGGAGTAACCAACGTTGGTTTTGAAAAGGATAGACTGCCGTAGAATGAAGCAGACAATTGCGAGGGAACTGTGACAGAAATAAAGAGAACTTCTATTCATTGGCCTTTCTTCTGTGTAAGCCAGCGAGCCTGAAGTTGTTCCAAATTGTGAAGTTAGATCATTGTTCTCCAATGTCAAGTCGAAGATGACAGCCGGGAATCCAGGATATCAGCGATAATGGTAACACTCTCGCCTATGACCTGAGAGATATTGAATACATGAAACCCTCCAAATGTTTCGGCCCATAGTCGAGCAGTAGATGCTGCTAGACGGCGGACTGCATCCGCATCATCATCCGCCCAATCTGAAATCTCAGTAAGATCTGCCTCTCTGATAACAGTATAAAGCATGCTGAGGAGCTTACGCTCATCGTCCCGTAAATTTTGAACGCCGAACACCTCTATACATCGAGCAATCTCCTGGAGCCAATGGTTGAGAAGGAATGTACATTCAAGGTTGCAAAGCGAATGCTGCATGCTCCAGTTCAGCATTTGAGTGCGTGCTATGAACTGTATTCCCGACCGGACAGGAATACTTAGTGCGTGGATGCACTGCAAAACCGCACGGTCAAGAAAAGGGGAGCGTTGACAGACAGCAGGTCGGCCATCGATAAGCGCACGGGCAATTTCCTCGGGATTCCGAGTACTTAGTTGGCGGTGCGGTCCTGTGTTGGCATTTAGACGAATATATGCTAAGCGCACAAGGGCCGTGGCGTTGAATCCTATGGGTCCTCTAGGCGATAATGGATCCAGGGTGGATTCATAGGTTGCCTCCCAGGAATTCTGCCACGCTCGCAGTGCCGATTCCATTGCCTGCACAAAGCCCATTGAAAAAGACCCGGTAGATTGGTCTACCAGAGAAGATGTGTTGCGAGCGAAGAAGATCTCTTGAAATAAGCCATGGATGAGTACATAATTCGCGAAGGCAGAGACTGCCGCCGGCTCGTGAATTTGATTCCCCTTGATAATTTCTCCCAAAGCTTGCTGGAAGTTTCTGGAATCAGGTGTATGAAATCTTCGCATGTGCCTCCACTCTTGGGGATTCGGGGCGTTCCATTCCTCGCCGCAAGATGGCAAGCTCAAAAGTACTTCCTGGTTCAAGATCGTGGGCGGGAAATGAAAGGCTAGGCATTGTAAGTTGGATTGAGCATATGCCACCCATAGTGTTCGACGGCGCTCCTCCTTCTCCACCCAGTCTTCCCAAGAAGATGTCTCATGGCCTGCGTCAGGTGTAGAGATGCCGATTTCACGGACTAACATAGCGACTTGGCCGGACATCGTGAGTGAGTCACCCACTACAGCACGATCGCCCCATGATGCCAAAGTCATCAAGGCTATAAGTCCCTGCAACAAACGTAAAAGCTTTGGAGTCTTTGTAGATAAGCCAGGATGAGCATCTTCATCGTTATTGATGGTAGGGGAGCTCTGCGGGTGACGTCGTATATTTGAAGTCTCTGCGTAGCTGTGGGAAGTCTTTGTTAGATTCGAAATCTCCACGCCGCTGCGTTGGTCGAGACGCCAGTTGATGAGTGTCCGTGCGGCGTGGTAGATCATGTACCCTTTTGCATCTTCAAAGCGATAGAACGCTCCAACCGCCGCCAGTGATAGAATGAGTTCTGTGCCGAGCGAGGAGGCAGAGGAAGATGGGATGTGGAGGAATGGCATGTGATCATGATAACTGCGAAAGAATCCTTCTAGGAAGCGAGAGACAGTGTGTCGGGAAGGCAAAGAAAAAGACGACGGTAGAACAAGGGCGGTCTCTTTAATGTCATTGGAAAGCGCTGCATAATCCGAAGGCGTCAGTTTCCAAGGGGAAATTGAAGGAGCAAAATTCCCTTTCAATTGACGGTTTTGCGATGGATCTCCCTCTTCCTTGGCAGCGATGGGGTGATTTTCGTGGTCCACGTTGGGCTGCATGAAATAAGGTCGCGGTTCCGGCAAGGATGGCCGCCCCGGAGCTGTTAAACGGTGCGCTGTATTTATGTCTAGAGAATTATCGACGCTTTGTTGCCCTTGCTCTACTTGCTCGGAGGTTTGCTGTTGCTCCAGGAGAGGAATTTGATATTGCTGGGAAATATCCACCAAAGAGAGGTTCGTGTCGAAGAAGCTGGCAGGTAGAACCTCTGAAAATGGACACGAGTCGTTCCAAAGAAAGTCTAAATCATCGGTCTCATTCCACGGTATTGTTTGGTTGGCAGTGTTTTCCAACGCAATTCCCATGAGATCAGCTTCAAAGGGGAGCCCAATAGGATCACTTTGAATATGTGGCTCGTCGCTAGTGGGAATATGTTGGGATAAAGACAACCCAGCCTCAGTAATGGTGGAGCCGGTCCCTTGGGTGTCGTCAAGCTCATGAGTACCGAAAGAGTTGCGAGATATCCCACCTCGCTGGGGTGGCGAGGATGGATCGTCAACAGCTACATCAGAATACTCCGGGCTGTCCTTGTGGGACAGCCGTAGATGGCGCGTCAACATATCTCTTGAGAGATGGTCAAGTCAGTACGCACGATCTTATTAAAAGTCACGCTTGCTTACTGTCGTGCAAATCTTCCGCCACATTCACATATGAAGGGCTTCTCATGTGTATCTCCAGAAATGTTAGTCAACTGATAGGAGTTGCGAAGTTTATCTCTTACGGGTGCGCTCATGTCGCCGGAGATGTTCTTGTCGCTTGAACTGCTTTTGGCAGAACCTGCACAGCGGGACAACAGAGCGCGGTCGGCCCATCGCCCCTGGCACTGGGCCGTCGCGTCAATTAGGGCAGAAAATCCGTGGAGCTTAAATGATAGAAATATGATGGCTGACCCGCAAGGCGTTGATGAGCCGCAAATAGCGGGTCCGGTCCTCATCATGTGACCAAGGACACGTGAGGGGATACAAAGCTTCCAGTCCGCAGCAATTCTAAAGCTACTTAGAATGATTAAATTATTTAAGTATTGGGGACACTATTGTAAGAGTATGTCTGACCATCAGGCTGCGCCTAAGAATATACATAGGATGAATATAGAATCTGGAAATACAAGGCTGAAGGTATATATGTACCATAGTAGTACCCGGGTTCTGATATAGTTGAAAGGCTTTCCCCATGATAGATAGAAATATGAAACTGTACACTAGAAAGCGCAGATCGTGCACTCGAGCTAGATATTTGATTTTTACAAGCTATCCCAATTCAAATCTTTTCACTAGTATATACGTGGCTGGGGAGCTTGTCACGCTTTCTATACCGTTGTTCACCGTGCTACTATATTTTGCATTGATCTTTAAGAGCTGCACCGCTCGCCCGTCATTGAATTTCCGTAAGAATGCGATCCTTGGCTCAAGGCACCCAAGGGTCCGAGCCAATTATGCACTCGAACTGTACCAATCCGTAGATGCTGCACAGCCTTCTACATCACCCATTTCAAGACGCTGAGTGAGTCGACAGGGGTGGGAAAACCGCTATCAGAAGAAGCAAATCGCAAAGCAATAGCGTCTTTTACCACCCTCCCAGTACCAGAACCCTGAATCACGGTAATTGTTGCACGAGAATCTGGAAGAATTTCTATCGAATATCATGGTGACATATATTGTGGTAGATTTTCCAGGGGTATCAACCCCTGGAAAATCTATGGATCGCCGTGCCGGCGTGCTCCATACAAAATTATATATCATTGTTAGTTAGCTCGTCCACACGGATTGGAAAAATAGCGGAGTTTGTCAATTTAGTTAGTTAGAGTCATACATATATGTCATCCATACCATCCATTGCCGTACCACACACAGATTTCTGTTAGTTATGAGCTCGGACTGTTTTACTTCCTAAATGGGGAAAAATACAAAAAATTAATTTGTCAACGTTCGACGTTCGAATCTCAAATTGATCAATCTTCAATAATCTTCAATTGATAGGTTCCCTTTTCTAAAAATCCGAAGATACGCCAAGAATAAGTGCGCGGAGGCCGTAATAAAGACCAAAGTAACAGGTCTCACCAATCCGAAACACAGAAGAAACATACAATGTAATCATAAATAAAAGTTGAACTTGCGCAGCGTGACTTACGTGTATACATTATTTCTAGGTCCATCGTTGGTGGGGTAATAGCGTTATCGAGCCAAGGCTGCAGACCCCCATCTTTGACATTTTGAAGTTACCACGTTGTATAGGGTAGAATCCAATGTATTGACATAAATTACAATAGTATCTTATCGCTTGACACATGTACATCCCCACTCCCCCATTTTGCACCCCCTCACGACAACCAAGAGTACCATGCTATATAGCGTGATTGCCATAGTCCCTCGTAACCCAAATTTGACCTAAATTTGTTTACATATCATCCAAAATGTGGAGGATTTTCGGCCCAGGAAGCACGGGAAAAGAGGACCCTCCACGTGGTCTACCAGCCTCATGGTATCGCTCAGAGGCAATGTACCAATTGGAGAGACGGGCAATCTTCTCTAAGCGATGGATGCTGCTCACCCACTCGAGCCGTTTCAAGAAACCGGGAGATTATCTGTCTTTCACGGTTGCGAACTTCTCCTTTTTCCTTATCCAGGACCGAGATGGTACAGTCAACAGCTTCCACAACGTCTGCCGTCATCGCGCATTCCCCGTTGTCCAATCTCCCTCCGGCACAACATCCATACTGAGCTGCAAGTACCACGGATGGTCATACGGCCTGAAGGGTAACCTTGCCAAAGCTCCGCGATTCGAAACAGTGCCCGATTTCGATAAAACCCAACACTCGTTATTCCCAATCCATGTTCACGTCGACAAAGCCGGCTTTGTATGGGTGAATTTGCAAGCCGGTGAAACGGACGTGAAATGGGAAGATGATTACGAGAAGGTTGATGAAGAGCCCCGCATGCAGGACTTTGACTTTGCCGCCGAGTTCAAATTCGATCATTACTGGGAGATGGAATTGGAGGCGAACTGGAAGGGTGTCATTGAGAATTATAATGAGTGCTACCATTGCGCTACTTCTCACCCGCTTATCAATGGGGTTTCAGATTTGCCAAAATATCGGGTTGAGCCCAAGGCACAGTATATGGAACATCATATTTTCAATAAGGAGGGCTCTGATAGCCAGTTTCGACGGGCAATTACGTACTTCTATCCTACGACTTCTGTTACGGTGACGTGAGTAGTATATTCTTACCCTTTCAAGTTTGTAAATGGCTGGGCTAACTGAAATAGTGATAAATTCTTCTATATCCAACGCATGATTCCTGTATCTGCTACTTCAAGCAAGATTGAGAACGAGGTTTACCGTCACCGGGATGCCACCGACGAAGAATTCGAGAATATCAATGCGTTTTACAGACAAGTGCTCGACGAGGACAAGGAGCTCTGTGTTGGAACGCAGGAGAACCTGAGTGCTGGGGTTTTCACCAATGGTGAACTACACCCTAGCAAGGAGAAGGTAACATCCAACCATACCACTACTATGACAACAACTAACTAAGACGTTAGGGACCTATACACTTCCAAAGTAGCGTCAGAAAAATGCTCATGGAACACCGAAAAAATGAAGAAAAGCAAGGAGGAGCGGAGATTTGGCCGGCCACCCCGAACGCTCAGTTGTCGAGGAATTCGGCAGAAGATGAGAGCTTTTGTTCGCAGTTGGAGGCATTTAGTTGTATGGCCAAACCGGAACTGGCATGGTAGCTAGATACACGAGGTTCTTGCTCTACTTATGTACCTGTTAGCTAAATACAAAACGAACTTGTAACTATGGTATATGCTCTCCGAGTTAATTACAGGCAGCTTGCTGGCACGATGCGGTGTAGGGACTCAAAAAAGGCATTTATTGCGCATCTGGCTGATGTTAAACAGGGTATCCAAAAAAGCACGGAGAATTGAGGTTTAGGAAATCAGTATTCTCCGACTCCCACTTTAGGAACGTACCTGCTCTTTCGACTTCATATCTCGTGAATTTACATATTCCTTTGATATTTGGCATCCGGCAATCCACCGAAACACACCTCGGAACCGAAAGCCGCTACCCCATGAGACAAGAATTCTCTCCGAATCTCCCGAGTGAGGAATATTACGCTTAGTGAACGGAGTCTTGTTCCGGATAGCCTGTCACTGTCCAGTATTCCTGTTGACCCACTCGAATGCTCGGGTTCCACAAGCTATTGGGGCTATTTCCGAAGACTCACAGCCATTCCCGCTTGTTCTACGTGGAAAGGCGTGTGTGGGAAGACTGGTTAAGGTATGGGGGATACGGGAACCTAGACCAAATAAGCCCAATAGATGCATCCAAATGAATCAATCCCCTTCCACTCCCACTCATAAAATCACCAATTTCTGCAACTATAACATCACATACAATCTTATAAGCTTGACCATGGGTACATGCAAAAATAACAGTCACCGAGTAAAAGAAAAGACAAGCACGACGGCCTGCATCATAAATTCATGAATTCCATAACCTATTTATTTAACCCAAGCGGGTTATCCCCAGTCTGCTTCCGTCCTCCAAGACTAGAAACACCACTCTGTACGCCCTGTCCTGCGCTCTTTGTCGTATTACTGACACCCTCCGTCGCGCCCGAGACGGTCTGTCCAAGCCCTGATATTGCGTTGCCTACAGTTGAGCCGAGGCCGCCAACTGTGCTGCCCAGCGTGTTTGTCACGCCGCCGATTGTCTTTCCCAAGGTATCGCCGACGCCACCGAGGAGTCCGGCTATTCATGTTTGATCAGTTTGAGTTGGGGTTGGAGTTGGGGTTGGTGCAAAGAGAATGTACGGTTTTGCTCGTTGGACATGGTGGTTATGTGGAAGAGGATGTTTGTTTTGTGTGTTGAAGAAAATGGAAGTGTCAAGTATCTAGACAAGTGCAATAAGACCCAATTGGGGAGGAGTTGGATTGTGCCAGACGGTGGAAAAATGAATCCAAGAAAGCAATCACAGCCTATCTGTAGTTTCAAGGCCAAGTGCAGAACACCTTCCTCATTCAAGTGGCGTTCAAGGTAGAGCGCAATTCTACAGTTGGAAGCTGCTTCAATGCCCATCTTAATATCACTAGAACATTTGCACGAGCGTCCCTGCAGAGACCCCTGACGACCTGTTCGTGTCTATTTCGAGCTACTTTGCAAAACCCTAAACCAAATTTATCAGTAGCGGTAACATCCGAGATGATCTTGTGTAACCCCACAACTAGATGCTAGCTTTACAAGGAACGGTCCAAAGAGTCAAACCGAGAGTTCTATCTGTGATTAACTTATTTGTAGGGAATGACCCGTTTGTTATGACAGAATCCACATAACTGGCCTTTACTCCAGAGTTCCCTAGCTATCAATTTGGCATAGCCTGCTTTCGTAGTAAAACCAGGCTCACCACATATTCCCGTTGAAACTTTTTGAAAAAGCCCATAAGATCTCGTTTCATCCGATCAATTGACTCAATGATGTGTCTAGCTTCTGCAAACTCGGTCGCTTGGAGCGTTCTGCTCTGCTCAACCACTCCGACTGTGTCATTCGGAAGACGGTCCCCTTCACCATATATTAGCACGCTAGAAGTCTCCTGACTGACATTGTGAATACGTGACAGCTCTCACCTTCGCACTTTATCAAAGCATCAAGCAAAATTGGTCTAGAGCTCCTAGATATCTCTAAATGGCGAATGGAGTGTTTGCAAAAGCGCAAAGCACCATAAATATGTCCACGTGGAACCGGCTCTTCTGGAATATAGATCTGGCTGTTCCCAGATGTCACATGATCCTTTAAGTAAAATGACGGAAAGCTGGTGTACGAACAATGTATGGTATAAATGACCAATGTTGACAACTCTAACTAAAATGACAAAACCCGCTATTTCAACAATCTATGCGGGCCATGATGACTAACTGTAATATGCACTTTTGTATGGTATGCCTGGTACCCAATGTCACATGATGTTTCCGGTATATTACCTGGTTTCTACCATGTATTCGGACTTGGTATTCGACATAAAATACCCAGTTCTAGCCATGTGGACACCGTATCAGATGTATTCGCTTGTAAATCTAATACACCTGACACCTCCATACCTCGAAAATAATCTCTCATGGTACGGGATATCCTAATTGGTCCTACGCTTCATGTGTGTTGGTCTGGTTACACAAGGATGCACGTGGGATAAATGGGCAGTTGGAAGTTCAGATATCAGCTACCTGTTTGAAATCTATGTGATGTCACCCAGACATACCTCACGGGTTAAGCCAGCCAATATATAGACAGGATCGCAAAAACTCATATGTACCCAGAAAATCCAGTGATCCGATCGTACACCTATTTAGCACAAGACGCATGAGCTTTGACGCTGTGTCAAACTAAACGGAGCGCATCTTCAGCTTGAAGGTATATTTAGCTCAAATCAACTATAGATCCAGTCGCTCAGCGTTGCCCACATCCGGACCCCTAAAAAGATGATGCTTGACACTACCAGAAAGTGCTCAGGCTTCACTACTGCAGTAGTGCCATACAGCATCCATCCCAGACCTTTCGGAATGATCCACATGAGTGCCAGACGCAGAAAGAAGGTGTACACCGCTGCCACTTTGTATGAACCCCACGCCAGATTTTCTGTTAGATAGCAGTGCATCTTTGCTGCCCGATATCTCCTGCACATGCCAACTGAAAGGTTTGACTCGGTAAAAATATCCATGAATGTTTTAGGTGCCGACTCGCGCCGCCATGGGAACACGGACCGAGCCTCCTCTGAGGTGGGAAAGGTACCTGCACAGGCAATCAATTTTTGGAGTAGCGCCGCGTCAGAAGTCCAGAGGCGCTGAGATACCGGATCACAGACCTGGGGCAAATGTTCTATTTCAGTGGTAAATCCCAATGAAGCATCTGTGTACTTCAGGATGTTTGTGTAAAACTGAGGCGTAAGGGGCTGAATCGTCAGAGTGGGCCGTGGAGCAGATGTGGGTGTTTTGATAGGGGAACGCATAGATACAGGGTGGAGGTGTAGTGATTTGGCAGGGATGTAGATCATCGTTAGAGGGAATGAGCACGCATCGACAAGGTGGGAAAGATAAAGTTGGAAGACGGGCTCCAAAGCACTGCGAAGTATGAGTTAGATAAAGCAGATCATCAGCCTAGCAGCGGTGGGTGAGCATGGATAAGGAAGTGGAGACAATACCTTTCTGCTTCTGATGCATTACGTGGGATGTTATTGCGCTTCACTTCCGGTTTGTTCAGATAAGGTAGATTTCCTCTGAAGCGGATACGGAGGGCTTCCACGACAATCCTGCCCAAAGAGATGGGTATGGTGAAAGACCATCTCAAGAGGAATATTAGCACCTCCCATGATGGTGCCAATAAAGGGTCAAGGGGAGGAGCTGTCGAAAAGAGTCGACTTGTAATTTTGGGTTTTCCAGAGGAAGTGATAAGGGTCATGTTGGTGTGCAACGGGCCTCCTTTGTCAGGTGCTGGGTCAAGAGGATCGACAAATCGAAGGGCAAACGAGCCTTCGACCTTCTCAAAAGGCGAAGCGAAAATGTCTTTTTTCCAGCTACCCTTGTAGTATTTGGCAGTAGGGGCCGAAGACATGAATCGAACAGATTGAGTGCCATTAGGCCCTGTTCCTGATGCAGTACTGATCACCTCGCAACTTTTTGCTTTCTCAAAAGAGGAGGAATCTTCTGGAGTAAGTCGAGTAAAGGCATTCTTCTTTTCGCCGAACGAGTTGTTGATCTCCATGATGATTGCGCTCAGCTCTTTCGAGGGCGAGTAAAGATACCAATACGATATAGGACTTTTTGTCCACCAGAGAAACCTAGGAATGCTGACAATGTAAGCATAAGGGTATTGCCTCGGATCCTCGCCCTAGAATATTTAGCAAAAGATCACATCTCAATCAAGATAAGTGGACTTGCTTGTTCTTTTAGAAAACTTTCCAACTTTTTGACCAAGCCTAGGTGACCATCCCCGCGATGAAGATACAGATCTGTATCAACTGTAAACCAAAGTAGCTTTCCGAACATCATATTCACAAATGATCTTAGAGAACTTTTGGGAGGGGAGCTGGGACCAGGTTCACCACTGTCAATGGAAATCACAGATCCAACACGACCACGCAATCCAACAGGAATGCCGACAAGGAAATAGTTGATCCAATAATTATACTTTTCTGGAAACATCCGTGAATGTGTAAGCCGGGCTGGGAAGAGAAGAGGTCTTCCTAACAGGGTCCTTTCTATCTCTGAGTCCTCTTCTGGCCATAAGATCAGATTCCGCTGAACATAGGCTACCACTGACACCCAAGCAAGAAGGGCACAGCCAACACCTCCGGCAAAAGGGGTCAGAACATTTTTCAATGCTTTGAACCATCCAATATGGTGTAATATCTCTATTGAAAGAGGAAATATTATATAGAAGAGGTCCTTCATGGCTAGGCCCGGGTGGTATCGGAATAAATGTAGGCAGACCACAAGGCTAAACAAGCCTAAAGCCGCGGGAGCTGCGTCTCGATGGGATGTGTCAGATAGCATATTGTAGAATTTGAGTATGATTATTTGAAATGTGGGATCAATTGTTCTTGAGGGATACTTAAACTATATGGATTTTTTCTATTCTCGCGGAAGCTCGGTTGCCTCTAATACGCAATTCTAGACTTGCACACATGTGAAAATGCATCTCACTGAAATTGGAAAAATTTGAATACCAGCGAAGATAAAAGTGGCAAATGCTCCCAGAACTATCAAGTAAATAATCCCGGTTGGGATCGGCATCCAGCACACCCTACCCTACTTCACCGGCCACGAGGAATTACCATTGGATTCGAAATCTTCTTGTCATATACGAGACATGAAGGATAATCGTTCTCAGCTGACAATTCAGTGGATCAGTGTAACCTCGAACTACATACATAGCGAACCAGGACTTCAAGTTGCCACTTATCTAGACATCCGGATGCATTTGCAGAATGGTTTCACATACATGTGAATCTCGGCTGGAAGACAGTATACATCTGGCCTCAGGAAACGTAAAATTGAAGAGGCAACAGATCCTGATCATTCATTCTACATATCCCTCTCCCCTCAGACATTCGCTGGTCACTTTCCTTTCTCCAAGATGACTTCTTCTGAGAAGAGACCTTTCACAAAGGTGATAATCATTGGAATTGGCTTTTCGGGCTTGACCATGGCGTGCAAGCTTAAAACAAAGCTCAATTGTGATGAATATACCATCTATGATCGGTCCGCAGCGCCTGGTGGTACCTGGTGGGCAAATAAATGTTAGTATGCCATCTATTTATCTCTTTTTGCTCTCGAGTCTCTTAAGAGTAACGTGAGATTAGACCCAGGATGTGCTGTGGATATCCCAGCCGCATTTTACACTCTTTCGTTCGCTCCTAACCCCGACTTCTCCAATGTCTTCCCTCCACAGGCGGATATTATAGAATACTTCAACGGTGTGGTGGAGAGGTTTGGTGTTTATCGGCATGTCGTTCCAAATACAGAATGGGTAGGAGCTTATTGGCAAGACCTTACCAGCACCTGGCTGGTCAAGTTGAAGGACTTATCCACTGGTGGCACATTCTATCAGGAATGCAAGATACTTATATCTGCTGTTGGTGGTCTGGTAAATCCGAATACCTTCGATGTTCCAGGTGTCGATACCTTCGAAGGTGATATTATTCACACTGCAAGGTGGAAGACGGACACTTCTCTTCGCCAAAAAGACGTCATTGTTGTTGGAAATGGATGTAAGTTAAAGATCTATTCCCCAAGCCTCTGTTATTTACAAAGGTTCATGGCTAACTGTTTCTCAGGTTCAGCAGCTCAGCTTGTACCCGCCATTGCTGATGAGGCAAAGAATATAACACAGTTTATGCGCGTGAGATATGCGTCGATTATTTGTAAAATCGCATGATTAATAATTTACAGACACCGCAACATTACGTGGAAAATGACAATATGCAAATCAGTGGCAACTGGAAGATGCTTTTTCGCTACGTGCCGGGCGTTTTGTGGATTCTTCGGATTATCATATTCCTCTACCTGGAAAGCACGGCCACCAGGTTCAATGTGGATGGAAGCGGCAGCTCCAGGGCCAGGGAAAAATCATCCCGCAAAAGCGAAGAATATATCAAAAAATATGCACCGGGTGAGTTTCTTGTATGAGAAGAATACACTGAACATCTCCTGATCATTGTTGAATTTTGATAAGAGGAGTATTGGCCGCTCCTGATACCAAAGTATGATATTGGATGCAAGGTAAGCTCATATGCCTTTGTTAAAGATATCATACCGCATGCAATTTAAATTAACCCCTCACAACTGCAGCGTCGTGTGTTCGATAACTCCAAATACATTGGATACCTCCAACGAAGCAACATTCATCTTACAGATGACCCAATTGTGGCTCTCCAACAACATTCAGTTATGACACAGTCCGGTCAGCAGTACCCTGCGGATATAATTGTAAGTAAAACACCCCAAAGAAGCTAGGGCATCACATTATGTTAATGACCTCTCTCGATAAAGATCCTCGCCACCGGGTTCTCTTTGACACAGTATGATGTCGAGCTTATAGGTCGGAATGGTCACAACCGCAACGATCATTGGAGTGAATACGGCTACAAAGAGGCGTATAAGTCGATTGCCATGTCTGGTTTTCCTAATTTCTTCTACGTCTTAGGTCCCAACTCTGGGAAAAGTCACACGTCCACTATATATTCCATTGAGAAGTATGCCGACTGCTTTTGAAAACTCTGACTTTTTACTAACAACGATCTAGTTATACCAACCTGATTACCCGTGTTATTGCTCCGATCATCAAAGGTCATTCAAGCTTTGTTGAGGTCAAAGCCGATAGAGAAAAACTGTACAATCAGAGGTTGCATGCAGCCATTGCCAAAACAGTTTTCAACAATTCATGTGGCAGCGTATGTCACTCAAACCCTTAAATTTATGTTCGTGAAGAATAAGCTGATTCTGATGCCTATCTACCTATGCAGTATTTCATCGATCAGAAGTCTCAAAAGAATTGGTTCATCTATCCATGGAACTCCTTTTTCATGTGGTACTCGATGCACTGGGGTAGTGCAGATGATTGGACGTACAATGTAGGTTCCGACAAAAATTCAGAATGACATGCTGTGTGTATATTCTGTTCAAATAGATTAAACTCTTCTAGGTTCAACCGAGCAAGAAGCAGGGAGTGCTCAATTCCGAACTCACGGTACTGATCCTCACCCTCGGCATGATTCTGTTTTGCTTAGGTGCGGTGCTGGATCTTAAGTCCCAACTAGCTGTCATGTTCAGTATTTAAAGCTAGGAAAACACAGCAATTTCATTCTGAAAAACCCATCTGATTTTCATCCTTTCTTATTACGGATAGTATATATAATACTGCCTTTAAATATCTTACAGCCCTCTATATCTATCTTTTAGGGATTAACGAGACTACTCATAGTAGATATAAGAACCTAATATTCCTATACAAACTGCTTTCCTATTTATAGATCCTTTAGTCTTATTACCTATAACTAATTCTCCTCGTACTAGGCGGCCCTATCCTATTCCGTGTTTCCGGTAGAATAGTAACAAACCCTATAATAGGTAGCCACGCGGTATATATAGTTTAATATCTTAGACTGTAGAGGAAATAGTTTAGTAAGACTAAGGTTAGAGCAAAAGAGAGATTATAACAAATTCCTAGAATATCCACGCTATGTCATAGATCTGTTGCATAGCATACGAATGGTCCCTATTAGTATTTAATAGACCAAGGGAGAATTCGGATATAGAAGTTGACGAACGTATGTTTGCCCACCAAGCTCCTCCGATGTCACTATTCCAATCGTAAATGACATAGTCTTCCAAAGCTGGCCGCGACCGCTGCACGTTCCTGGGAAACTTCGTCCCTTGTGTCCGCCAACTCGGCTGAATCAGGGTTGGTAGTCAAAAGTGTCTAGTAAACCACTATATTGCTACGATAGTTAATAGTACCCGAATACCTGGTGGTCCTTCCGAAATGTGGAACCACCGTTCAAGGGCATACGTAATTGCGAGCGTTTCTCTGTCGTACGTGTTGTAATTCTTCTCTGCAATGGGTCTGTGCGTGTGAGCATAGGCTTTCCATTCTGAGACAACCATACACGATTTCGAAAAAGGATGTGTCGGTGTGGAGCGTGCAACGCTGAGTGGAGTAGTGTTCGTATACAAGTTAAAGATTCGTTCGAGTTGGCATGCCATAGCTAATCCAGAGAACCCGCCACCAATTATTATGACCGATGAGGGAGGCTTTGGCAGGAGAGGCATACTAGTACGAAGATATACCGTAATAAATGCTGCTTGAATATAGAAACAGGAGTAGTGAAGTAAAGTAGTGCTGTATAGTACGAGATATATAAGCTATTAGGTATTCACTAGATAATATTTATATATATTGATGATTGCCTTATATATTCGTTTGGTCATTTCCTTAGTAGTTAGCTAAGGTACGCAACTTCGTGTAAGAGCCAGCAATTTGAGTGATCTAAAATACGCATATACCGGCGTATTAAATAGGCCAGAAGATTAGATGATAAAAGGGGTGTGGTAGAGATAGATTTAATAGGGCACTGTTAAGTATCTTAGAAGTCAAATAGAATAGTGGTGTAACAATAAGACAGGTATAAAGAAGATTGTCAAGATCGTCAGTATAATATGCACTGACATCTTATTTTCGATATAGATCTTCAAACAAGCAGCCTACTTCTATTGACAGAACTTGTTTTTCTCGTATATACCCATATGTAATGATGTCAGAGAACACAAATATACACAATGGTTTGCTGATCGGTGTATCCCATCCAAAAAGCCCCAGCCTTTTCCCCCTCTTTTTAGACATAAAGTAGATAAGGAATGATATATATATAGCCGACTTGGAAGTACATAGACTCGACCCACCAAGCCACTGTTTACAATAAAAGCAAGCTAGAACACCAAGTCAGACTCTGAAGTCAACATACCTCTGATATCAATGTTTATCGTATACTTCACTCTCGCTTTGATTTTAGGGCTGCTAGGGGTGCACAACCTCAGGTCATATTTCATACCATTCAGATATCGTTCTCTTCCACCTGGTCCTCTTAGGAGACCTATCATTGGCAACCTTTTTGATTTTCCTAAGCGGGGAAGTAAAGAATGGGAACACTGGTTAAAGCACAAAGATCTTTATGGTGAGTTTCTGCAGGCATGCCCCCCGCTCTAGTTTCTAACGTATAGGTGCCAGGTCCCATCAGTTCACTTGTCACAATGGGACAGACCGTTATCCTTCTGAACAAATCAGAGGTAGCATATGATTTACTGGAGAAACGATCCGCTATTTATTCCTCGCGGCCACCGTCTGTTTTCGGCGCTGAGTTGTAAGGCTCATATATACTAAAAGCCCTATGAAATTTTATATGATATCTGACGTTTGATGAACAATAGAGCGGGCTGGAACCGCTTTTTTACCATGCAGGGCGATCCAAATTTGGTTCGTACACACCGAAAATTTATCTCGAGCTTGATAGGATCGAAAAATGCCATCTCAATCTTGCATCCTAAGCTTGAACTTGGGGCCAGACACTTTCTATTGCAGACACTTCAGCATCCCGGCTCTCTGATTGACAATATTCGACGGTAAGATCAATATCCCTGACCTAACATATAGGAGATAGGAAAACCTAGAGAAGTAACTGATCCCAAAGCTAGTATTATCGGAGCGGAGATACTAGATATAACCTATGGCTATAAGGTTGAGCCATCAGGGCTAGACCCTCTTATAGAGCTCGCCGATCTTTCTGCACAACAATTCTCCAATGCAGTACAGGTTGGAAACTGGATAGTTGATATTATCCCTATTTGTGAGGATCCCGTTCATTTCAGCCTAAGTTCCTCCACTCACCTGATATGATTAGTAAAACACCTTCCTAGTTGGTTTCCAGGGGCCGGATTCCAACGCACAGCACAGGAATGGGGTCGGGTCTTGACCACCTTGGCGGAGAGGCCATACGCATTTGTCCTTCACCAACGAAGCAAGCAAAAGGAGGCGGCCTCATATGTCTCTAGACATTTGGATTTACTGAATAGTCCAGCCACACCGGATGAGGAAAATACCATTAAATGGACAGCAGCCGTTATATATTCGGGTGGTGCAGATACCGTGAGAGAGCCAACCTTCACACTTGTGTTGAACACCTATTGATATGAACAGACCGTATCTTCACTCTCGACCTTTTTTCTCACCATGGCCCAGTTTCCAGATATCCAGCGTCATGCTCAAGCAGAACTCGATCTAGTAGTAGGGTCAAGGCTCCCCACCTTGAGCGATCGCCCAAATCTTCCGTATGTTGATGCTCTTATCAAGGAAGTCATGCGTTGGCATCCTATTGGACCCTTAGGTATCCCTCATATGACAACACAGGAAGATGAATACAATGGGTATCGGATTCCAAAGGGGGCAGTTTTGATTCCAAATATCTGGTGAGCAAGTGTGGTAGGCTCGTCCGTTATTTTTTGACTAACCTTCGAGCGTCGTCACAATTTAGGTCATTCACACACGATCCTGAAATATACAATGAGCCGATGACATTCAATCCCAGTCGATTCTTGCAACAAGAGGACGGCGTTGCTCCCGAGTGCGATCCTCAAAAGTTCGTATTTGGATACGGGCGTCGAATCTGTCCTGGTCGTTTTCTTGCCGATACAAGCCTGTTCCTCATTATCTCAAAGTCACTCGCCGTCTTTGATATTACGAAACGCGTTGGAGAAGATGGCAAGGATATAGACCTCCTAGCTGAGTACCTGCCTGGTATCATCAGTCACCCGTCCCCATTTTATATCCAAGTTCGACCGCGCAGTGAACATGCGCGAATGCTAATCAGATCTGTTGAGGTGGAAGATCCGTGGTTGAAAGGGGATTCGGAGGTTTTTAATGATATTCAGTCCTGAAGATGATGGGGCTGGAATAGGAGATCTGTGAAAGGAGGTGTAAATTCTTCTCGGGCCAATTAAAAGGTTTTATTCAAAGTTGATAATTGGCACGCAACGAAAAACTGGCCGTTAGAGACTGCGGCATCATTTAAGTTGTGTGTAGATATTCCGAATTTAAAAATAGAAGTAATCAAATGAACTTAAAAGACATTCTATCCTATAGGGGTGGGCGCAGTCTAGTAGACTAAGAATTAGGACTTTGTGACAAAAAGCTGGTGTATGGTATAAATGACCAATGTTGATACATTCTGTATTTAGCTAGTAATTACTACTACCCAATGAAAACCATGCGATCCTAACAGAATCTCAATTCCTAGTACCCAATGTCACATGATGTTTCTAGTATAATACCTGGTTTCTACCATGTATTCGGACTTGGTATTCGACGAAGGATTCCGGCGCCCCCGCTATATAGGAACCATTTTCTGGATGTCATCTAATCATTAGGACTGATTAAAACAACAGTACGTCCACGTACAGGCACGCTAAAGGAAACATGCCCACGCTCGTCGGCAACTAGGCTTTGCTCCGATTTATTCACCCAGTATTGCAGTCGTGATTGGAGTCCTTCCACCCCCAACTCGAAAGTACCACTATTTCCAGAAGGGTAAAGAACGAGGTTTAGACTTCGTGCGTCAATCGACCTGGCAGCAGCTACAAGGACACCTGGATAAGGCACGGAGGCTAATATAGGGCCTGTTGACTTGGTTGGACCCTGGACAGCGGGGTGAAAAGAGATTAGCATCATGCAAAAGCTAGGTTTAAGGCTTTTTCGGTAGACCTACCTCCTGAACCAGCTTTTTCCAATCTTCATGACGGAGAATACCCGACTTAGTATACATAGTGTTCATCGTATCCGATGTAAGTTCGGGATTTAAACGAGTGGCACCGGTGCTTGTCGTGATAAACCCGACACGCCTCTTCAGGTTTTCTCGGCAAGCCTGGCGGAGAGGCTCGTCTCCAAATTCACCAGCTACTGCCGCAAGCTGTGCAAACAAATGGATATTGCCTACCTTATAATTTCCAATGTCAATATTGTCTGCGCCCACCAAATCGATAAGCTTGACATCTCCGGTAGTCTCATCGAAACGGATCATCTCCTCACGGAATATGGCCCACATACGGCGAGCGATATAATCTAAGTGACCACGAAGCAAGAAAGCCGTCATAAGGTCATTCAGGACACCAGCGGCACCAGGGATTGTAAACCCGGTCAATTGGTTGCAGATTGTTAAAGCCCGGCCACTGAGCCCAGTAAACTCGGTGTCTAATTGCGCTTCGAATTTTGGGGCAATTTTAGTGCTGTAGGAAGTTCCGAAAATATGATCGTAGAAGATTTGGCCCACCATACCGTAAAGGTTGCATGTGGTATAGATCCAGCCGGGCTCACAGGGGAAAAGACATAGCGGGGCTGCTGCCCATTGGTCGACAATGGCTTTGGACAACGAGTGAACGCTGTATCTGTAGACAATTTCATTCGTGATTCGGAACTTGATACCATCGGGCCGGGTATATTGTTGATCGCCGTTTAAGGCAGTATATAGAGTCACAGCCTTTAAGAACCAGCCAGAAACCATGATGTCGTCCTTTTTGACGGGATCCCAGTCGAGCGTGAACTTCCCCCAAAGGCATTCCCATTTCCAAAACCCGATGGATCGGGGATGGAGGGATTTTTCAAGGGTGTTTTGAAACGACTGCGTCAGGTATCCACGAAGGTTTGGAACGTATATGGCTTGGTACATGGCCAGAAGGTACAGTCGCTCGTACAGTTTATACCGGATCGAAGCTGTTTGAAACTGATCAAAAATACCAATGTTAGAGAAGTCATCGACACTCTTCAAGCCTTCTTCAAGGATAAACTGGACACTGCGCAGTTCCTCCAAAGTCAACTCCCGTGTGTGAGCAGGAGGCGCAGGGACGGCTGTGGCATCCACTTTCTTCAACTGTGCAGCCATGTACTTGTTTCTCCGCTCGCGGCTCTCCCTATCAGCCTTTCTCTCCTTTGTTGATCGTCTATTCCAATACAAGAAGAACGAAAGGAGAACGGCTATGTCGACGGATCCAGCAGCTTCAAAAATATGATCTGTGGCCGTGAAATAGGCGCCCATCGTAGATAGAATCCATAAAAGTAAAGGGAACAGGGTTCCCCCCGCACCAAACCACTATGTAGAACTCCTTAGTCTCATTGTAACAACAGGCACGATCGGAAAGGGGGAAAGGGCCTACCATGAGAAGAGTGACGGGAAGCAGAGCCCATGTCGCCGCCAATAAGCCGAGGTTGAGTAAGGTAATGCTGGCTGTATAGCCGGCACCGGGAAAGATGAATCCTAACGCAGCTGCTCGTACGGCAGGGGAGAGTGGATAGCGGCCCTGGTAGAAGAGCACTACTCCGATGGTGGCCGCTATCGTCCAGAGCAGGAGGGTTCGGTTCTGTCGCTGTTTACGGATTCGGGATAAACCAACCCGTGCAGGGATCAACTCGGGGATGTCTTAGGATGTGTCAGTGTGAAAATGATAATCAAGAGAGGAAAATTGTTACCCTTATCAACCATGGCTAGACCCTAGTCGAAAATAGTATGATCAGCTCACTATCGAGGAGGTCGCAATTATATAGGGGATTGGTAAAGCGACCCCCTGCCTAAGAGAAGAAGTATCCCTGTACTAATCCCCATTAGACCCATTCTATTCACCTAAGTACTATTCACACCCACTTCATAGTTGAGGATTCGAGTGCCGGGACACCAGGGCCCCGGGGGTGACCTTGGGAACTTTCCAAGGTTACATATCTATCGTTGTACATCCACATATGCATACTATTGACCAATAGCTACATTGACCCCGCAAATCCCGACTGAGTATCTGCGGAGTGGCTTCCCCCACATTCGAAATAGCCAAATCAGCTTTTTTTCATGTACCTAGACCTGGAGGTACAATGTGCTTGGTTGCAGCTGAAAAGGAAAAGAAAATGTTCTGATGATATGCCAGACACGTATGACCATAGCCCTTGTGTTCGAGGTTCAGAGATCGTTAGGAAAAGATGACATGATTTCACATGACTCCACATATACGCGTATTATTTATTTCGTCGTTTGAAAAAGATCTTCCCGGTAGGCTTATACTACGCTGGTGTCCTCGACCATGGCATGCTGCATTATAGGAGCGTTCTTTCTGAGTAAGCTTGTCCCCATCTGGTCATTCTTCAATCCTACGGGCTCCGACCTGGGTCTATTAACTCACGGGCTCGACGATGAAAGAATGAACCTCGCAGAACCCAATTGCGGTGTTACATGGCTAGAAGTGCAGGGCATGACATGCGCATCTTGTGCCATAGCCATCGAGGAGCGTTTGAAGCAGATTCAAGGCGTTTCAAGAGTTGCCACGTCTATGTCTTTCCATACCGTGGCTGTGTACCATGAAGATAAAGTCACATCCGGAGATATAATTCACACTATCGACGACCTGGGCTATCAAAGTCGACATCGGAGACACGCAATCTCAGAGAAGATCAAAGCAGCGGAAGGCACCGAGGAGCTCGAGGTTACGTGGGACAAATTGAAAATGGTTCTAGTGACCGTGGCTTCATTGGAATTGCTTTATATATTTGCCAGCTCTTCGGTGATGTGTAACACAGAGAGACAATGGGCTATTCAGGCTGTGATGATCATTATTTCGACGCGAGACCAGTTTCACTCTGCATCGCAAGTACATGCAAGAACGGGTAATGCTATACGGTCAAAGCGTGTTTCCACAGATGTCCACCTGAGTGTTGTGTTTATTCTTGGACATATAACATCCGCACTGAATCTGATCGTGGATGGTCCGGGCGCAACTTCGTATTTTCGAGTATGTGCTCGTCTGCACGCCATTATTCTACTTAGCAGGTTCGTCGAGTTGCTCATGAGACGGCATTCAGTATCGGGCTATGTGTCACTTCTTCGGCTACAGTCGCACAGTATGCTTGCAAGATTAGAAGGCAGGGAGGTAGCCAAAACCTTTCTTCACTCCAATATACAATTTGGTTTCTAACATCTTTCCCAGGAACCCTTTCCAGCTTTGTTTCTGCAACCCGGTGATGAGATCATAATTGAAGCATACAGTCTTGTTCCCTGTGATTGCTATGTTAGTAGCGGAGAATCCGAGGTCGATCAATCCACGGTGACAGGTGAATCATTGCCAATTGCCAAAGTGACCGGAAATCTTCTCATGTCTGGAACTCGAAATATCTCCGGCCGTCTCACTGCTGTCATTGAGAAGCAGCATTCTGATTCGACTCTCAGTATGATAATTCAGAGTATGGTAGAGGGAACAACACACCGAAGCCAGATCCAGGACCGCATTCAATATGCAACAGGGGGTTTTGTTACCCTGATACTCTTTCTGGCTGCCATAACTTCGCTATTTACATGGATACGCAGTGAACGAATACCTAATACCTTGCAGCGCATTAATATGACTGCACACCGAGCCATGACAGTCCTCGCGGCAGCATGTCCATGTGCACTCAATTTAGCAGTCCCGGCTGCAATATTTTCATGTCTAGGTAAGAAAAACCAAATATACAGTCAATGGTCTTGGCTCACAACTAACTATGAGCAGATGTTGCTAGCTGCAATGGAATTCTCATTCGAGGTGGTGTACGAAGCATTGAAGAGCTCGCTCGCATCACCCATATTGTGTTTGATAAGACCGGAACCCTCACCAAGGGGATCCTCCAAGTGACCAGCTGTAAATGGCTGTCCGATGCCGCTTTGGACGAAGAAAAGATCTACCTTCTTCTCAGTATCGCGGAGGGCCGAGAAGCCTCAATTCACCCAGTTGCAAACGCACTATTTAACTGGGCGCTGAAAAATTTGCCGTCAAGTCTCAGAAATTCCCATCGTTCGGGATCAGTTACAGCCTATCAACGTGTTCCCGGTCAGGGGCTATTCTGTGAAGTGGACATGGTAGCTTATGGAATCCAGCAGATTTGGGTGGGAAATGCGAAGTATTTCAAAAGCCAGAGCATTCAGATCTCGCATGAAGATCCTTCGGCGGTTGGTATCTCTGTCTGGATTGCCGTGAATGGGAGTTACGTTGGAAAGGTCATATTAAGTGTATGAACCACCACTGTAAAGAAGTTTGTTGCAAAGATTTGAGTTCACTAACCCTGCTCTCTTTTCTACTAGGATACAATACGGTCCGAGGCCCCCCAAATAATCAATCATTTGGCAAAGAGTGGGTTACATATCGCAATGGTAATCCAGAATTTCTTGCTTGTTTGGAAGATAGCATGCTAATCCTGCGATAGGCCACCGGGGACGCAGAAAAGGAAGCCCATCGGGTAGCCAAAAACCTGAGGATTTCTACCATTGCGTCGGATGCACTTCCTCAAGACAAGTTACAAATTGTCCGTGATCTTCAGGCTACCGGGTGCAAGGTCGCTATGGTACGTGTCATTCGATTCTGCCCTTTTCCCCTTCCCACCATCGCTGTTAGCCTCTGCATCTCTAACCAAAGGGCGTGTTAGATTGGCGATGGCAGCAATGATGGATCCGCCCTAGTGGCAGCCGATGTTGGAATCTGCTTTACTCAGTCTCTTTTTTCCCTGCAGGGGGTCGCCGACATATTGATTGCACATTCAGATCTTTCTAGGCTTCCGATGGTTATTGACATGGCCAAAATGACCCTGTGGCAGGTGAGGCTGAGCATTTCATGGGCTGTCGTTTACAACTTGTTTGCGCTCTTGCTTGCTGTCGGCGTGTTAGAATTTCTCGGGCTTAGAGACGATTTGTACGTCCACCTTTATCCCCCCTTGCCCTCTCATCCCCTCGTCTACTAACCGAGGGATATCATCACGTAGGTGCACAAGTGGGACGATAATGGCAATGTCATCGGTCTTAGTATCTTGCTTTAGTTTGCATTTACATGTGAAGCTTCGACGTTGTGTCAATAAGTACATTTGAATAGTCGGGTCCGGTTCATTCTTATTAGATAATGGCGCCTCGATAAATCTTAGATATTAATATTCATATTTTCCATTGGGGCTATGTCATAATTGTCTCTAGTATGTTTCTGTCTCATCCTTAAACTAAAACCGGAGAACGGATATACCACGGTCATTATGACTGAATAGTAGAGTGGATTTCCTATTTATTGACTATTGAAGGTAAAACCAGAGCTTCACGGCCGAGTTAGATCGCTTGTATGGTTCTTCGAACGGAGTATATACTATGTCTAGTGACCCTTTAGTGTCGGAAACTTTGCCATCTAGTTCATCTAGTTCATCTACTATGTCTTTTCTCCGATCGAGGAGCGAATACCGACATAACACGGGTATATATACTTCGGCCGAGTATACGGCGTCGTTGAGTGATATCTCATATAGCTTGCCACCACCTCGTTGTAGCGACCGACTCGGTACTATTTCGTATATCTAAGAATACCTTAATCTAAGTATTAGTAAAGTTAGTACTAATAAACGGCTATATCGAATCTCACCTCGTATAGTCCGAGTAGCTATACGGCTAATAATATATTATCGCTTTTATATCGCTAAGGATCCTAGATAGCGAATCGGGTAGCTATAAGCGTAGATTTGGATACTTTAGCTCCATCCGCGGTTACCTTCGAAGTCCGGGTAATACTAGTTATATAAACGCGTACGACGGTATTATAGGCCTAATATAGAGCAGACCTTTTCTTTACTTTAGAAAGCATATCGGGAATAGTATTAAAAAGGCTTCTAGACATTTCAAATACGAGCTCAAACTTATTTATAACGAAGGGTATAAAGTGGGTATTCCACGATTCAGCTAGGGGGTATATTAGGGGGAAAGTTGGTCTAGAAATTAGTGGACCTCTATCAGTTCGTTCTGGCAGATTTGTATCTAGGATTGCTTCTTCGTCCAAAGGGTAACCCCCAAACAAAGGAGATGAGCCATGAGCCTCCAGGACTAACAAGATCTAACTATACAGCGTGATTATATCACCCGCAGGTCATTCATGTGAGCTACTCACATTAACGAATCGCAGTCGACAAGAATCATTATCGTGGCTTGATTTGAAAACTTCTACTGTAAACCAGGTAGGAAAAGGTACTATCAGGGATATGTGCCTAAGAGAGAGAAACAGTAAAAATATGGAAAGAGCGGTAACCCAACCAAATAGGAATGGGAAAGGTCTGGCACAAAAATTGACTGTGTGTCTCGCCGCGTTAGCTGTCAGCGTCAAGGAGCCAGCGTTGCATAGGTCCGGGGTTATGTGGTAACCCCTTCGACTCCGTTCCTTCGTTTCAGGGAAATCATGCATCCATTCATCTTGTACAACAGTTCGTCCTCCAGGAGGATTTATCCAGTTACCTCGCTATTATTGAAAGTACCCTGTGCCATACCTCTCTACCTTTCACTTGTCGCTGCCCGTGCGCGGAACCTGACTTACGAATAGCGTAAACAAGAAGAACACTTTGACTCAAATCTGCTCATTAAGAGGTAGGTATTAATACAAGCGAACCAGTGTTTGAGATGTAACACAGAAGAGATGAAAATATTGTCGAGCGAGCTTTCAATCATATTCAGAGATGTGCGTGAACTATATAATTTGTTGGAGCCCAGGACTAAACTATCCATAACACGGAATATGTGATGAGCTGTGGCGAAGTACGAGATATTTCTGTTCATCGCATAGTGCCCCTGAAAAGGATGTGTGATGATCAAGACTATGGCAGATTCGCAGGCATCGCTGTCTTTATTTATATCAACGCCACGCTCTAAAACCGGTTACATAGTCATGATATAATGCGTGCAACATCCACTACTTTCTGGAAGCCACCGTGATGTAGCTTAATATCTTGTGTATTGATCTGACGTATGGCTGTCCCCATGTTCCCCGCAGAGTGCATAATTGCACATTGTTATTGGCTTATATTTTCCGATCACTTGTGGAGAGTGGCCGAGAGACAGTTTCTAGAAGCCTGTTATATTAAACGACAGTGGCGAATGGTGGATGATTGGTGCGTGTTGGTTGTTATGATGTTGTTTGTAATTCGGAGAGGCCAGGGGTATGATGTCATTGGCTGTACGATGCCTCGATTGGGTGGACCTGGCCAGGATATTTATATTAATTGTAGGGTGATCTCATGTCCGACAAAATTATTGTCTGCAGGGTTGAATTGGTATTTGCGATTTAGAAGCATAAGGTCATCACTCATCCTGTGAAGCATATCAATTGTCCACCCCGAGGTATTATGGTCGTAACGCATCGGCATATTTACAAACTCGCCTTTCCGCGAGACTCATATGGCATGAACAATACAAGAATGCCCGCTGCGATAAATAGGGCCCCGCTAACATAAACAGGAATAGCGGTCGTCAGATCAGCAAACATGGCAATGATGGGAGCCATGATGCCAAAGATCCGATTCGCAGACGCAGTTAATGCGTTTCCCGTACCGCGGTCCTTGGTGAGGAAGATTTCGGGAGTATATGCATATAACACAGCATACATAAGACTACTCATGAAATTAAAAGCGCAGTTCCAACCCAACAGAGCATTTGATGTGGTAGCTGTTGTCGACGCAAGAAGGAAGGCTCCGGTTATAGCTGTTGAACTGCTGAGGGCGCCCTTCCGGCCAAAGCCTGGTAGTTCAACCAGCACTCCACCAAGCAGACAGCCTGGGATGCCCATGACGGCAATAATCAACGAGTTTCGATACGTGATGTATGTCGACCCATCACCGAATTCAGCGCCTCGGGATTGCTGAATGTATGGAAGGAATGCGTTGTATAGTGGGAAGCCGAGACCAATGAATGCCCAGACGAGGACGATCAGGGTTGTGGCCCATGCTCGCTTGGGAGTATCAAAAAGCGCGCGGATATGATCGAAGCGCACGGTCTCTAGACGTTGGCGGACGATGTTTGCCGCAGTGAAATGCCGTATCTCGCCCTGATCCAAGGCATCGAGCTCAGTTCTCGTCAAATCAGATGTTTTTCCATTCCTTCTGGCGACTTCGTGGACAACGTCCACAGCCTGCTCATTTCTCCCCTTCCCCATGAGGTATTTGGGGGACTCGAAAATCGTGAAAAACACAAACCGACCGACAAACATGATCATCGCGATGCCACCCATCGTGATCATAAACCATCGCCACCCCATGTTGTCGGATTTCGTACATCCTTCTGCTGAATCACAAGTTCTATACCCAAGCAGCGGCCAACCGATCAAATTGGCGACCACCTGCGCCAAAGCCCAGTCAATCGACAAGATAGTCAACAGGTACTGATGTGATCCAGGTAGGAACTCGAGAAAGATGGCCGAGTCAACGGGCAGATTTCCTCCGACGCCGACAGACCACAAAGCGGCAAATGTACATATAGCCGCGAAATTGGGCGACCCCGCAGCGATCAGGCCAAACACTGCCGTGATTCCGATCGTCAAGTTGAACGCCCATCTGCGACCGAAAATATCACATCCAAATCCCCAAAACACAGCACCGACGAGCAACCCGATGTTTTGCGCGAGCGTCAACAGCGGCGCTTTTGACGGATGGAACTCGTTTGACACTGCGGGAAGAATCAGAGATGTAGCAATCGGCCACAGGTTGTCGCTCGCCCAGCCGAATCCGATCACGACGAAGAGCTGCCATTGGTATCGGCCCATGCCGATCGCCTGAATCGCGCGATTGAGAACCTCGGCTTTGGCTTTGTAATTCACGTCAGGATCCTCATCTCGAGGGGCAATTGGGCGCTCGGTCGCCGTTGGCTCGAGGCCAGGCGATTTGATCGCTTCTGACATGTCGTGTTGAGAACAGAAAAGAGGTAGGAACGCGGCACGGGGGATCAGCCCGGCTTATAGGGATGACTGCCAGAATTCCCGCTTTGACCCCATTAGATTGGAACTCCATGTGTCTAATCATATCCCACGCAGCAACCTGTAGATTAGCATAATTCAGGGTTTTCTTTCTTTTCCCTCCACTTCGATTGGATAGTTTGATGGCGTGATCAATGGGTAGTTTGGTGTCAGATTCGGGGTTTTTCAAGCATTTCCCCAATTCAGAAAGGGGCGCTCCTACCCTGCAGGCATTCCTAACTCATTGCAGGGATGTTTTCCGTATCACGTGTGAGTAGCTAATCTTCTCGTATCGTGCTTTGCAAGAGATCCGCCACTTCTTGCCAAAGAGAATCATCGGGATACATAGAAAATTCCATCCGACTGCCAGACATCCAATTACCGTAAAGTGCCGTGAAATCTCATGCTGCTAATCCACGGATCAAGCGCAAAGATGATGGTTGCAACCATGTAATGGGTGATGCTCACAGCGATCAGAGCAGCTCCGAGAATGTCCACGAATCAGTAGCCGCATTCATATTTTCCTAGCCAACTGCTTCGAGTAAAGGTACTTACTTTGTTATATGAGTCACTGAAGTAGGTCAGAGCGATTGGAATAAGTGCAGCCATGCTGAACCTATATAGTCCGGATCCGAGACAAAGCAAGATCCACGGCAAGTCTTGTACACATACGGTCAATATCAATCTCGATTTCGGTTTATACAGAGTTTATCAGTGTATATGCCTCTGAATACACTGTATCTATAAATAAACAGACCCGCAGAGCCCGCAATTTCGGGGAGAAGGGAAATGTAAAGCCGCATTTTGGGCTGGTAGAAACCTTCATTTCGTCGAGCGGAGAATTTGATCACCAATCGCTCACAGGGCCCCCCTATACGCACCCAAAAACAAATGCAATAAACGGCGGCAAGTTTAATACACCGATGCTTGTCGTTTCAGTTATAGGGGGGTAAGGCGAGATATTCAGATTGTGTCGTTGCCTCTACCGTGAACTACACCAAAGCAGAGCCATACTGTACCATCACATAGCTAACGTCTGGTATAGTGATAAAGTCTTGAATTAGTAGATATACGTGTTGTATAAACTAACTGGGGGGTCTAGCGGATATTGGGATCAGCACCAAGCGTTGGCGTTAGGTTTTGAGAGAAATAGAATGGTCTATCTAGGAATCCGTCCGGTGTAGCCAAGTTGGTGGCTCCGTGTTCGATGTCACCCGGCTACAGGGGTCTGCTTTATCTGTCATCTTGAAAAAGTCGCCCATGTTGACAGTCCTGTGCCTTGGGCTGATTTCCGGGCCCTCATCTCCCACCTAGCAATGGTGTGAATCGAGAACTTTGTTTCCCCGAAGACGAAGATAAAGAGAAGCAATTTCACGTCTGAAAAAATAACTGACCACCAAGATTTAGGGCCAACCTTGATCATCAGCTATATATCCAACGGCGACGGTAGCAAGAAAGACTTAAAGACAACTGTATCAGTATATATTCCAGCCTCAAGTTGTGGATGTAATTTACATAAATACTACTGGAGCGGAAACTCAACATGGTCTACTTCATCGACAACACCGATGCCATGAAAGGCCGATACCAAAAGAAGAACGTGTGGCACCCAGAGTGGACACATGTCAAGGGCTCACAGCATGTCCCGCATGTTGCCTTCGACACGCCACTAGGAAAGGTCGGGGTGTTGATTTGCTGGGACGTTGCGTTCCCGGAAGGATTCCGCAACCTGATAAGCCAAAGGGTGAAACTCATTGCGGTGCTAGACTTTTGGAAGCTCACCAACTGTGCGCCGCAGGGAATTGCGCACAACCGGTATGCAGAGAAGCTCTGGTCCTTCTCGCGGCGGCGCTTCTCAGCCGGGCATGCGACAATACCTGCGCTGTGGTCTTTTGCAATGCAGGCGGTCCAGCTGAAGAGGGGTTATCGCAGGTTATGGTCCCTTTTCTGGGTTGTATCGGGATGACTGACACTTGTGAAGAGGGAATGAAGATCATTGATTTGGATATGGCAATCTTGAACAATGCCGCATCCTTGTATAGGGCCCATCAAGGCATGGCTCGACCTGATTGGCACTAATCATATGGAAATAATTCAACCCATTCTGCTCTGAATGAAGATTTTGTGGGTGTTCTCGGGAATTTAATGAGAGCTGGGTTGCCTAGCAGCGAATCAAGGCCAGGCGGCTATATAATGTTGTAATGTGATAAATGGGTGTGATCCGGGTTTTGAATTCACGAATACCCCCTTGAGAAACGAACCGGTACATTAAAGAGTGGCAATGGTGGTGAGGGAACACAATGATTTGTGGAGTTTTTATATTACTATATCGATAGTTTCGAGGGAGAAGTGTGGTGACAGCTGTGCAAAGTAGGTCTCGTTCCTATGATGCACCATGCAATGTGAAGCTGACTGCATAAACGCCAGCAGACCGGATCGGCAGCGCTGATCTTAAATTCGGGGGCTGACTCCATTTTGAGGTAGCCCGAAACCCCAAACAGGATTAGCGTTGAAAAAAAACCCGCAATTCCAGTCCATATTGATATAAAGCTCGTATAGGTCAGGAGCCCCCAAGTATTTCAAATTCATGTCGAAATATTTCCGTTGTCCTTCATCTAATATAATCATTTAAAGGAATATATATCTTAGAGTCTCTTATTATCCACTTTAATCAAAGGACCGATATCTGAAGTTTCTACTCACCCTGATTTGCTGTGAGAAATTATTGAGGATTCAAGGATCGAGTAGTGGGTCTGCGCAAACTTCCCAAAGCTTACTACAGCTCAACACAAAGGCCAACGTTCTGGGGTTCAAAATTAAGAGGTCCAATATAAGATAAGGTCAACATTTGAATTAATTCTGTGAACCATCATCTACTGATTAAGGAGCGACAAGTGACATCTTCGTTCGAAGTTCGAACTTAGTATTCGGCTGAGTTCTGAAGCACGGTTAGCAAATTGGTAGATGTTGGATCATTCCAAGTTGCCCCAGTAGTTCCAGCGGGAGATTGGTCAAAATACCACTCCAGCCCCATCCTCAGCACACCCTCTGCTCTCCCTCTAGCACTTGGCTCCGCCCTCGGTGCCACCGTGGCACGAGTTGCTGCCACAGTCTTGAACCTCAGTCCACTTTCCATTCTTGCACTCGACCTTTTTACAGAAATATACATTAGCAAACATGATCTAATATTCCAAGTAATATATGTAACATACAATACCAGTTCTGTCGCAGCCACAGAAGTGTCTGTCTCCATTGGATGCCGCGCAAGGGCTGTTTGTGCGTCTCTGGGCGGGATCATAGCCGGCTCCGCAGGCGTCTCGCTTGTCTAGGGCTGAAGCACTGACGGCAGTAGCGGCCATGAGAGTGAAGAGGATAGCAGTGACCTTCATTGTGAAAGAGGTGTGGTATATTGAACGAGATTGTTTGTTTGAGATTGTTGATTGGTTAGGAAAGCTTGATGTCTAAGATCACATCTTTCTGGCAGGATATGTCGACATATTTATACTTCTTCAGACCAAATGCCAAGTCGTTTTGGCTGTCTCCTTAACACGGGCAATACATCTCAGATTGTTGGAGTTGGGGGCCATATTTGCCAAAGCTATTCCGCGAAGCCAGCAATTGGTTGCATTGCAGCAATTTGATCGGGCAATAATTTCAGGCCCCCGAGCTGCAAAAAAACAGCTCATAGAAATGTATATGCCTTTACTCGAATAGTAAAATCTCCGCGTAGATCAATCTTGGCAGGTTTGAAATACGAATGAATATATGTGTCGATCATTCCTATATGATGTAGTCCATGCATATAAGCCTGCACTATTCATGGGGCCAAATAGGAAGTGGAAACTCCGTTGTCTATACGAAAAACGATTATGGATTGAGCACCTAATATTCAGATAGTATACAATTGAAAACATGTAAAACGTAGGCACTGAGTTGCCGGTGTACCTTAAGAAACAATGATGAAATTCTTGAATGTTCAAGTATAACATTGAGCTTACCACCAGAAACTCAATTGCATATCCCACTAACTATATCGAGTATCATAGGACGTCCAATGCTGTCCAATGAAGTCCCTAGGAAACTAGGAGCTACCCCAATGTCAAAGTTGAAATGGTAATACAATGTTGTCAGCCAAGATAGTCTCACACCTGGCGCTGACGAATCGAGTGGGTTGCCAAGGTTGTCCTATGTATGAACTCGTGTGCTATCCAGATATGCAGGACTAGCAAACGAATATAATGGACAATCTGATTCATAATTGCTAACTAATTATGCATCTACATTTCATAAATTGTTTGTTGTGGCGGTTAGGTACCAGCCTTGGATTTGATGTGTCACACCCATAACTTACTATGTACTCGTATGTAGATAGTAGCCTGAGACATATCCAACACATATAGCTCAGTTCTTCCTCCAATTACCCACAATAATGATTGCCGATCTCAGCCATTAGGTCCATACATTTGTCACATGGCACCCATTAGCCCACCTGGGTAACCTGTAAGGAGGACCTAAAACATATATCGTTTGGCTTTTTGGCGGGACGGGGCGGAGCACGGGAGATCGACACGCCTCATTACCCCCGTCTTTGTCAGGCCCCGTTGGACGACCCAACAAAAATCCCCGACCTAATGGAATTGTACGTTTTGTTAGGATTCAGATACAATTGGTACAAGTGGTAAATTCTCAGTTTTCAACATTCTGGTCTGGTAAATACATAACTGAATTTAACATGGAAAACTACATGTATCTAGTACTATTTCAACATCTAAAGTTGACGTTGTGATGGTGTGAATGTGTGCATGGTTGGCCTACATCTACATGGGCTATAGTCTCTTGGCAAGGACTAGGTCTACCCCGCACAACATGGCTCAGCCCCAAAGGTCAGTGGTGGAAGTGAAAGCTCGAATACGTATGCAGTATGTACTCCGTAGGAATGCATCCCTTGAACTTCTCTATAGAATATTTTATTCCGAAAACCGAACGCCCCAATCAAAGATGCAGAGGGCCGTCCACAAGTGAATGGCCTCAGCCTGCATTTCAACACCAATAGTGCTGGTACAAGCAAAACGATAGCCCCAGCCATACTTAGTCCCCCTGGGCACACCCAGCCACCCTTGGAATGTTCAGCTGAGTTCTACTGACTTCAACCCTAGTATGAGACGTGACAAGGCAAAGTAAGTGACGCGAGACAAACATTATCTTCACTAAGCGTCAGTCTCAAAAATAGGGCAACCATATGACCCGCTAACAAAGTCGGTGGACTAAATCCCTCTACAGTGGTCTCACAAGATTCACTACAACGTCAATTCAAAGTTCGAAGTGTTTGAATTGTCCCGGCTATATACGAAAGCAAAACCTGGCATCCAAAGCTAGACCAAGTCAGTTGCACACTTCAACAGCAAGAGGTCCTCATATCACAGAAGAAATCCCGCTGCTGAAGTTAACAGCCATTTCCAAAACCACTTGTTCGGACTCCAATGCTCCTCCCAATCATGTCCAAGATAACATCTTAGATCTCTTAGATCATGAGACGCTCAACCTGGTTCTTGATGGCGCGGATCTGAGCGGTCAGGTCACTGGCCTCGTTGGTGGTGATAGAGGCAGCGATGACGGGGCGAGAGACACCGGTGGCACGGCCAAGAGCCATCTTGCTGGGAACGTAGACGTAGGGAACCTAATTCAGAGGGGGTAATTAGTCTTGATTCTAGACGTAAAGCTTTGGGGTATTTCACTCACGTTCTTGTCCTCGGCCAAAAGAGGCAAGTGAAGGACAATAGCGAGGGGGCTGGTATCGGCGGCCATGATGACAAGCTCAGAAGTTCCGCGGTTGAGGGACTTGGTGCACTCGTTGGCGCCCTTCTTCAGCTGACGGTAGTGAGCGGCCTGCTGGACAAGGTCGAGGAGGCTCTGGGCGAGGGCCTCATCGGCGATGGGCCACGCTGCGCTAGTATCTTCGGCCATTGTTGTATTGTAGTTGGGAATTCAAACACCAGATCTTGAAGAAATGGCTCACTCGGGGGATCACGGCCGTGTAATTAAAACGGAAAATATGTGAGATATAGATTGAGGATGAGTTGAAGGTGATGGTGAGAAATTTCTTGGGAGTGGATCGTTTGGGCACACCGCCTGCTGAATTTGCACCTTTTTCTGCAGTTGGTGGGTACCCACTGCTCTTGTCCTATTGGTCACCCCGGATATCCCGCCGACGATTGGTGCCTGTTTTGTCAGGCCGAAGGTCAAAATCTTTTTGGTGCAACATAAGTCCTACAATGCCGACAAATATACCACGGTGCTTGCTCAGTGATCTGTTGACCATTCGCCTAGTACCCCATGAATCAGTGTTGGAGCATGTATATACCGGGCTTTGGTCTGTTGGTAGTTAGCTACTAACTAATAATAGAACTACTAACATCGTGTGATATATTTAAGGGTATCACTGTCCTCTTGCACAGATCACACTAATCCAGAAATGCTACAGCAGTCTAGGTCTTCTTCAAAACGTTGTCCATAACTCATAATCAAGGCTTTCATTTCACCCCAAAAATTATTGGAGGCCGCAGATAATTCTCTTATGTACATTTGGAATTCTATAATTCCATGCGTCTTAATATGCAAATTTCACGAAATCATCAAAACATTCAGTCAGTGCCGTTCACAGTGGCAGAGGCAAGTCTGGAGCGAGCACGCAGTGCAGGACCAAACTTGAACAGAATGAACGGAATGAACGTCAAGACAGTCGCCACCAATGCCAACAACAATCCAGCGTACTGACTACCCATGTTGTGGAAGAACTGGGAAGCAAACAGCGGCGACACAGCACCGAGTGTGTTACGCATGAAACCCTGGCCGGCAATGGCAGAGGAAGAGTGTTCTCCGTAGCAATCGGCCGTGTAACTGTAGCAGGACTCGAAGATGAAGAAGATACCAATGGTGATGAGGGCCAGTCCGATGATGGGGCCCATCCAGTGGAGACCCTTGTACTGGCTGAAGCTGTAGATGAATAATCCGATGGGCAGCCAGACGGCTCCGCATAAGGCACCATACAAGCGAGCTTCGGGTGCGACCTGAATGTTCGGGTCGGAGGAGAGGGACTTGTATTTGCGAATTTGGAAGAAGTTGAGACCGAATCCGATGGTGGTTCCGAGGCAGAGGGAGATGTAAGGAAGACCTGAGATTCCCTCGTTCCAGCCGCGCTTCTCTTGGAAGGTGATGGGGATGACGGAAAGGAAGAGGAAGGTCAGGAACCAGGCAAAACTGATCCAGAGACCGAAGGCGAAGACGACAGGCTCGGTGAAAAGCATCTTGACGGCCTTGACAGAGGAGTTGTGCAACATGTGCTTAATTCCAGGGGCTTCGATATCGTTGTTGGTAACGAAACGCTCATCACCGGTAGCGTTGCGAATTGCCTTCGCACGCTTGGCGAGACAAACACTGCCACGAGTTTCAGGGAGACAAGTGATAATGACGATACCAAGGGGAATGTTGGCTAAACCTTGAATACCCTCGAGCCAGCGCCAGCCGAGAGCTTGGTCGATGAAGCCGGCATAGATGGGTGCACCGACTGTACCGAGGATGGCGATGAAGGAGAAACAAGCCATAGGGATGGCACGGTGGTCAGGTGTGTACATATCTCCGAATGTACCACCAACAAGAATGGTGCCGACACAACCAAACAGACCGAGCAGAGCACGGCAGACTAGGATAGTGGCAATGTTCTTGCCCAGAGCGAGGCCAATGAACATAAGACAGAAGCAGATGTAGGCACCGATATAGATGACTCGTCGACCGGCCAACTCACAGAAAGGAGCGAGGAACAGTGGAGCAATTGCACAGGTAAAGTTGAAGGTGAATAGACCAAGCTTGCCAATTAACTCTGTTGTACCGAGATCCTTTGCCATGCCTCCAATTCCGGAACTGTATGCTGTCGTGGCGAGACCGATGAAAAGTGTCATTAGGCAAAGCTGAGTGCTGATGAAGGCCTTCCGGCCTGAACCCCAGTTGAAGGGGTTCTCCTTGTCTCCATCAACGAAGTCAAGTACGATGAATTCTTGGCCATTGTGCTGCACAGGCTTGGTGGCTGTAAGGGGAAGATCAACGTCGACCTCTTGCAATAAGCTGCTGTCGTAGTGGTGGGTTTGCTCTTCTGAAAGAGCGTTCCGGTATTTTCCTCCGACAATTAAACCCTTTGTCATGTGTGTGTCGTGGGCTGGGGTAGTGTCAGGTGAGGGAACATTCTCGTTATGGGAAGCCGATACTGGCTGAGGATTCTTGGTGGCCTTCATATCGTGTATAGTGTGGAGGGTGAAGGGAGGAAATGTCGGTTCAGGGAAGAATGAATAAAACGGGGGTTGGTCCCTTTCTATAAAATTATTTAAGGGTTCACGCTCAAAATTTGCCTGTTGTACGTCATGCTCCGGACTCCAGAATTTGCTGAGAACCGGGGCTGCGGGATTATACGGAGGAATGGGGAAGGGTAATTCCAGGCAATGATCGATTATGGTGGGAGCACCGAGCCGAGGAAGAGTCTGCTGATCAATGAATGTGTTGGACCACTAAGTAAGTGGGTACGACGAAGACCATGTGGAACCCCTTGTGCCTGACCCTTTTTATGCCTGTGTTTGTTAGATGTAACTACCATCTAGATCAAGGGAAAATGCCATAACAATATTTTCTCCAGTTCTCACTCGTTATAACATTTTCTCGTATGTGCATTCTCGTGCTTCAACCTCCAAGGCACGTTTTGCCCACGTATAGGTTTCTACACACCCGTGTCGGAACCAAGGGATTCATGTTTCGGACAAGTGCCGGGGGTTTTAAATTTTCAATATATCGCCGACGATGGCCCGAATAACCTCCCGAGCCGACTTGGTATGATTGGCCAACGGCCCCACATCTGAATAATCAGGTCGGCATGCCGTTTTTCACTCTGCCGATGTACCCGAGTGAATGGGGAAAGCGTGGGAGTCCAGGAACTCCCAATTCTCGAGTAATAACCCGGTTCCTAAGTGCTATTAGGTACATTTACATCACAATTCACCTTGTGAGTGAAGTTGTAACCATGCACTTGCGATTTATTAAGCTTCGGAGTGACCCACTCGGGACCTCTGTTCCTCTTCCCAAGAATTCTTCCCGGTGAGACCGATTGCAGCAGAATTCCCGAGATTTGCCACTAAGTTGATCCCGAGAATATTATTGGCTGGGTGATCCTCGGGCTGCCGTGTCCATTTCTACGATCATTTCCAATAATATCCTGTGCCTGGACCGGCGTTTCCTGACCTTCCCCAACGGGTTCATATTCCACCCCAACTCTCCTCAAACCCTCCGAGTCCGCTAATCTCTTTTCTCCTTAGATTCTGATGTCTGTGCCATGGGGAGATGAAAACGCAATTGCAATAAAATCCATATTGTCTCCACTGGCTTAGTTGTCAGCCGGCCGATCCGGACATATTGTCGGTGCTCGGCGGTTGGTCGGTCTTTTTCTCACGTTATGATATGTGTCTCGTGTCTCGCATAACGCGAGTAATCTTTATGCAGTGTTTCTCATCATAATCCAAATCCAATGTACTCCGTAATCTTTGCATGAATCATACGGCCAAACCGTCTTTCTCTACAGAGTGTACCCATGATATTGCAGAGGCATTCAACTTTGAGTCGCACCCTTTCCACCATATCCGTATTGAGGGGCGTCGCGAGAGGGTTTATTTTCCCATCTTTGCCCCTCACTCTAGTTTTCGGACCAGCAAATCCCATAGAGCAAGTAGTGTGGAAGGCCTTCTCGATGATTACACTTAATGTAATCTCGAGTTTATCGGCAGCGAATTAATCGCTGGGATTCGAGATGTGCTATAATCGAGATCTCCGTCGAGATCACACGGCTAGTTTCGCACAGTATGACCATAATCCCATTTTCGGCGTGTTTGGAGTGCACAATAGATTACAACGAATTAGTGGCGAGCTACTGGAACTGGATTAGGAGCACTTCGAATTCTACGCAGTGGCGTGCAGATGGGGTGACAGGGATCGGATCGAGCGAATAGATGGACGGATTTATATCGGTCATTTTCTGCGTCGATTGAGGGACAAGATCAAGAGATTCGCCACAGAACCGGTATGTTTGATGTCAAATGACTTGCGAAGCGTTACACCATGTGATATGATGCCGGTCACTTAATTCGAGCGCTCGGTGGGATGAGAGGAGGGTTCATTGACCTCATCGATCATTCCACGACTGTTTTGGAGGAAGAAAACAGTCGATTGAGGAGTCAGTCGATGGTTCAGCTGTTGTAGTGCGTACGTTGTCTGCGTCGACTTCACAGACACAATGAGGTTGGTAATGTGACTGTGCGGATAATGCTTTATTAAGGTAACATATCAACATCTGTAGAATTAGAGACCTTAACCTTGCCTTCTTGGACACAGAACAACTCTCAATAGAGGATGTTGAGGGACCTTTCAGAACCACACGTGTTACACCGAATCTATATATGGGAGTAGGCTCCGCCTTGTCACTATAGTCTGAAAGAAGACAGGCTCCATCTGCATTGATGGTTCCAAAAATTTCACCTGGAACGTCGAATTAACCCCAAGGTTCTCAGCGACTAAATACTAAATTGAACACACGCAGGGGTGCTCTCCGCGTGCGGTGACCTTTTTGGAAAAAAGTCCTCTGGCTGCTAGGGATATCTCCAAAGTAGGGTTATTATATCCTATGGGGAGTAGTTCTATGGTAATTGAACTAACGGGCCAATCAGATTTAATCCTGATTTGGTGGACAACGGCGATTCGACAGCGAATTGTCTGTTTATCCGATCTATGCTTGCATCTGCTAAGACTACATAAGTCCGATATATTTCATTACTGAAGATTATTTCGGTCTGTTCCATTGATTTACCTGTTCAACGTTCTTAAATATAGTTCAGAATGCCGCAAAATTAGGGCTCCGAATATGCCAGCTCCAAGCTTACTGGCCACAGTTTGAAGTTTCACAACTGGCCAGGAGCTGGTGAGCAGACCACGGAGCATTTCGGTCTCTCCCATGCTGTGAAAATTCTCGCTGTGTTCGAGATGACAGTTCCATCCCCGCAGACCGGGTGGAGGAAGCGGATATCGTCTTTGAACATGTTGAGCTTGCCCTGAAGGCTGCTGGCGTTGGAGATGATGCCTGGAAATATGCTTTTAAGGTTTGACGTACGGAATGTGAAGCTGTGTGGGAAATACACAATTGATCCATTTCTGAATAGATCAATACCTACGAGGTTGCAGCAGAGGAGCTTCAGGACGGGATTAGGAAAGCAGCTCGAAAGTACTTAAAGCAGATACGCCCGGTGTGGACTGGTGTGAATGTGGCCTCTCTCGTGATGCCAGGCCTCTATTTAGAGATTGAAGTTGAGGCTTATCTTCCGAACTGACACTGCTTACGAGTTGTAGTCAATGCAATTGACGCAATTCTTCCATATGACGTGTGTTTTTTCAGGCTTTCTTCGTATATGAGTTAATCAGTGTTGTAGAATTAGAGTATGTGTGTAACTGTGTGTAACTAGGGGTTTACCTTATGAAATATAGACAAAATATTCCTATATATTTTAGTGCAGAGGAGTATATTCAACCAATCAGCATGTTAGCTCAGGGGAAGAGCGCCGGGCTCATAACCCGGAGGTACGTTTCACCGCAAACAATTTCCCAAACAAAATCAAACTAACAATCACAATAGGACCCTGGATCGAAACCAGGACATGCTATGTCTATCTTTTTTTTAATTTTTTTTTTATATGTTACTTTGTCATCATCGTCTAAAAACAACACTTTCACTTTTGTCCATATTCTAGTATGTTATGCATGGGGGGAGTTATTTGAAAGTCCATCGTTTTGCCCACACTGGTTGGAGGAACGCTATGACATCAGAAAGCCCATACATGAATTATTCACCTTGCAAATATGTACCTCTGGAGCTACAATTTATCAGATCTGTATGAGTTGGCTACGAGCATCATGACCTCATAGACTCTCGGATATCTTTCAATCATCTAGAAGCCTTGTCAGGCCGGTTTCTTCCCCGGGGCATCATACTGATGTAACAGGGCGTTGAATTTAAATTCGATAAGCATATAAATATATAATCAACCATCGCCCTGAGAATAGTCACAGTGAAGCTTTTGAGCTTAATTTAATATGCTACTTTCTAAAAAAGATGAGCAAAGCATTTCACACCACCTTCACCGGTAAGACATCCATCCTACTTTAACCATTACATGCCGCTCACATCCCCAAAGGGTCGGCAATTGGATGCCAGCAGATCACCAAGCCCACAAAGAATGGCTTGTAGGAATAATCAAGAAAGTCGACGACGATGAGCAACCCCTTCACCCGGTCCTAGAGGAATTCAAAGAACTCATCGAATCCAACACACGCATATATATGCTCTTGAGTTCAATGTTCAACGAAGTCCCACGAAACAAGCGATACGGCCACGACCCAACAGGTAACCCCGAAATTCGTGACTATAACCATTTCCTGCTTGTTATCAATCACCTCCTCACCACTGCACCTTCCTGGACCGACAAGGCACACCGCGTCGGGCTAGTCGGTCTTCCCATCAATGCCGTCCTCGACTGGCCCATGGGTACACCGAGTGGGTATGCAGCCTTCCTAGATCCCGATATCAACGTGATGATCAAGAAGATCCTGAATGCGTGGGGTGAGTTCCTGTGCTCACCCGGATCCGCTGAAGTTCTGAATGATACTTCTCATGGATGGTTCAGTAAGACTGGTCGTCGGGATCTTACAGCTGTTGCAAAGATTGGTTTACTGGCTGAGACGGATTTGAAATTCCATGATATGTTCGAATGTGACCCGACTGCGCCAAATCACGGATTCCAGTCGTGGGATGACTTCTTCGTCCGCACCTTCAGACCCGGAATACGTCCCGTGGAGGACCCGCAGGACGGAAAGGTTATCGCTAACGCCTGCGAGTCGCAACCGTATAGGCTCGCGCGCCATGTTCATGCGCGTGACAAGTTCTGGATTAAAAGTCAGCCATACTCTGTGCTTGACATGCTGGGCCATGATGATCTTGCGTCGCAGTTCGTTGGCGGCACTATTTACCAAGCATTCCTTAGTGCCTTGAGCTATCACCGATGGCATGCGCCTGTTAGTGGCAAGGTCGTCAAGGCTTATGTTGTTGACGGTACTTACTATTCCGAGCCGCTGTTTGAAGGTGTTGGAAACCCGGAGGTCGGGCAAAAGGATATTGATATGGCGGGTCAGGTCACTTCCCAGGGGTATATTACTTCAACTGCGACGCGGGCACTTATTTTCATTGAAGCCGATGAGCCAGCCATTGGGTTGGTGGCGTTTATTGGAGTAGGTATGGCAGAGGTGTCGACTTGTGATATCACTGTCAAGGAGGGGGATAGAGTGGAGAAGGGAGATGAAATTGGTATGTTCCATTTTGGTGGTTCGACACATTGCCTTCTTTTCCAGAAGGGTGTTCATGTATCTGGGTTCCCAGAGCCTGGGATGGAAGAGAACAAGCCTGTTCGAAGTAGACTGGCAGTTGTCTCGTGAGGAACGAGATGTTCATGGTGAAAACGCCGATTTGGAGTATGAAAGTTGGTCTTGAAAAAATGAAAGAGCCTTGTGTCTAGGCCAACCTCATTTTTGTATACTTTCTGCGATTCATGGCATCCAGCACATACGATCCAGGAGATAAGACACCTATGACAGCACCATAAATAATAAGACAAGATACAGTCCCAGGCACTTGACTTCGTGTTCGAACCTCGTTGACAACATGTTATTGTTGACTCTTATGAAAATTGTGGTATGGTTGATACCCACTCAATAGTCGTATAAGAGCCTACAGGAAGGGCTTTCAATGACGAAAAGACAAGACCCGTCATCCCTAGACGGGCAATAACATACAAATAAAAAGTCGCCAGCGCAATGATAGTACTGATCCGAAAGAGACGCTAGTTGGGCGTGTGAAGCCCCTTATAAACGAAGGCAGCCGACCGTGTGAATGCATAAACCACCATGTTACCCCTAGTGCTTAAATATATTTACTTACCATAACAACTGAAGACAGCGAAGAAGACGCGCCACGCTATTTGTTCGGTATAGGACGGGAAATCAAATTTCCACCTGTGTAGGTAATATATTAGTATGTCTTTTTATTTTTCGGCGTTGATTGATAGAAATGAACAGTCAAAAGGACAGGCGTTGGGGACCTTACACGGCGATGTGAATAGCGCAGAAAAGGCTGGCGACAAAAGTGCACATAAAATTGAACAGTATAGGCTCCAACGGTTCCACCTTGAGATAATTTTGAGCTACTTCATCTGCCGCTAGAGACCTCTCCTGGTCTTGTGTTACAAAAACAGGCCTTTTGATGGTCTGTTATATAACTGAGAGCCACTCTTCATTCTTGAAACGTGCCCAGAGATGAACCCATCCCGTGGGGCTTGACTCGGTCAATTAATGTACCTCAGCCGGCAGGGTAGCTCGGGTATACCGAAGATGGATCTTAATTGACGTGCTCATATTTTTCGGCTGATGCCAATGCGCAGCATAGACCAGACACCGCAGACCACTTAGGCGACAGTCGACAATTCGATCGGTGAGACTGGTAGATTATAGGCCCACCTTGCAATGATGTTGCATAAAAACCAGGTGCTGTGGAGGATAGCGAATCCTTCGGCAAAGGGGTCCGCTTTCGCTCGGTCGTCGATATCCTGGTCCCAGAAGTCAGAGAAATGGAAGATGCCGGCTTGGATGAATGCTTTCATTTCCATAAATCGCACGGTGTAAATCCATTCATCCTGCGTTTGGATAGTCAGGCCATTTGAAACAATACAGAAGCATTGGGGAATGGACCACTCCGGGTTGACTGGATTCAAATCGATATGGGGTAGACCTGGTGCCTGTTCTAAGGGCCTACTGTGTTCTGAAAGCCATAAATTGGCCTCCGCCACCGCGCTGTCTCTGTCCTTTTGAGCCGCGTTGAACACTTTTCTTAGTCTTTTGACGGTGGTGCCTTGTTGAGCTGCGAGCCAGAAGATCAGTTCCGGCGCTAAGATGGCAATAATGCCTGTCCATAATTGTAAGAGCTAGACCTCTCTGCTGGACATATTTCCGAGCCAAACATTGAAGTGGAGGATGGTCCACGTGCAAGCAAAAATCGTTGTCAAACATGGCCACAGGATGTCCCATGTGGAGCGGCCGTTCACTTCCAACTGCCAACTAATGAGACCTATCGAGTTAGAGGCCAGTGAGCCTTTCACGAATAAAAAGACCAGCCATGCAATTAGCAAGGTGTAATTCAGAGGCTGAGAATAAACAAAAATATCCATAAATGGGGCTTCACAGGAAGTTACCGCAATACCGAGTTTACGGAGTAAAGGAGGCTGATATGTTGAAAAAGGTTATGCCCGGAGTACAAAGTAGAGCAAGCAAAGTATAAACCTCCATAAAAACCCCTTGCTTGGTTCAAAAGCACACCTTATTCGCAGGTGGCCCTTCTCAGCTGAACTATAGTCGAACGTGGTTGGCTTACCTTGAAACTTCGGCTTCTTGGCATCTGCACATGGCTGAATGTATCACACCCCGAACACCCCGAACAACACATATCAAAACAAGGCTGACTACTAGACCCATAGGGCTTGCCTATACGAACTCCATTGCGGGGACCGGGTAAATGATTGGCCTATCAAATCAAAACCGGGCTCTAAATTTCGAGGCTAAATACGTGACCGGGGATACTAGGTGTTGGCCTTCAAGAAAATCATTGGTACGCAAGTAATATAGCCATACTCCATAGAATTGGACATGGTAGATAGGCTTTTCCCTGGAACCTTTTAGTGAACTAGTATGTTGCGTCCTGACAGGTCTCTACATCACCTTAGAGTAAGATAGTGATCGTGTTTGCTACGCTCTACTATTTTAGTTCTATCCTCCATACGAATTGTTCAGTCCATGCACGATAGCCGGTAAAACACCTGTGGCTGCCACTAGCTATGTGCCACGGCGAGCACCATGCCACAATGGAATACTCCCCACTCTTGGCAGATCTATATTTAACACCAACCCAGGCACAGTGGCAGAGTATACATTAGAGCCCAATTAATGTTGTGGAGGCGCAACACTGGGCGACAGAAAGGCTCGACCCGCCTCCTGATCATTAGGTAGGGATCAAGTCTAGAATATTTGCATGAGAAGAGAGGCTTGTCATTATAAATATCTTGGCCTCCCCTGTCGAGGTTTCGTTCTATACTGGCAGGGAATATTCAATATTGTGGACAGCACATTGGCCCCCAACTTTTGGGTCTGATTACCGGTTATCTTTCTTCAATATGCCGAGGCACATCCCTCAATCAAGAACAGGCACTTATGGCTTCGATTATATTACCGTGGATAACAATGAGCATCAATATGACTGTGTGTATATAGCTGCCCATTGCTTTCTCACGGTTCTACATGCAGCTAATGCTAATACTTACAAGTTGGCGACACCGACTGCAAATTTCCAAAATTTCCTCCGCGAGTTAGGAAGAAGCGCACGCGACACCTAATCACAGGCTTGATATGGTGTGGCATTGTGTTTTTAACATGTCTTTTGGTGCTTGGAATTGGCATCATGGTCTTGTTCGCAGTAAGAACGGACAACACTGGTTTCGATTCCAACAGCCCGGAATACGCGTTGTACAAGAATACTAGGTTCAAGGACTGTTACAACACCCCTCTGTCTGCCATCACGTACAATTGCTCCGCTGTCAAAGCCTCTTTACAAGACCAGAACACTGTTGTGGGAATGACCACACCGTCTTTGTCAATTCCGAATAATTCGAATGAGAACAAAACCGTTTACAGCTGGTGTGAGGTAATGAGCTGTCTCAATGACCTTAAGGTGGTACCATCCACACCACGCCCATCGGCCTTCTGGGCGACGAGCCTTGAAGTATGGAACAAGGCTGCTATCACTTTCATTACTTCATTTTGGCAACTCCACAAGCTTCAAAAGGCCCTTTATAGCGACAAAGATACCTTCTGTAAAGGGATAGAGTGGGATACTTGGCTTATCATGGCCTGGGATCTCGCTTCGTTTATCTGGTGGTGCTTTGGTTTTGGCAGATTTGCCATGTTTCCAACACGATACCCTATGCCTTCCATGCTAGGCTGGGTATCGCTATGGAAGTATTGTTATATGATACACTATCATCCATTTGAGTGTGTCCTCCGACCCTCTCCTAAAACGGCACGAAATATAAGGTGGACACTCTACATTTTAGCAACTCTGCAGTGGATAGCTTCACTGTATATCTGTGTGTTCACATGGAAATGGGGTAGTAAGCATGTCTCACGCTATCCTGCATATGAATGCCTCACCTCTCGCATCCAGGATGCACCTGGCACCTCGTCGTGCTCAGCAGAGCAAATCTGCTCCAACGAGCTACTGTTCAAATCTTGGGTCTTCCACTATCCCTATCAATTCATCGATGGTTACGTTTCTCTTGCATGTCTGGTTTTGGGGCTTTCCTTCATTGCTATTGTGATGATATGTTCCCTCGGCGCATTCCCGTTGATCGCATCCCTGGTGAAAGGGGGGAGTCCTGGAAAATGGAGGAAAAAAGCATCTAACTTTGATTTCGGGTATGCCGGTGGTGTCGGGTTGGCAGGAGTTGCGTGTATACTTATTGCTGCTTTGACCGGCGTTGATGCAATCCAGGCACTTGACCGTCCTCGCGAGGGTGCTATTGGATTTAACTGGGAGTGCAATGCGTTGCATGTCACAGTGAGCTCATGGAGGTACTACTTGGATGTTAATTATGAGCTACCAGTACGAGCGGCTAGAATGTGGTTTAATTCATGAAATTTAGGGACTAATTTTATTCTTGCTTTGACATTATGTATCGCTTCATCAATATCATGATAGCTTATCGTAGAATGAATACAATATTTCCGGGCAACGGCTTCCGGGAATTAAAGGCTAGTAACTACAAAATAATTATATTAATTATAATTTCTCGAATGTATGCAATAATGAAGCCTAATTTGCATCCTCACCACTGCAAGCAGCTTCATTGCTCTCGATGCCGAGGATGGCGGGCATTGCCAAATCCGGAAAATCCGCAAACTACAAATGCATGCGGAGTGAGATGTTGCACCCAGCGAAATTCTGCTACCATATTTTAGGGAAATGTCTATTTACAGACCCATCTACCGACTCTAGTTCTTTTGAAAATATACTTGGAGATGAAGGACAAGTTCGTGGTATCCGTGTTATCTTTGCTCCTCGGCCAGGGCTTGGCTGAAGAACGCCACTACCCCCTTGTTACATCCCTTGGTGCTCTCCGCGTATTGCACTACAACAACCTTGGCCCTCAGAACAATGGTACTTCTGTCGTATTAGCGCATGAACACTCGAGCTATGCCGATGCGACTGCAAAATGCACTGCCATTGGCGAGAAGCTCTTCCCGTGGTCTTCGAAGCAAAACGACAGTCAAGTCGAACTCGGCTATGAGCTAGACTACCTCGTCTTTGAGAAGGAGCTAGGAGCCGATGATTACCTGTGGCTGTCAACAGAACAGGACTCTCACAAGAACTGTTTTGCTTTCTCGATCTCCGATCGCCAGATCGTTCCGAAACAATGTAGAGAGAAGCTACCAGCCCTCTGTACTTCAACTCCGCCCGCAACAACCGATCTCGACGGAGCTGCAAGGGAAGCTGCGAAGCTGACTGTGACATCCAATGATTATACCTTCACCGGATATCGGGATGCACGATCCTTCCGCTTCCTTGGCGTGCCTTTTGCAAGTCCCCCAATCGGGGACTTGCGCCTTGCCCCACCGCAAGGCTACACAGGGCAGAAGAATATCGATGCGACTAGCATGGGGGATATATGCATTCAATCCCCCTCACCTCTTAGCACTGTGCCTATTCGTGGAATGTCCGAGGACTGTCTTTACCTGAACGTCTTCACCCCACTCCTCCCTCACGATGACACAAAGAATACCGCACTCCTCCCCGTGGCTGTTTATGTGTATGGTGGTGCATTCACAAAAGGCTCCTCATCTATGATCGATTATGACGGGGGAAACTTCGCTAGCCGCAGCGATGTGGTCGTCGTCACGCTTAACTATCGGCTTGGAGCATTGGGCTTTCTCTCGACGGGGAATCTGACAACCGGAAACTACGGTATCCAAGATCAGATCATAGCTTTGGAATGGGTCCAAAAACATATTTCTGCCTTGGGGGGTGATCCGTCTCGTGTTACTGTCTTCGGCCAGTCCTCTGGAGGTCAAAGCGTGGTAGCCCTGCTCTCTTCAACTGCAGCAAAGGGTCTCTTCTCCAGCGCGCTGGTACAATCAGCAAATTTCGATCTCCCTTGGTTCTCTCGCGATCTTTACTCCAAATATATCGCCCCAGAAATCGCAAACGCAGTTGGCTGTGAGGGCAATGATTTGGAAGAAAGTCTCGTCAAGTGCCTTCGTTCCGTCCCGGCTTCAATGTATCTCGATAACTCAACCGAGTTCCAGACTGCTACAAAGACCTTCTCATCCACCATCGCAAAACATTTCTACAACAACACTCAAGCAACAGCTGCAGATGAGCCATTCATGCCGATGGTAGATGATACCGGATCGGGCGTAATCGACGACCAATTCAACGTCCTACTAACAAACAACAACCTCCCCATCAACGTCCCAACCATGTTCACCACTGTCCGGGACGAGGCAAGCCTCTACATGGACATTCTCGGTTCGACAAAAGCCCCACTCGCTACATTGCTTAATGCCATATTAGGCGAGACTCTCGCTCAGAAAATTATCGCCTCGGGTGCATACAACGTCGATGATTCGGACACCGACGCCGTCCTCAACGCTATTTCCGATGCTCTGACGCATAGTCAGTGGACTTGTCCACAGGGTTATCTTCTCGATAACTCTAATTCCGCCTTCCCTTCACTATACGAAATCCAAATAACAGATGGTCATGCACAGACGTCAAACATGCCGGATATCTGTTACCCGAATAGTGGATATAACGCTTCCTGTCATGCCTCGGATAACCTGCTTGCATGGGGTACCTTGAATGCCAAGACGGAGGACGTGAAACCGTACTACGATGATCGGGACGTTCTTCACTCGCAGCTCGTTCATGATGTATTTGGTGCGTTTTTCCGCGAGAGGAACCCAAATCCGAATTTGGAGTTCTTGAAGGTTCGTGGTCCTGCGTATGCAAGTACGCTTTCTATATTTGGTGGGGAGGTTGGTTCGAATTCCTCGCTTGGGAGTACTGAGAATGGGTTTGTTATTGAGCAGTATACGGCCGATGAGCGGAATTTGACGCTTCTGGGGATGCCGCCCTCTAGTACGGCTAATTTTGAGGACGAAGATATCTGTGCTGTGCTGCGTGATTACGGGTTTACTTTCCAAAGGGCCCGTCTCTCTGATTAGATTTATATTAGGTACTGTTTCTATCGTTGATCAAATCCTTACAATGAACGCTGAAGCTTGTAGAGCTCATATCACATTGAAACCGTAGCGTTGCAAGATTTCATCACTCCTCGGTTACGCCGCTTAGTTTCAACCATCATAGAATCTACATGATGTATATTGGAGCTTGAGTTCGTGTGCCCGGATTATTTGGGCTTGTCATTTGAAATTCATTCGAATCGTGAGAATCATTGGTGCGAAGAAGGGTAAAAAGACCACAGGAAACGAAACGCCAAATCAAGAAGCCGGCCAAAAATGAGAGTGGAATGCTAGATCTGTCGTGATAGAGATGAGATGCCAAAGACAATGGTCTGAGACATGGTGATGAAATAGGTTGATGGAGCCAAAGGAAAGTAGATGCTCGTATGCTCAAAAATGAGGAAACGTGGCAGAAAGAAATTCGTTAAATGTATCAACGTGCATCAGTCGTGGAAATTATTCGTAAATCGGGACCCTCCGCGAGGGAATGTACCCATAATCCTCAGGCACAGTTGCCGGAGTATATCGCTTTGAAGTAGAGTTGCGAGGGCTCGACCATCCAGTTGTGCGGGGATGGAATCCGGCACTGCTGTATGATCGCGGCCGCTCAGATCCACTTCCTCCGCTACTGGGTCGGCTATTACCTGTACTGCCACCACTGTAGCTTCCTCTTCTCATGTCATCTGCGGCGTAAGTACCTAGATGTCTCGGCACCGCTCTTGGTGGTGGAGGGGTTGGTGGCCTATAGAAAGGTGGTTCTGGAGCAGCAGGGGCCGGGTCGCCAAATATAAATTCATGGAATTTGACACCTGCTGTACGTGATCGAGAACGGTCTTTTGGATTCTCCCTTGGGTAATCTCTCGGGTCCCTGTCTCTTGGATCCCTATCTCTCGGATGATCCCTCGAGTAGTCTCTCGGGTGAACCTTTGGCGAAGGCTCAGAGCTGGATTTGCTAGATCGCGAAGGGTGGCTTTCGTGCCCGCGGCGCTGCCGGGAAGGACTTGTGGGCGACAGATCTCGGAATGGTCTGCGGGTGTAGGCTTCGTGTGAGTGTCGTCTGGCACTACTGTTGGAAGGTGGTGATAGATGACGCCGCTCTTGGTGCTTATTGGGCTTTGCACGGTCCTTGCGGCGACGTGAAAGCTCATCTGAAGACACATCAGAGACATCTGGAACCTCACCTGTCCCTGGGCTTAGTGGATGGCCATGCCGGCCACCTTGGTCTCGTCCACTTGAACGCGCTGGACGCTCTCCCCATGGGGGAGGGGATGAAACCCTCGGGGTTGAAAAGCCCGGTCGATTCGTCCCAGGTCTGCGTGCAGAAAATGCGGGATATTCCCCGCTGTAATTTCGGCGGTGATGGCGATGGTCGCTGGGCTGATCGGGCTCCACATGACTGTGACGCTTTGACGCCGCCCGGTGTGGACGGGAGAAGTAATCATCTTCGTCGGGTAGAGGATCCTTACCACTAAAATGATAATGATATGTCTCAAAGTCTGGTGGCGAAGCACGCTTCGTGTGTCTTTTTAAATAGTCCCGCTCCAATCGCCGACTCACGCCTTCATGCCACTCCAGCATCTCTGGGTCGGGCTCGGAAGGAAATGCGTCGCGAGGAATCGTCTTTGGAAAGATCTCGCCATTTAAGTCTGCAATATCCCAAAGGTTGACCGCATTTTGCAGATACACCGAGTGTTCATCTGGGTCCATCAATAGTTGTATTGTCTGCCACCGCACGAAGCCATTCGGAAGTAAGGACGGAATCGATGGGGGTTCGTATGGGTTTGCTGAGGGCTGGAGGCTGTGGAAACATCCTAGTGACTGGTAGATAAATGACAGGGCTTGTCCCTTGGTCTCAAGGAATAAAGGGTCGTAGTTGCCGCCGACTTTGCGGTAAAAGGTAGCGAGTCGCTCGGGGGTGATATCAGTGGTGCCGTTGGTGTCAAAGGAGGACTTCGGAAATGTCAGTATGGTGCCCAATACAAGTAGGGTCTAGAACTTGCCATCAACTGCGCGATCCCTAGGCATAGCTGCTCAAGCAGTGGGGCTGGGCTCTTGTCTGGATTGATCAATGTACCCCATTGTATATCCGCAGAAGCCATGAATGCGGGGTATGAGGTAGTGAGAAGTGCATGCAAGCAGATGCATCAAAGCATTTCATCTCCTAGGCTTCGAGGTTGGGCGCGTGTCAAGAGAGAGAGAGAGAGTGACAACGGAGACAAGAGCGGTCAGGCACACAAGGGGGACCCACTGCGGGGAACCAAAGAACTGCGAACTATGAAAGTTCAATGATCTAGATCTGATAAAACAAGTACAAAGAGAACATTAAAAATACTGAGAATACCAAGATATTAAGAGGCATGCTGAGACATATCTATGTCTCCCTGAATTCACTACAAACAAGATACATGTGACTTGATGTCATTCATACCCGTGACTCACATACAATGTTGCATGACTGTGAAGCCTGATGTGGCGCCGTATGACCCAATCAGCAGTTACCTAAAAAGCAAAAGGTCTTAATTAATTGACATCCCTTTGGCGTTTAACATAGTAGCAATCAATATAGATTTCCCTAGGCAAGGGATGCTTCCTAGAAGCCTAGAATAGGCGGATGACAGTAATAAGAAGAGTAATAGTTACTTTCGAATCTTCCTTCCTTCCAATACTTTGTATATCCCTCCCCCTCGACATGAAAACTATCTATATTATATTCATATTCCTATAGCTTCACCTCACTCCACAGTGAATTGATGAACCCAAAGTTTGCTAAGAATGGTCACTACGACAACCATTCAGTTGTGATGGCAAGTTTCCAATCTATACCGCCGACTTTCATACTGGATACTCCTAGTCATATGTTATTAGCTTAATGGCTATAGGGGTCATGGCATAATAGCTGCAGGGATTCATGCATTCCCCTGCAAGGTTAAATATTAAGCCGGGAAAGCACTCGGTCGGAGATCTGGACTCTGTACTACATTAAGCTACCACAAACTTATTTTATATATCATCGAGTTCTGAAGCTGCAAACGAACAAGGCCATGGACATACTTTATTTATTTATTTATTATTAATTTTTTTTTTTTTTTTTTTTTTTTTTTTTTCATAAAGTAGAACAGCAGCACCGAGCCATTTAGTGGTCGTAGGGCTAATTACCATAACAGAAAGACCTTTTTTGAGTTGTTGATCAGGTTATCTAGTCTCGGCCGTGAAGTGTTCATAGCGGTCTATGGTTGTGCCACTGGTACAGGCTAAAATGTCCGGCTGCTCCTTTTCGCCCCCACGTAGGGTTATTAGGTCGTGTAACTGGGATGCACCGTCGGCAGAGATCGCTGACATGATGAAAATTGGTGAGCTTGAAATTGTGGGCGCTTCTGAGGAATAGACGAATTCTAGGTGGATTTACAATATTGGTATGGAGTACATATACATATCCTCCCAGAAGGGCGGATACTGGCCGCTGATTTCTCTTAGCGATGAATATTTGTCCCCAGCTGTGATCCTATTTTGACCATATCTCTTATCAGGATTACCCTGTTATTACTTCTTGTACTAGAAGTTGCAAGATAAGCAGATCCCCAAGCCCTGGAGTGGCTTCCGTACGGAGTACTATAATACGCGTCCTTTACGCGCATCGGATCCCCGTTATCCCCCGTGCCCAGTCGACTTTCTTTGACCTCTTTCTTTTCGCCCCCTCCTACTGAACAATTCTTGTCAATATACTGAAGATGGTGTCAACGTTGGAGAACAGCGAGAGTGGTCTCACAATGGCGTCAGCTGGGCCCCCAAAACTCAGCCGGCCGCGGATGCTAGTCGTGATCAGCTGCCTTTTTGTATGATCCGGCGGAGTCCTAGTAAAAGCAGCCGTACCAGCTAACGTTCATTTCTTAGCTATCATTATTCACGGCGGCTCTTGATTTTGTACGTTTTTTTTTTCTTCTTTCTTTTTTCGAAAACCCGAAGATGAAGTCATTTAAACTGACGAGTCTGCTCCAAGACAATCACCAGTCCCGCCATTCCCACTATCGTCGCAGATTTCCGATCGGGTTCAGGCTACACCTGGATCGGCTCTGCCTATCTCTTGGCTAATGCAACTTCCAGTCCAGTATGGGGGAAACTGAGCGATATATGGGGACGCAAAGCAATGCTGCTTACTGCAGTCGCGGTCTTTTTCATCGGTTCTCTCCTCTGCGCAGCATCAACCAATATGCCCATGTTTCTCAGTGGCCGTGCCATCCAAGGAAGTGGATCGGGAGGCGTCGTTATCCTCGTCAATATCTGCATCACAGATATGTTTGATATAAGGTATATCGCAGGCGATTGCCTCCGATGTGACTACTGGGCTTCGCTAACAGTAACAAAGACGCAGGAGCATGTACCTGGGACTAACTAGTGTGGTCTGGGCACTGGCTAGTGGTATCGGTCCGGTCCTAGGCGGAGTGTTCACTGAACTCGTCTCATGGAGGTGGAATTGGTGGATTAACCTGCCTTGCAGTGCATTGGCGTTTGTCATGCTGATCTGGCTTCTCGACGTTGACACTGGAGCAAACCGACTATCCTTCCGATCTGGCCTGAAAAGACTTGACTGGCTTGGAATTGCCACCATTTTAGGGGCCACCTTGATGCTTCTCCTGGGCCTGAATTTTGGTGGAGAATCTTTTCCGTGGAAGTCGCCTACGGTCTTATGTCTCATTGTATTTGGAGTCATCACAATCCCCTTGTTCGTGCTTAGTGAAGCGAAATACGCCCGGTTTCCCATCATGCCAATGCGTCTTTTCAAGCATCGCTCAAATGTGGCATCATTGTTGGTTTGCTTTTGCCATGGTTTTGTGAGTTTTTTCGGTCAATTACCTCACGATGTCAGCAATTGATTAGATGGATTGAATCATTCAGGTCTATAATACAGTCCCACGAGCTGCAGCAAATAACTGAAAGGTGATCTCTCACGTTTCAACATATTTCGAGGCGAAGCGCCATTAGAATATGCTAATTATTACGGATGTTGTCGATGCCCATGAAAATTTGATTTAAAAGTGTATACTGCTAAATGTAAATATTTCACTACCAACCCATTTTAAACGGCTCATACAAATGCCTCCAAATCCCTTCTTTTTTTTCTCTTACGTATAATGATGTAGAAACATCGTCACAATAATCACGTTGCTTGTAACCAGCACTGTATACCAGTCAGTATATCAAATATATCACCCTCAAAAAACCACCAAAGACACGAGCCGGCACTCCAAGTCCTTCCCCTGCCATGCAAAGTGTCTCCATTTTCTGTTGAATACTGGACCGAAGCTGAACCCAGTAGCCATTCGTCTCTGCCTGTTTATATCCAGTTGCCGCCGCCTCCTGTGATTGCTTCTGTCAGCTGTGTCCTGTTCTACTTGAAACTTGTAGCTGGAGGGGTCCGCGAGGGCCAGTTGATTTCGATCCTCTCTGAGGCGACGGAGTTAAATGGGCCAATTGGAAGACCCTGATAAAGCTACGACTTACCATTCCAAGGTTGGTAGATCTTCAAGGCCAATCGGCTCCGGCGGAGTTTCGGGCCGGTTCGAAGCTAGGTGCGGCCTGGAGCCAGATACGTGCCGCCATGTGGAGACAAAGTGGAACCCTGTATATCAAAGACAGGTAGAAAGGATCAATCCTTCGTACCCCTCATACGGATCTTGGGTCTCTTACCTTCCTCTTCACGCGTCAACTGGGACTACAGGTCCTGGCCCCAAATTCCAACGAGTGGACTTGGGTTGAACCAAGGGAGGATTGTGCGATTGTCAACTTTGGTGACATGATGGAATTGTTGACAAACAATTACTTGCGGTCTTGCCTTCACCGCGTTGCACCACTTCCTGGCCAGGCCATCCCTACTCGTTACTCTTTCGCGTACTTGGTTCGTGCCGAGAACAGAACTCTTATGACAGGCCTAAAAAGCCCTCTTACATCTGTCAAAGAAGAGGAAGAAGTTCTGATAAGTGATGACTGGATTAAAACGAAGTTTGGGGTCTTAATATTGGACAGTCGGAAGAAATGCTAGGACTGTGATCTCACTGGAAAAGATAAAGTGTTGCCTGTATAGAGATAGAAAGGTAGACAGTGACAGAGTGCAAACAGCTGGACCTTTTAATTGAAAAGGAAGAAGGGAAAGTGGCGTAATGCAGTCACTGTTGACAAGTTAACCTGTTAAGAAGCAGGGAGCCGACTCGTACTGCAGTAAGCCGTCAGCTTTCAGATGGAATTGGGAGAGACTGTGGATACAGGTTGACTCTTGGAATTAGGACTGGTATGGTTACATACATATGCAGGCCCCCGTGGAACCCCTGAGATAATTTCCCCAGAGTCTTCTAACTTAGCTGGGACTCGTATCGTTCATGATCCTCCCATCCTATAGATTCAATATGAGACATTTTATACTTTGTCGCCTCTAGTTGTTGTATAATACCCTGCCTGAGCTCTGTTATAACGTTGGATTTCCTTTTGCAGTCATCAGACTGCAGTGAGTTTGCACGTTCAGTCTATCAGCCTACACAGTACCTAAAATTGTTTATTCTGGGAGAACTGTAACATCCTTCCTATCTGTATCAGTGGCCTTACTTCGTGGCTTATTTATGAGTTCATTGACACCTATATAGATATATCGCAAACATCACATTATTCATGCGGTCCATAAAGAAAGGTTAGGCCACGAGTATACAGTATCAGTAAGAGAGGGGTCGAGCAAGAAGTCGACGTCTGGCTGGGCTAGGAACTCCTCCATGCTCTCTCCTAAGAAGGCCATGTCGTTTGCGCAGGTTGCCGGGACAGTGGGTTCAGGAATACCAGAGCTAGCGGTGTTTCCAAAAAGCCCTAGCTGGTTAGGGGCAATGATAGAAAGAGAGTCAGTGGAGCTCTCTGCGACACGAGGTAAATCACTCTGGAAATGACCGCCTTCCGACGTCCTAATATTATCCAAGCACTGCTTCACACATTCCAAATTATCGTAAAATTCAGTCGCAGCAAGATTTCCATGGCTGCTCATCGCTCGCAGAATTTCGAAGGCTGCTTCGAACAAGGCGAAGTCATTTCTGTTCTCCGGGTATACCAGGCTAGAAATAACCATTATCAGTGCCGAAGAGAAGAGATAGTGAGCATAGAAATATCCGAAGATTGGGACTGATCCGTTGGTCCATTCTTCCACAATCAGCGAGTGGGTATTTCTTGCAGCGTGGATACACGCATCGCTAAGTGTTTTTAGAGTCTGGCGAATGTTCATCTGGGCGTTATCTTCCGTAATGGACTCTGGGGATGTAGCTTGTATCAGCGCGTGCAGAAGGACCGGCCGACTGGCTAGCATTATACACTGCATTTGATTAGCCGACAATCCATTTCTGCCTAGGCTGTCCACTTACCTGGTTGAATTGAAGATGCAGTGATATAACGTTCATCGGAACGGGACCGTCACGATTGAGCCGAATCTGCGGGGGAAGAGCACAAGACCACTCCTTGAGAGAGATGAGTAACTTTTGCTCCCGTTGCAAGAAAGACTCCGGGAACCGTTTTCGGCTATACACACGGTCAATGACTTGACCTGTGATCTTGGCCAACTCAATACTGGCGATGAGAAATTCAGTGTCGGATGTGTGGTCATTGTGAATGTCACCAGACACATTTGATGGCATGTCAACGTAGATATCCGCGTCAGAAATTTGGATCGGCCAGCCGACCTTCGAGCCGTACATTCGGTCAAATACATATATTGCCCACCATAGTCTTGTCCGATGCTCACGCTGCACGGGGTTTGGGCACTTGCTTTCTGGAATATTGTGATTCAGCCCCACAGTCAACCCTAGACGCATAGCACTGCCGACCAACAGAAATGCCGAATGGCGTCGGTTTAAGAAGAACGAATATAGTGACTGCAATCGTGAGTATATAAGCCATGTGTAATACCTAGGTAGAAATGATAAATATCTTACCAAAAGTAAAAGAGTTTCAATATGTGCCAGGCTTGGTCGTTCCGGTAATATGGGTATCATCGTCATCGCATTGACATAATAGGCCACGCCGGGGACATTGCATTCAAGGCTCGGGGTTGATCGCGCAGAATATACTTCTCCAAGAGCGAAGAGAGCAAAGAATTTACACGTCAGCACGGGGTCGTCGAAGTTGTCCCTGCGGTATGCATCCTCGAGCTCGTCAATGGTCGACTTTCGAAGAACCAAATGGTACACCCGTGTGACCTGACTGAACACAATCTGAAGCAAAAGCCGAGCTTTGGGCAGGCTTGGCCATTTCATTGCGGGATTACATATCTTCATCAACGCAGATTCCGGCGTGTATTGCGTTCGAGGCATATGAGAAGTGGTCTCACTTTTGGTAAGAACCTTTCGAAGTCTCGTCGAGAATGCCGTGCATGCTGCTTCACAGACGTGGATCGGTGGTAAAGAAGGGTCATATGGTAAGAACCATGCCCGTTCACCGAGCATTGGATTCCGAACATGTGTAGCTGCGTCTGGCTCGGGTAGATCTAGAAAGGGGCGTAAGTCGGAGCTACCGGAACGACCAAGGAAACTTTAAGTACCTTCATCATGCCCTTGGTGTTCTCTCGGCGTTAGGAGCCCAGGAGACTGTGACAATTGGCTACGCAACCGCTGATTCTCTGCAGCCAGTTCCTCGAGATAACTGGTCGAATATTTAGTCTTGCAACGGCGCAAGCTTAGCTTAGTGGAGCATACCTCTCGTGCACTTTAACTTGACGATCTCGATTGATATAGTGGCACTCGGCAGGACAACCGGCCTGCCGACATTTGAGACATGGCTGGCCACCAGTGCATTTTATTTTGTGTGAGTGGCATCTCCGGCACCTTGAGACATGACATTAGCGGCTAGACTCGGGGATAGGTTCTCCGGGACTTACGCGATGGACTTCTTTTTCTGTTTTCTTATAGTTCCATCACTGCTCGATATCTTTGATGAGGAGGTCATATTTCAGATATAGCAGATGGGGTATCAAGGAGATCGAGTACGGGGTAAAGGAGTAAAATTGGGATTTCGCCGGATGATGTGAACCGGCGAAGTTTCATGTTGCCGAGCCAATCATCGTTAGGATTCCGACCTATACGGGCCATTAAATGTTGCCACCCGGGACATAACTGTCATTGGATAATCCATGGATATTGCCCAGGTGCTAGGTACAACATAGGTATGTATAGTTACCTACATATGTAGATACATCTATCCTCTCTCTCTTCGACCAAGGTTGGTTGTAAGGTTAGCAGTCATTATCATCAAATATTATATATATAAAAGTACTTTTTACGGCTTTAATATATATAACAGACATCTAAAAAGACACATTTGGTCGGCCATATAAGTCATACAGATGTTGTGTTTAGTAACAGTCTTGCGATTGCAGACACACCAACAACAGGGATGTTGGGCGCTTGACATCGTTATAGTATACTTCGATTCGAAAATAAGACCCCAAAGAAATCATAATATCTGATAACCCACTCGTCTCAAGGTAAATCGAAAGACATAGGCTGCTGAGAAAAAGTTTGGTTCAAGTCTGCTACCATATCATCTAGAGAAGGGTTGTTCCACGTAGGTGAGGTTGACGTTAAAGAATCGGCGAGGGATTCCGGTGTCTCAATGTATTCATTTTGACCTTGGGAAAGGTCTGGTGAGACGTCTCGTTCCTCACACCTGCTCATCCCGCAATCTTCAATCCAAATCAGTAAGTATTCTTGATGCAAACCAAGAAGAATTTTTCATACCAGAGTTCAGGACTTCGCCTCTCTCAATTGAATCACAAAGGTTGTGAAAATGCTTAGCCAACTGCGCTCGTGACTTCGCGGCAAATTCGACTGCTGTCGCTCCATGAGAACCCAGAATGTAGTTCATTTCTTCTCTCACTCTGTCAGCACCCCAATCCAGACGACCTGTCAATGCTTGGCCTATCGAGCTGGAGGCATTACACCAGCTGTCCTCAGTAAGTCTCGATTTCGCGGTATGGTATTCGTGTGCTATTCCTTTGGTATCGTGAACCTGCGGTTCTGGCTGCTCCCAGACCTTGTCAGAACAAACCGTATCGTAACTCTCACTGGGTTGTTTGAGGGGTGTAGGGAATCTGTTGTCCAATCCAATCTGTGACAGGTTAAGAAAGTTTGAGGTGAAAAGGGTCGTTGGCCACCGGATAATTTGCGGACGGCACATAACCAAATCACCTGGCTGTACCACAATCTCCTGTGCTTCAAATGCTTTGCATCTGTCTCCATATGTCGGTTCTAACGGGCTTTGTGGCCATGTGTTGAATTGCGGATAGGATACTGGGACTAGTCCGATCTTCTGTGTAGTCTCACATGTCGGGAATATGATAGTACTATGGATGTCGCTTGTGCCTTCTCCTTGGGCCGGTAACCTAGTACTATCGATTGGAACACCGAACCCTACGTCGTCGCATTGGGAAACAGTGCTTTGTTGATGCTGTCGTTGGCGATGAATGAGTTTCCGATTTTGGTCCGGTCTGCATGCGACTAGAACAGCATAATAAGCTGGATCCCGTTGTACAATTTGAGATATCATCCTGGAGCATTGATGGACGACGTTTCGATTGAATGTCGAATTTGTATCTTCATTAGTACCCTTTCTATCAAGGTACCTCCGAACCCGCCCGAACACACCAAACTCTTCCATGTAGGAAAAGAACCCCGGGATATGGAGAAATCCATCCCTTTGCCAACGCCACCACGCATCGGCAGACCCAGTATAACGACATAGCAGCCCCATATTTGAACAAAGGTTGGGGGTAGGGGTATAAGTATGGTCGTCTATTATGGAAGGCAAGTTAGCAGATATACGATAGCGACTGAACATCTCATGTGTCAGTCATGAAGGGGGAATTGGCCGCACCTATAGAACTGTAGCTTCCACGCGAACGAAAAGCCTCCAATTTGTGAATTACTTCTGCCCTAGTGCTGTCACGTGGATCCTCCCCGGGGATAAAGTGGGCTAGACGCATCAGATGCTCGGAGCAAAAGCTACCCCATGATATTGTGTAGGCCCAGTCCATCAATGCCATCAGAAGCTTCGTATCCAACCTCGCTTGAGGGGTAGTGATCAGGGCAATCAGTGGCAAGCATATAGGAATACATCCGCAGCACTGCCACTCATTTGGGGCTTTGTGGGTTTGTAGCCCTTGTGTAGGCGAGGCTGCGAATGGTAACAGCCTTTGCGAGCGTTCGAGCGGGAGGGACGATGTTTCTGAATGGATAGTGGAAGGTGGAGTGTCACCATCAGCGTAACTATCGGTACCTTTGTTCTGAGCGGAGCTTGAGGAGATTCGGGAATTTCTTGCTTGAAACACCGTAAGCCGCATTCTTGGAGGTTCAACTGGATAATATCCTGACTTACATTCCCGTGCTGCCAAGCGTGTCTGTGGTATTCCTAAAGTTTCCAATGCGCGTTGAACATCACTTGCCATGAGTCGATTCCGAGTTCGTCCACGTTCTGGTCTGTTTTTCATGCTCTCTTCAAGGAGTGATAGGGAGTCCAAATAATTCAGGTGCTTGCTCAAACAGGCTGTCAACGAAAGCAAATGTTTGCTCCAAGTTAAGGGGCGAGTATGAATCGGAAGAGCCTTGTCGAAGGGAATTTTCCAGTACCGACATATTGTTTGGGTACTTGATCGTTTCGCTAGCTCCGATTTCTTATGTCGCTGTACAATCGGTCGTACCGTTTCCATATATCCGATAGCCTTCCGGTAGTCGCTGAGGCTCTCATACCTCGTAGACCAAAGATCATTCTGGCATATCCAGTGCCACGCGGCACTGATGGATGAAGCGACATGCTCATCGATTTCAGAACTTTTTGTCAAAAGGTCGGTCAACACATCCAAGTGTTTATGCTGTGGCTTTCCATGTAATAGAGTCGCGATAAATGATTCCGAGGAGTATTCTATATCACTCGAGAAACTTCGTACCACCTGATCCATGGTGAAAGATCGGTCTTGATCTTTAAATACTCGATATACGTAGACTTAATCGTTTCCTTACACTCTTTTCCTATTGTTCAAAGAGAACAAATCAGTATATATACTTAGAACTTGAACTCAATTTAGGGGATTCCCTCTTTGCGCTACTATACTTGGGACTGACTAGCTGCAGGACACTTCTTTCAGTTGCCACACACGTCATGTAGTGATGGATGGTGGGCACCATCTACAACTAATATCGATTGCGGATAATAAATCTGGAACTGTGACATTTGATTGCTTATAGATCAAGGCAGTTGCACAGTAGCGGCGGATATACACTAACAGGCAGCATAGTTGCCTCTTACCTAACTTTGACGGCACAGGAGACCCGAAATTATGGATATGCTAGCCTCTTGGGTGCATAGATCGACATTGGGGGAGGACAAGTTTTTCTGACTATACTGCATTAGACTTACTATGACATGATGGTTAGATTCATGTGCAACTGTGCGCTTAGGCGGGAACATGAACAGGTTATTATCAGAAATACCAGTCCTTGGCTACATTATTCTTACCGAGGTTGGTTCTAGATGCTTCCACTCCACTGACATCTGTCATAAACCTTATAGTCTGTTCTGTGCTCCCTTGGTGGACCGGAAGCGTGCGTGGCTGTTCTTCGATACATAAATGTACCCAAATATTCAGTAGAAGAAAAGCGTTCTTTCCTTGCTTTAGGTGGCTCTTTTCTTTTCTTTCTTTTCGTTAGAAGGCGCAAAGCATATGGTACTCTATGTATTATATAGATGCACCAATCATAATCATAGATTAACCTGTATCTAAGTAATTGGAACCTCGTCAGCATCCTTGTATCAGATTTTCTAGTGCTGGCAAGGGTATTAATTGCTCCCTTTGGCCTCCTGCTTTGCCTATTAATCACATGCCACCCGGACGCAGTCTGGTGCATTTCTTCGAGGAATTGACATAATGATAATTGACTGAGCTCCGAGTGGCTGCACCCAGAAAAGAAAAGATATTTACCTGTTTCTGCATCTCGTTTAACAATTCTTCATCTCCACAGGGGGTTAAGTTTTAGGGTAACACAACTTATATCATTTCGCTCGGTCCCTTTCGAATGATATGGAGTTTCCTTAAACGACAGTGGACTGCAGGCCTGCATGGGGCCAATGTAACAAGGATCAGGAATGGAAATTCGTTTGGGCACATGCTGCCCCTCACTGGTAAGAGTAATTTCCCTCGTTGCTTGATGTGCACAGTTCATATATGCAAGCCTAACACATTGCCAAAAGATGGTGGGATCATTATTGAAAATATATAAATATATATTCAAATCTCGCGGGTCGATCAAATGACAGATAAATGAAAAGGCGACATGGAAGCGAGAGACTTTCACTAAGAAGAATGAATGCTGAAATGATGAAAGCCGAGCACCGGATTACTTTTGATCGGTTCCTAGCTATCCTTTTTAGCTACATCGAACTTTTCTTTCTTTGGTACTTAAAGTACGGGAAGATTTGTATTTGCCGACTAAAATCCTATCAAGCGATTCGGTGGATTTAATGTTTCTGCACAGGAAACATTTTCCGCTCGGGAAAATGATATTTTGCCGTCACCTCCTCCGAACTACAGTCGAATACAATTAGTACTTAAACAATGCATGCCGCACGTAAGGATTAGATTAAATAAACATACATATTTGCATGATGAAGTTCTCCGATGTGGAATTCGTGGTTAATAGCTCGTCTGACGCGCCAATCTTCAAAACCTCCGACATGATAGAGGGCGAGATCATTTTTACACCTCATCAAGAAACCAACATCGAAGACATAAGCATTACATTTAAAGGTACGCCAGCGGTGAAAGTAGCATTACTTTCGTGATATTAACATAGCGAATAGGCAGGATACGAATCGAACTAGAGAACATGAATACGCATGTTGCTCTGCCGCCCAATCGGCTCCTGAAACCCTTCCTAAGCATGAAGTTGCCAATTTACGATTACTGCTGGGACACAAACACACTCAAACCTGGCAAGAGTTATCGAATGCCCTTCAAGTTCATCGTCCCCGAGGAACTTCCCATCCAGGCCTGTCAACATCAATGCACCAATCACCAAATCCAACAAGAACATCTGCAGCTACCTGCAAGTCTCAGCTACCGTGGCACACAAGCCCACAAAATTCACGACATGTCACCCGAAATGGCAGAAGTAGTCTACAGTATCAACTTTGCGCTGCGGCAGCGAAATGGCAAGGCAGGGAGGTCAAAGAAAATCCAAGAAGCAACACATCCCGTGCACATCCTCCCAACACGAAATGAGCATCCCCCAATCCTTGTCCCAAGAAAGAATAATTATTATCGACTGCGAGCAGAAAAGTCGTTATCTACCGGGTTACTGCGACATTCACGAGGCCAACTCGCTGCCTGCTGTGCTCAACCACCAGCTATCCAGTTGCAAAGTCTCCAGCCAACGAATACAGACGCGTCAACTTCTGTGAAGATTGATCTTCGGTTTGACCCTTCTCACTCGGGTCAGTTGCCACCAATTCTTCTTGCCGCCGAATTTCAGTTGCGGGCAATGACTTTCTTTGGGGTTGAGGCATGGCAAGATTATCCAGATCTGAGTGATATTTCTACCTGGGGTTCACGACGAGAATTCTGGTCTGATTATGTGGCATTAACACTGAACCACGAGATAAAGTTGGACTGGAAGGCTCAAGAAGAAGGGGACCGCATGATCTTCACTTCACGGATCGAGGCTTGCGTTTCACTGCCTACCCATCGACGCTATCCACCAACTTTCCATTCGTGTTTGGTTTCTCGGGTTTATGCGCTGAAGGCAACGTTACTCTATCGAGTACATGGACAGGCTCGAGGGAGCTCGCCCATATCGGTTTCTGTTCCAGTCGAGATTTGTGCAACATGAGATATTTCAGCGAGGATAGTGTGTCACGAATTATGGACCATTTGCAATATAATTTTGTTCAGGCAATGCAGTCCAGCTACCATGCTGGATAAGGCCTATTTATCAGCCACCCACGCGGCCCAGCTCGGGAAGTGATATCTCTTCGGCCTCTTCCACAACGTGCTCTTCGATCAAGACTCCGAGTTAATCCCGTCGTAAACCGAATTCAGGCCCACATTCCTAAACCCCCTATCTACCAATCTCATTGCTTGAATGTCAGCGATCAACAAATTCATCAGTGACGAATCTTGCATTTCAGTTTCGAACATTCCACGATCGACATGCCATCCTTCCCTTGAACTGACATTCAGCCACAACAATAACCAATACGAGCACCCCATTCCCACCTCGCATTACTCGTCTACCTCGATTTCTCGTCCACAGTCTAGACTCGGGTGCTTTTCACACAAATAGGAACTGGGACATGCCGCTGATCATGATTTGATTGGTATTTTAGCCCTCAGGGGAGTATGTACATGTGTCAGCGGTCAGAATTCCGCACGCGGGGTTTGAGCACTAAGGCCCATCTAGCCAGAGGATAAGTGCAGCTCTTACCCCTAGCCCGTCTTCTCACAGTTGGCGTGTTTCTCCTGTCAGCCGGTGAATCGCTGTCCATCTTCACCTCACTACATCAATCGAACACATCGCCTTCCTCATCAATTGAACCTCTCGACTTCAATTCGATCAATCGATTTACTATCGCATCCTCATACATTGGTTGTTGCTCCCTTCTCGGCCAGTCACGCGACTATCCCTTGAATCATCCTATCGACCATAACACAACAAGATTGAAACAAACGCGTCCATATCGGCTCAATAGCACATCATATATAATTATGGCTCTTGTTCGGGATCCATATTTCTGGAAACGGTTCTCAGCTGCGGTCCACATGGACGAAGAGTCCAGAGCACTTGACCAGGGAAACAAAACAAAACAAGAGGGGTAAGGCACCCTCATCTGCCATACATTTGGTGAATCTCAACTCACTCCTACAGGGCATCATGGCTTGACCGCGAACGACGAAAGAGTAGGCGATCAATCATCTGGGGCTTTGTCATTTTCTTCGGTGTTGTGCTCGTTATCGTTGTCAGCGTGGTTCTATGGTGGCTTTCTAAGAACAACTGGCTCCAACCTCGTCCGAATAGCACTTGATAACCGGACTTTTCCTAGGGGAGGCATTTTCGATTTGACTTTTGGCGTTTATTTGGAGTTTGCATGGCATTGGAGATATACCCGCCGCGCCTGCACACGGCGTTTGGCATTTTGTTTAGATAGCTTTTACATAGAACTGCATACAATAGATGAAAATATACATCTCTATCTCATCTATCTTGTTTATCTATAAATCTACCCGTGGACCTATAATATACCTCACCTGTTCTATCTAGCGCATACCCTTGCCGTAACAGGCATAGTGTGCCTGGGGCTGTGGCTTCTTATCTCTACTGCGGACAAATCTCCGCCAGCGATGAGTTTACCAGCATTTAGTGATGTTCGTTCAACATTTGAATTATTGCGTACATCAAAAACAGACGTCAGCTTAAATACAGAGTATATTTACATACCTTATATACAAATATAGCTACAATCAAGAAAGGGCTGTGTATTCACGGCTAACCTCGGTGCTAGCCGTCTATCCGGGGGTCATATCGCATTCCCCACTTCTCCAATTCCCCGCATCGTATAAGAACCCCGACTCCCCTCCCCTTGTCTTCTTGTACAGACACCGCCATTATGCTTCCTCCATTCGACTACTTTACCTATCGGCGCATACGGTAAGGTTGTCTTTATTCTTTTATGTACACATGATCTGGAGCTAATATCTACAGCAACCAAAAACAAGCCGAGCGAGAACTCCGCTTTACGGGTCTTCCGCGCCACTATCACCTCCAAATCGCCGACCAGGACCGAAAGATCATCGATCAGCCTATCGAAGAGCTTGTTCACGATGTGCAAGACTCGGCTGTCTCCCCACTCGATATCCTCCACACCTATGGAAAGGTAGCCAAAAGGGCCCAGGAGCGGACCAACTGCATTACCGAGTTGATGCTGCCGGAGGCTGAGTCGTGGCTGGAGTCAGAAATCAACCTTAAGGGTCCATTGGCTGGTATCCCGGTCTCTTTGAAGGATTCCATTCATGTCAAGGGATTCGATGCAAGTGTTGGGTATGCTGCTCTGGCTGGAAAGCCTATCTTGGAAGATGGGCCTATGGTGAAGCTCTTGAAAGACGCCGGTAAGACCGTGATTCTTGAGACATCTTTTTGATAGCTGGGTTGTATACTGATCTCCACAGGTGCTGTCCCATATGCTAAGACTGCGCTGCCAATCACCTTGCTCTCTTTTGAGTCAGATAACGGCCTCTGGGGTCAATGCCGCAACCCGCATATCCCAGCATACTCTCCCGGTGGCTCAACAGGTGGAGAGGCAGCATTGCTGGCGCAGGGTGGCCGTATTGGTATTGGATCTGATGTTGCTGGCTCGGTGCGCGTGCCCGCCGCCTGGAGTGGTATCTATTCACTGCGCTGCAGCACAGGCCGCTGGCCCAAGGGCGGCGTGAATACCAGCATGCCCGGCCAGGAAGGTGTTCCTAGTGTGTTTAGCCCTATGGCTCGCACCCTGGGTGATTTGACTTATTTCACTCGTGCAATTATCCGCATGGAGCCCTGGAAATATGAGCACACAGTGCACCCCATTGCCTGGCGCAGCGAGGTGGAGTCCGAAGCTCAAAATAAGCCTCTTCGCATTGGTCTGATGATGTCCGATGGTATGTATCAATCACTTCATCTCGACAACGAACGCCAGCCACTTACAAATCCCTAGGTGTCGTCCCCCCAACCCCAGCTATTGAGCGCGCCATCGCAACAACAGTGGCCGCCCTCACCGAAGCCGGCCACACCGTCTCAGACATCACCCCCCCACCCAACGCCGACCCCTTCACGGGCCTGAACCTCGCCTCACAACTCCTCAACTCAGATGGCTGCCACCACTTTAACGCCAACCTCAAGAGCTTCGAGCCATCCGACCCAGGTGCCATCCAACTCTCCCGCATCGCCCACCTCCCCCGCCCACTACGTTACCTCTACTACCTCTACGTGCGCTACATCCGTCGGGACAAGATCTCCGCCACTCTCATCCGCGACTTCGGCCCCAAGTCCTCCGCTCAGCTGTGGACCCTAACCGCCCAGCGCGAAGCCTTCCGTGCCGTCTGGCACAAGTGGTGGGAACGCCGAACCCCAACAATTCGATTTCATCCTGTGTCCTGTCAACGCTACCCCGGCTCTTCCGCACAAGGCCATGCACGATGCCGTCTCCTCGTGCGGTTACACCTTCCTGTGGAACTTGCTTGATTACTCCGCCGGTGTTATCCCGGTGGGTCACGTAGATCCCATCCGCGACGCCCTCGCCGCACCTTACAAAACCGCCCTCAAGCGTCTAGGCTGTGACCACGGTATTGCTCGCGGTGCGTGGAAACACTATGACTCGGCCAAGATGGCCGGTCTCCCCACCGCCGTGCAGGTTGTCGGTCGCCGATGGCAGGAGGAGCACGTGCTTGGTTATATGGCTGTTGTGGAGAAGGCGCTTGAGCAGTATAATGATCCGCAAACCGGTGAAAGCTGTCGGTATACTCTTTTGGAAATCGATTAAGTCGGGTTAGCTCGCATTGCGTTGATTTGACGGGGAGTTCTTTCGAACTATTCCAGTATCCTTCGATTATCTATTAGTACATGCATGCAGATATGTAGCTAGACATTATTTGGTATAGTTGCATATGCTCGAAGGATTGATTGGGTTCCTAGGTCGGGTCCTAGACAAATGAAATTCGAGTTCTCTCTGATTTAATTCCTTTATTTTGTTTTTCTCGTAGTGTAACCTGAGATGTGAAGGCTATAATTGAGTGATCCGTATGCAGGGGACTACTATTGGGGATTTGTCGATCTGTAGCTTTTACAAGTTCCTCGTCGATCATGGAAACCACTTTGTTCGGACTCGACTTCGTGAGTTTCCACTATCCTCTTCACACATCGACTCATTTATTTTCCCTTTTTAACATCTACCTAAAATACCCCGTATTCGACACTAAGTACATGTGGATATTAATAAATGCTATAATCAATTAAAAGATAAATACAACATAAACCCGCAATCGGTCAATTCCCAGTGGACCTGTCGCCAGAATTATCAGCGCTGACCCTAACCCCTCTGTATGTTTCATGTATCCATCGTGTCAGTCTTTCAAAACCAACGCTAATTATTCGCTGTTCATTGTCTAGACTTGCCCATTAGCTTTCTAGTCTCCTGCTCGGTGCCATTCGTCTATTATCCCCGCTAATCTTCGGTGTAGCTGGACGAAACTGAGAGATCTTCGGCGCCATTTACGCATTTCGGATCCGAGTTAACCGGTGTTCGATTGGGGTGAGCTGCAGGCTCGCAGACCCCAAGTAAAGGCCTTGTCTTTGGTCTCGATGCTTACGGATGGAAAAATAACTAAAGAAGTTGGTGCATGAGTCGCGGGGTATAACGTAATTGTCGGGGCTGAGTAGATAACTAGGTCGTTGCCTAGACCCATGTAAGAAACACATATTGTCTCGTATTTCGGTTGGCTTGCATTATAGAGAGAGCCTATCAAGCTCCAGCTCTATAATAAAAGAATAAAAAAATAAAGATCTGAAAAGAAAGGGGTTCAAAGACTGAAGATTAGTTGCATAAAGAGGCTAAATGTAACAATACAAATACAATTTTTGTCTCTGTCTAAACTATCTCAAATATAATAGTGTTTCTCAGTATCAAGATCAAGACTATCAATATCAACACTGTAGACTCGAGACCCTCTCGAGGATTTGCCCCTCGCGATCGACGGGGTTCCACCTATCAGAACCACTTTTTTTTCTTCTTTCTTGTTTTCTCATAGGCCCAATCAGAGAAGGTTAAAGGCGGTTGGATTGTTATTTTCGTCAAGCTTTTGGGGTTATAATAGTGGAAGAGTATAGTCCCCCTTATACCAGTGCCAAGCTCAGGCTGTTTCACATCTGGGGTGAGAGAATTCCAACGGGGACTGACAATACTCTGTAACACAAGATATGTGTAATAATCTGGCATTCTGGATTATTTTCTCTGGGACTAGCTATTATGTGTCCACGATACTGGGATTCCCGGGGAATGAGGGGATATTACTCGGTCTGGCCCAAGCAAGAACATTGAAAGGAGCAAACCCCCTACCTACTAAATTGACAATCTTACTGCATGTATTTATGCCATCGTATTCAACAGCCACAAGGAGTTCTTTTCCTAGAACCTTAGGCCAGAAGGGTCGAAGATTCTATGGGTTGAGTCTACCCTGCTCCGTAGATCACATATCCCGAATAGTCCATGCAATGTACGTGCATAGCACTCACTATTTGTCTACTGCAGACTCCACTAGATTGCCAGAAGTTCACGTAATAGATACGTGGAGGATGTGAATGAAATAAAAGCCAATTAAAACCAAATAAATAATAGCGGAAATAGTAAAGAAGAAAAGGAGTATAAAAGTACGAATGATCTGCGGTCACGGGAGTTCCCGAGCTTCTTCCTTTACCCTCTTTTCCCCCACTCCAAAACCTTCAGAGCTGTCAAAAAAGAAAAAAAAAAGAATATCAATGTCAGAAATGGGATGATCCATATAAGGGCTTGTCAATATCAATACCCCCAATATCTTGTTTAAAAGTCTGTTTCGAACCTCCCATCTTCTGAAAGATCATGCACGATCTAGCTATCGCATACATCTCTCACCGCTTACCTGGCCGGTGATATGATCTGAGATGGCATCAAGAAAGAAACAGCCTGCCTCCAAGAAGGATAGCATCCATTTTGTCAATGCCAGACCTTCCTCCGAGACCGAACGATTGAAAGCCCAGCGCCAGGTGCGTGCGCACGTTGGACGCTGGATCTCAGATCAAACAAAGGACCGATCCGCAGGCGAATCATCCAATCCACGCGCCCGACCTGTCCGCAACACCGTTGCCCCCTTACCCGTCATTGACCGCGCGAATCCCGGTCCCTCCTCTTTTAGAATCGTCTCGCGACCCTCAATCGCTCATCGTGGGACCAATCCCGGTCAAAGCTTTGTCTTTGCGAACGATTCCCGCTCCAACCAGGCTGCATACCGAGACTCGCCGTTTCCGCCCTCGCAGGCCAGCGATAGCAGTGATAGCAGTAGCAGCGATGATGCGAGTACCGTGACCACGTTCTCCTCTGACGCCCTCGCGGTCATCCGGTTCAATGATCGCTCTTCTCCTGAACGGCTTGAACGCAATCTCTCTGGGGTCTTCGATCCCTTCGCCACCTACCCGGCTCCGAAGAACTTCGAGCCAGAGATGATCAATCTGTCGGAGCGCTATCTCACAGGTGTGCTGTGGCCGGGGCTCGCTCCGCGCCCACGGAATGTCAGAGCTATGGCGAATAAGTGGTTCGATCTGTCCATGGGGGACCCGGCTTTGTTTACAGCGTTCATGTTTGGTTCACTGTGTCACCTCCGTGTACAATGGCAGAATAACTGGGTACCCGGTACGGTATTTGGTCAGAAGGAACGTCGCGCGCTGCAGCTATGTGAAATGGAATCCATCAAGCTGATCAACCAGGCTATTCGCGATCCTGACCGCGCGGTCAGCGATGCTGTTCTCCTCAGTGTTATTTGCATGGCTCATCATCAGGCGGAGGAGAAATCGGCACACCAGCACCGCAGAACACCATTTAATCCGCCTTTCCCGCGACTACAATGGATCGATGTCTACGGGTGTCTGCCACCGAATATGATCCACATCAAAGGCTTGTTGCAATTGATCAAAATGCGCGGGGGCTTGGCAAATATTCATACAGAGGGTCTGGCCGCGACAATTTCCTTGTATGTCTCGCTTCTTTTTTTTCTTTCTTTTTTTTCGTATTGACTACCCATACTGACCACCCACAGCTCGGATATCATGAGCTGCAGCATGCTCTGTATCCACCCGTGCTTTGATTTCTTGCCCCTCGACGATTGCCGATTAGGCTTGTCCATCCAAGATCTGCTCGGCTTCGGCCCATCAGATGTTGACCAGGGATTCGCCAGTTTGCAGGAAATTGGTGCCACCCGCCAAATGGCAGAAGCTTTCCAGGCGGTGCACACTTATATTGGGATCATCAAAGCGAGCCCGATTGTCACACATGATGCCTCCTTGCTCGTCGACCAGCGCAACCTGACCCAACATACTCTCCTCTGTCTCGCTCCGGCCTCAGAGCTCCACACCTTCTTCTCCCATCCCACACACGCCGCCACCTACGAAGCCTGCCGTCTAGCGGCGCTAATCTTCGGGGTTGGCGTCCTCTTCCCAATCCCCGCGCAGAACACGCCACTCAATACTCTAGCGCGCCTTATCCAATCCGTCCTCCTTCAACCTTCCTCCACAGGTCTGTGGACTTCGTTATCCACGCGTCTCCCTCTAATCTGGGTCTTGACCCTCGGCGGTATCGCAGCGAACGATACCCCCGACCGTGCCTGGTTCGCCTCTGCTCTGGGAGATATTGCCCGCAAGACTGGTTTGAATTCATGGGCCAACATCAAATCAGTACTCGCATCCATGTTATGGTACGAGGCTGCCTGCGATACTGCTGGAGAGGCTCTCTGGCAAGAGAGCGCGAGCAGGTATATCTACGCCATCCAGTGAGCCCCAATTCCAGCATTGAGAAATTCTCCGAACTTCCAGAAGCGTGAATCACCCGCTTCCTCTCCAGATCTGACGTCAGCTGCAATAACGCAGTCCAGCTTCCTTGTCTTCCCCCTTACCTATCATCCCTCCCATCTCATTCTAAATATCGTCATCATCCTCGGTTTTCTTTGAAATGTATATATGGAAAGGAAAACACCGGGCTTTCTCTTGGGATACACACCATCTCAGTCACCAGCGACATTCTGCAACTTGGACATGGGGCATACATAGATATACCTGCCGGTGCTTTGGACCACGCCGGATATCGATTTTGCATATACTTGCCTAAACTCACCGTGCTGTGAAACCCGAACATTGTCACCTGACCTCGGAGACACTGGGCAGAGTCCTTTTTTTTTTTTTTTTTTTTTTTTTTTTTTCCCTTTTTTGGATTTCACTAGATATAATGGATCTGCTTTGGGTCTGAATTTGGATTATAATATCCCCCGACATAGGGTGTGACTTTCTCGTGCCTCGTCACCTTTGGATGTTTGGGATACATCCGCATATAATACATCTCTGTTTGGACTGGAGCTATCAGAGACAATAATACATAACGATGCACTGTTTTCACCGCATTTGCAAGCAGGGATATTCCACTCTGCCTTGCTCTGTCTGTCTCATGGTAGTAGCTGTAGGGATACACATACAATGTACCATTCTCATATCCAATCACATTCATTTTCATATTCTGTTCATCCTTATATACTCAATGCAAGCAAATCATAAACTAAACATATGTGCTCGCCGTGTCATATAAACCCCATACCCTCAAGCCCCATACCCTCTCCGAGGCTCTTCATTCCTCAACAACGGCTCCCTCTCCCTGACGACCTGGCCCTGATCTACACCATCCCTCCTCTTAACGTCCAAAACACCCGTCTGGTAAGCGACAAACCCAACAAGCCCACCCCCAACCCCAGC